TCGTAACGTTACTGAAGGTCTGAATGATCATTTTCCTCTCAACATTGCTCATTTGAGAATACATGGTGCTGACACAAAATAATTACAATCTTTTCTGTTCCATGTTAAATAACCGGAAGGATTTTTCGATGATTCTTATAACAAATGATATCCAGTTGACTGAAGGGCTTCTTTGCAAAGCTGAAAAAACGGAACTCACTTAGTTTAGCCGTCTTTTAGATATTAAACTTTTTGTGACAAGGAGAATTTTACAGTTACCCGATGTGGATAATTTTGCTGTTACAACATATATATATATATATATATATATATATATATATATATATATATATATATATATATACTGGTAGTATGATCATCTTTTTCTTACCAATCCGCCAAAATCATGTCGGTAATACTTCTAAGACGCTACTGGGTATGAAACAGAATAAGATTTATCTATTAATTCGTACACTGAATATAAGTAGAGAATTATTGTAAAATATTGAAAATTGCTTCTATATCCCGTCTGGTGTTCTTGCTATATACTGAGATATTCTACTTAAATTCCAAAGATGAATCTGCAGAAGAATGTTATTGGTCCTGACCATGGTTCTTATCTTCACTTACCCCGTAACATATCTCCTGTGTGTCTTTCCTATGCATAATTTCATGGTAATTGTTTTGATGTACTTTCCTCTTTGGCCCATAGACTTTGTGAATTTACCCACAATAATAGATTGGTGCGAAGGTTCAATTATGTTATACGATTAGATGCAACTGTATGTACTATGCAAACAGTTTTTTCTATCTTTTTTCCCGTTTGTGGAATTTTCATCCGTCTTTTTGCTTCCTAGTTAACTTTGATCTTCGAAAAATCAATGTCATTTATTATCTTCTGTCTTAATTCAGGTTCTTTTATTGTTCTATCTCCTTATTAGTTTTTTCCTCATATTCTCTTATACTCAGTAATCTCTTGTGTCCTAGTGGCATTATTGCCTTGCTTGGGGTGAAATGATTAACAGATGTATCTTACTTAAGATTGGTATTGTAAGGTTCTTTTTGTAGAAATTTCGATCTTGAATGTCTATGTTGGTTCACCTGTGGTTACCATTGCTCAGAATTGTCTTATCGAAACGAATTCTGCGCAGCTTGTGATCAGAAATCGTTGTCACACATTACCTTAATAGGCGTTAATATTTAAGAGGTGAGTGGTCTTTGTACAATGACGTACCTGGTGGAACTGCTAACTCAATCAATTCAACGTCAAAAAAAATCCACACAATTGTAATGCAACAATTATCCTGCAAATGGCAAACGGGGTCCAGGGCTTCCTGTGGTCTGAATCTCAGCCAAACATTAAGATAAGTCCAAAACTATCCTAACCGTCAGTCTTCCGACCAGGCCAAACTGTGTCTATACTCCGAGGTTCAGTTAGGTATGTTCCAGTTTCTGTGGGCTTTCACCTCATATATCATACAAAAGTTAAAGTACCCTAAAAGCACCTGTTAGCTATTCGACTGGTAATACGTTCATTGACTGTGTATGGGATTTGAGCCAGTGTTACTTATTTATTACCGCGGGCAATTCTAAGCAGACACCACTGTTCACTACCATTTATGTATCCATGGTGAATACGTGACATTGCCGATCAATGTATGTAAAATGTACACGGAAATTCATAAATAGAATGTTCCATTTCTCTGGTTGCTCACATTAACTCAGATGTCAGATCCCAGGTGTGATATGTCTGGATATTTTCATGGCTGCTGAGGCGCGGCCGGCTATTAAATTGACATACTACTACACCATGAATTTGGCACCTCGTCTATATATAAAATATAAAACTTAGAGGTGCTGAATTGTTGTTCCGACCTGAAGGACATTTTTGAAAATTTATGTTATTTCGAATTTGGAAGTGTGTCAAACCGAGGAATATATAGCACCGCCATCTTATTTTCTCATTCTTTGTATGGGATAAAAGATTTCACACCGGGAGATAAATACATGGTGATAACAAATATTGAATTTCGTCAAATAGCGGCGCAACTGGATATGTTGGGAAGACTAATCTTAAAAGCAAGATTTCTTTGTATAATTTTGTGCTTACATTTGTAACTTTGTTAATAATAATAAATAGAATGTCTACAGAATAGAGTTTCTCGGAATTACATACGGAGTTCAAAAGACGATATTAATTTTTAAGAATATTCTCAGAATATTTTCAGGAGAAACGTTAAATTATGACATAAACATATCTGACTTTATCCTTCCTTAAAATTTAAAAATAAATATGTTAAAGAAGAACAAACAGATGTACCTCATAATATAAGACATTTAAAAGAAATACTCGTTATAATTGCGTGAAACTCAGAGTAGATTCATGGAAAAATAGCCATATATATATGAGTATGTGTGTGCAATCATAATTGAATAAAATGTAATATATATATATATATATATATATATATATATATATATATATATATATAGAGAGAGAGAGAGAGAGAGAGAGAAAGAAAAAGATGCATCTATATTTAAATGTATGTGTGTGAATGTGTGCGTATCAGTATGGTTGAAATGCGTTTTTAAAGGCAAAGAGAAACTTGCTTAATTCTGAAGCTTTTCATGTCCGAAAGGTCAAAAGTACGTCTGATGAAACATTATGTGCAATGTAAAATAAACACAGCGTCTGCTGAAATACGGATATAAAAATAACGTTTAATATATATATATATATATATATATATATAAACATATATATATATATATATATATATATATATATATATATATATATATATATATATATATATTGTTGGGCTCATCCTGACTGAGTCCACACTCAGTTTTCAAAGCATCAAACATTTTTTGTAGTGGGTAGTTTTCATTCTTGACTTCAGCAGGATTCGATATTAAGTGCTTAAATCCGTGCTTAAGATATTGATCGAAATACATTTCGTTTACATAGCTCATAAAAAGAAGAAAGTAAGGAAAAGCATTAAGAAAAGAAGTAAAAAAAAAAGAATGAAAGAAAATTAACGTGGCTAGTCTGGCTGGTAAGGCGAAAACCCGATCAAGTTAGTGACATACTTAATAAGCAATGTATTTCTTGCTTTAGTACATAATTTCTAAAAATCTATAACTTGTATGCTCAGTTTTTCAAAGAATACATTATTATTTCAAATTATTTTTTTTGAAATATCCATTTTATATAATTTATTGCATACAGTATATGTTTTTTAGCGTTACGTATCTTTTGAGAAAAGGAATATTAAATTTAACCCGATATAATTTCGCCAAAAATAAAAGGAAGAGGCAGCCTTAACTCGTAGACTCGACTGTTCTCTTCTCTCTTGTTCTTGTAACGGCATTCACCCGAGGTGGGATGAGCCGTCTCCAATATTGGAGTTTCACAAGCGGTCCCCAAACCGCATCTATAGCACATGAGATTTGATTATAGTGGAGAAGGTTTCGTGCAGGACCATCCACACTTTCTGAAGGGCCGATTACAGAGACCTGGTGCATCGAGTTCCACAAGGTCCCCAAACGACCCTCCGCAGGTTTTGAATTCAGAGTTTTCCTTATCCTAGACCAGTTGCCATCCAAGGCTATAGAACCCAGGCTATTTACCCATAGCTGGAGGATTCACACCTTTCCCAAGGGTATTAGCACGTAAGTGTAATGGATTCCTGGAATTCGAACTTGGCTCTCCGATTTCTCAATCCAAGCCGCTATCCGTTACTTCATCGTGCCTCCAAAAATAGTAGACTGCGAGTCTGGTAGTTTCGAGGAAATATATCAGTAAGCAGTGCTTCCCATAAACATACAATAAATTAAACTGAATAGTCACAGACAGAGGGAGATATAAACACACTAAAGCATATATACAAACATACATTCTACTATGAGTGACTACGTAAAAAATCTATATAACAATAAAAAATGGAAAGGGGTCAATAAGAACACAGATATATCAAAGACTTTGACCACAATCTGGTTGCTTAATGTCTTGAATTTTCAAAATAAAAATGCTCATTTTTATCGAATCATGAAAGGCTATATTAAAATATCATTTTTTTATTTTATTTCATGAACAGGAATTTTAAAAAAATAAAGAATATTGTAGTTCGATTTAAAAAAATCCTTTTTAGCATGTAAGTTATTGATGACTTAAATTCTCCAATGATTTTATAGAGAGAAATATAGACATGTTATATATATATATATATATATATATATATATATATATATATATGCTCTCTGTATATCTATATACTTCAAATTCTAATTTGGAAAATATTTTTTCTAGAGAAAAATGGTGTCTCGTACAATCATCGCTAAAATCAATATATATATATATATATATATATATTGTGATATGTACTCAGATTTATATTATGTCTGTATATATATATATATATATATATATATATATATATATATATATATATATATATATATATATATATATATATATATGTCTATATGCTTCAAATTCTAATTTGGAAAAATATTTTTTCTAGAGATAAACAGTGTCTCCTACAATCATCTCTAAAGTCAAGAAAATTTATAGATTTCGCTAAAACTTGAAATTACATCAGTCAATCTATTCTCTCCTAATTTCTCCACTCCACTGCTTCTCTCTTTCCTTTGCTGGACATTTACGAAATCAGCTTCCATCTTTCGGAGTCTCTTTCACAAGTTACGCAGCTAATAACCTGTAGAGCCCCACTTCCAATCATTTGTCTCTTTAATGAATTCCTATTTGCAGTCGGACATTTAACGAGTTGAGACAGACATAAGTATAATTACTTACTAGTCAGACAGACGGCGAAATTGAAGAGCGGAAATTGTCTGTAAGGAAGCTTTACAGACCGCAGTTGAGGCCGTTAAATAAGCGGCATGAAACTTATGTTCACGATGGCCATGGCAAATGAGAAACTTTATCTAGCTGTCGATTCTTTTATTTTCGCAGATAATTAAGTTTCTGAATGCTAAAATTAACTTCGCCTGTGGAAATGAATCCATCGTTTTATTTTCATTTGACGCATCGTCCTCAGACTTCTTTCAAACTATACAATGGAATTTTAGAAATAATCTACGGACGTTTTAGACTGAATGTTGTATAAATTTTTTAACCATATGATTCTATAATCACACAATCGTTCATATATGCGTTTACATACCTACGGCCTTAGTCAGGTTCTTTATCATAGGTTTAGAACACAAAGTGAGTGTGAAAATATCTAACATTGAATAGAGTAGCAAGAGAAAATGATTAATTCTTTTGAAACTACATTATGTATTTAATAATAAAAAATAATCTCGTAATTCTCGAGAAATTTCCTTGCTTACCTTTCGGATAGGAAACTGAAAAGTTATGCTTTTCGAAATATAGGAACGAGTGAGTGTGATTTAAAGGCAAATAAAATCTTGTTTGGCTGTACAACCCTTAGTAGCTGAGTGGTTAAATCACGTCGAGTATAACGCTGCTTTCTTCTGCAGAGAGGGACGCAGGTTCGAATCGTGCCGGAGGACACTTTTTTTTTAGTAAGTTTTATTAGGTATCCAGGCCGGTAGACGAAATATATACAGTTTAAAAGTAAAAGTGGAGCGTCCACTTAAATACGGGTATCCACTGTAAAGAACGAGTAAAGTAATAAAATATGTCACAAAAAATACATGTTTTTATGTGGGTGTGCGTGAGTGGGTGTATGTAAAGTTGAAATATAACGTTCTATAAATTCTGACGATTTAAAATTCTTGATAAAAAGAGTACAAAATTTAACTGTGGAGAATAAATTTACAACCTTGTTCTGAAGGTGCAACAAACTTTTTGGAAAATTGTAAAATAAAATAAAAAAAATTAACTTACATATTTTTTCATCTGCATTCATTCGAACTTGTTTAATGTATGTCAGTATGTATGTGTATGTTTGGTATTTGCAGGTGTGGTTGTGCGCGCGCTTCCATTTTCAAGTGTTAAATCTAACACGAAAACATTTATTTATTATACTAGTCTTATTTTTATCACCTGGCCCGAATATAATCGTAACAAATAGATGATAAAAGTGGGATTTCATTTTTTTTTAAAATATTATAAAATACGCATGACCTGATAAATTTAACTAAACAAAGAAAAGACTTCAGGACTATTATGCAATATATGTCTTCGTATGTGACAATGGTGAAAAAACTCCTCAGAGATGAATAAGAAATTTGATTCATTTTACGTAGGATTTTACATAAGAATGCTGAAAATACGACAGATCGAAGATGCGATTAAGGTATACATTTTAGGGAAGCTGGAAACAAAGAACTTAGAATAGGATGTGACAATTGAAATTTATCGGGAACATTATGAGGAAAGTTGGTTTGTCGAACAGATAATTACAAAACATAGTGAAAGCAAAAGAATCAGAAGATAGAATTCATTAAATGCATTGACAATCTTTATCTTATGTCTTCTTGTTCTTTTATTGTCCTCCTTCGTTAGAAGAAGAAGAAGAAGCAGAAGAAGAAGAAGAAGAAGAAGAAGAAGAAGAAGAAGAAGAAGAAGAAGCAGCAGCAGCTCGGTGTAGAACGATTGCATAACAGATTCTTCTTTGGATTTTTTCAAGAATCTCGAGATTTACAACAAGAACACCAGACCAGATATGATAACAGTTCTCAATGTATGGTCAAATGGTACGTTGATAAATGTGCCACATTTACTGTGGCGAAACAAATTGGGTGACACGACACAGTAACGCAATCTTGGAGTAGACAAAGACATTATTCTATAGAATCATTCCATATCATGTGGAAAACTTGAGCCTAAAAATGTTATGGAGTGTTGCTTTCGTGGTGTTTATCATCAGCCATGCTGATGGCACGCAAAAAATCCCCGTTTTAATTGAATGAATGCAGTTTTGTTTTGGTTTGAAGCCGTCAAAATTTACTAGCCATTTCTTGCCCCCAATTAACCACTTGGGTCATTTTTGAATGAAGTTGCCAGGTTTACTTTGTCAGATCTATCTATCATCTATCTATCTATCTATCTATCTATCTATCTATCTCTATATATATATATATATGCACATATATATAGCAGTCTTCATTATCTCACTGGCCAGCAAGCTAGCTATTCCTGTCTGTTCATCATCTATTTGTCTTTCTGTTCATCATCTGTCTGTCTGTCTGTCTGTCTGTCTCTCTCTCTCTCTCTCTCTCTCTATATATATATATATATATATATATATATATATATATATATATATATATGTATGTATAAAATTGTAGAATGGGCTCTCTGGTATATCAGTCAAGAAGAAGGATAATACTATATTCAGGAATGTCAAAGTCAATGAGAACGCACTTCACTTCGTTCCCCGTCCCCCAAAAGGCGTAGCGATCCATTTAAAAGACCAGTATTCTGTGTAGCACAATAATACCTAAGTCTTGAAGTAGCACGCCATTAACAGGAATGTTTTCATTATAGCATCTATGAATTAATGCGTCCGTACGGCACACACATGTAATTAAGTATCTCACTTTTGTGTATTACTCCTTTTTTCTTATATGTGTGCATGTCTCAGCCCTACATTAATTCCTGTTTCCGGTTATGCAGAGCCATATTTATTTTTTTAATTGCACGCTTGCATTAGTTTGAACCGTTAAACACTGAATCGCATGATGATACGAATAGAAATTGCAGCGATCTCTCGTTTCATAGAAAAATATATAGACAGCTGCAAATTAAATTACAGTACATGAAAATAAAATAATTCTGTAAGAACAGGAATTTAACATTAATTTTTTGAGAAATCGATGTAAAATGTAAGCTGATATATAAATATAAAGCGATGCAGTAAATTTAGAGCAAAACGAAAGTTTTGAAAATCATTCTTTCACCCCCGAATTTCAGAGATAAAAAAAGTTTTGTTAAATGTTTTTGAAAAAAAAAGTATCATTTTTTCATCCAATGTTATTGATGGCTTTTTTTTAATTCACAGTTGAAAAAAAAAAATCATTTAAATAAGGCAAAAAACATTTTTCTCATGCAAAATAAAATGAAAAACAAAAAAACGTAATTTATGCCACAAATTATTCTTCTGTAAAAAATATTCCTTCACCCCAGGCTTTTTCATTCACCCAGCGGCACAGCAAAAGAGAGTTAAACGAGACACCAGAAAATTATTCATTCACCCAGCGACACGGCAAAAACAGTTAAACAAGAGTCCAGAAAAGTAATCCTTAACCCAGCCACACATCAAAAAACAATTAAACAATAGTCTTGAAAATTATTTCTTCATCCAGCGACACAGCAAAACGTCTCATCCAGCCAAAAAAACGAAAGGCCAGAAAATAAAACACAGCAAAAAGAAAGGCCAGAAAATCATTCTTTCACCCAGAAAAAAAAACAAAAGTAAAATTTATCAAATCTTCTTTCATTCTCATACCACACAGCAAAACGAAAGGCCAGAAAATCAATCTTCTGTAAAAATTCATTCCTTCACCCAGTCAGCCACAGCAAAACGAGCCAGAAAAATAAAAGAAAACGAAAGGCCAGAAAATATTCTTTCACCCAGCAAACGAAAGGTCCAGCCACACAGCAAAACGAAAGGCCAGAAAATCATTCTTTCAAACAGCAAAACGAAAGGCCAGAAAATCATTCTTTCATCCAGCCACACAGCAAAACGAAACAAGGCCAAAAAATCATTCTTTCATCCAACCACACAGCAAAACGAAAGGCCAGAAAATAGTCATTCTTTCATCCAGCCACACAGCAAAACGAAAGGCCAGAAAATTTCTTTCATCCCAGCCACACAGCAAAACGAAAGGCCAGAAAATCATTCTTTCATCCAGCCACACAGCAAAACGAAGGCCAGAAAATCATTCTTTCACCCAGCCACACAGCAAAACAAAGCATTCTTTCATCCAGCCACACAGCAAAAACGCCAGGGGAAAAATCATTCTTTCACCCAGCCACACACAGCAAAACGAAAGGCCAGAAAATCATTCTTTCATCCAGCCACACAGCAAAACGAAAGGCCAGAAAATCATTCTTTCATCCAGCCACACAGCAAAACGAAAGGCCAGAAAATCATTCTTTCACCCAGCCACACAGCAAAACGAAAGGCCAGAAAATCATTCTTTCATCCAGCCACACAGCAAACGAAAGGCCAGAAAATCATTCTTTCACCCAGCCACACAGCAAAACGAAAGGCCAGAAAATCATTCTTTCATCCAGCCACACAGCAAAACGAAAGGCAGAAAATCATTCTTTCATCCAGCCACGCAAAACGAAAGGCCAGAAAATCATTCTTTCACCCAGCCACACAGCAAACGAAAGGCCAGAAAATCATTCTTTCATCCAGCCACACAGCAAAACGAAAGGCCAGAAAATCATTCTTTCCCCAGCCACACAGCAAAACGAAAGGCCAGAAAATCATTCTTTCATCCAGCCACACAGCAAAACGAAAGGCCAGAAAATCATTCTTTCACCCAGCCACACAGCAAAACGAAAGGCCAGAAAATCATTCTTTCATCCAGCCACACAGCAAAACGAAAGGCCAGAAAATCATTCTTTCACCCAGCACACAGCAAAACGAAAGGCCAGAAAATCATTCTTTCATCCAGCCACACAGCAAAACGAAAGGCCAGAAAATCATTCTTTCACCCAGCCACACAGCAAAACGAAAGGCCAGAAAATCATTCTTTCATCCAGCCACACAGCAAAACGAAAGGCCAGAAAATCATTCTTTCATCCAGCCACACAGCAAAACGAAAGGCCAGAAAATCATTCTTTCATCCCAGCCACACAGCAAAACGAAAGGCCAGAAAATCATTCTTTCATCCAGCCACACAGCAAAACGAAAAGAAAATCATTCTTTCATCCAGCCACACAGCAAAACGAAAGGCCAGAAAATCATTCTTTCACCCCAGCCACACAGCAAAACAAAGGCCAGAAAAATCATTCTTTCAACCACACAGCAAAACGAAAGGCCAGAAAATCATTCTTTCACCCAGCCACACAGCAAAACGAAAGGCCAGAAAATCATTCTTTCATCCACACAGCCACACTTTCAGCAAAACGAAAAGGCCAGAAAATCATTCTTTCATCCAGCCACACAGCAAAACGAAAGGCCAGAAAATCATTCTTTCACCCAGCCACACAGCAAAACGAAAGGCCAGAAAATCATTCTTTCACCCAGCCACACAGCAAAACGAAAGGCCAGAAAAATCATTCTTTCATCCAGCCACAGCAAAAATCGAAAGGCACACAGCCAGAAAAAATCATTCTTTCATCCAGCCACACAGCAAACGAAAGGCCAAAATCATTCTTTCACCCAGCCAAAGCAAAACGAAAGGCCAGAAAATCATTCTTTCACCCCAGCCACACAGCAAAACGAAAAGGCCAGAAAATCATTCTTTCATCCAGCCACACAAAACGAAAGGCAAAATCATTCTTTCACCCCAAAGCAAAACGAAAGGCCAGAAAATCATTCTTTCACCCAGCCACACAGCAAAACGAAAGGCCAGAAAATCATTCTTTCACCCAGCCACACAGCAAAACAGCCAGAAAATCATTCTTTCATCCAGCCACACAGAAAGGCCCGAAAATCATTCTTTCATCCAGCCACACAGCAAAACGAAAGGCCAGAAAATCATTCTTTCATCCAGCCACACAGCAAAACGAAAGGCCAGAAAATCATTCTTTCATCCAGCCACACAGCAAAACGAAAAACGGCCAGAAAATCATTCTTTCATCCAGCCACACACAAAATCAAAACAAAAATGAGAAAATCATTCTTTCACCCAGCCACACAGCAAAACGAAAGGCCAGAAAATCATTCTTTCACCAGCCACACAGCAAAACGAAAGGCCAGAAAATCATTCTTTCATCCAGCCACACAGCAAAACGAAAGGCCAGAAAATCATTCTTTCATCCACAGCAAAACGAAGGCAGAAAATCATTCTTTCACCCCAAAAAACGAAAGGCCAGAAAATCATTCTTTCACCCAGCCACACAGCAAAACGAAAGGCCAGAAAATCATTCTTTCACCCAGCCACACAGCAAAACGAAAGGCCAGAAAATCATTCTTTCATCCAGCCACACAGCAAAACGAAAGGCCAGAAAATCATTCTTTCACCCAGCCACAGCAAAACGAAAGGCCAGAAAATCATTCTTTCATCCAGCCACACAGCAAAACGAAAGGCCAGAAAAATCATTCTTTCATCCAACCACACAGCAAAACGAAAGGCCAGAAAATCATTCTTTCACCCAGCCACACAGCAAAACGAAAGGCCAGAAAATCATTCTTTCATCCAGCCACACAGCAAAACGAAAGGCCAGAAAATCATTCTTTCATCCAGCCACACAGCAAAACGAAAGGCCAGAAAATTATTCTTTCATCCAGCCACACAGCAAAACGAAAGGCCAGAAAATCATTCTTTCATCCCACACAGCCACAATCAGCCAAAAAACGAAGAAAATCCAGAAAAACGAAAGGCCATTCTTTCATCCCAGCCACACAAAACGAAAGGCCCTGAAAATCGTTCTTTCACCCAGCCACACAGCAAAACGAAAGGCCAGAAAATCATTCTTTCACCCAGCCACACAACAAAAAAACGAAAGGCCAGAAAAATCATTCTTTCACCCAGCCACACAAAACGAAAGGCCAGAAAATCATTCTTTCACCCAGCCACACAGCAAAACGAAAGGCCAGAAAATCATTCTTTCATCCAGCCACACAGCAAAACGAAAAAATCATTCTTTCACCCAGCCACAGCAAAACGAAAAGGCGAAAATCATTCTTCCCAGTAAAACAAAAACGAAAGGCCAGAAAATCATTCTTTCACCCAGCCACACAGCAAAACGAAAGGCCAGAAAATCATTCTTTCATCCAGCCACACAGCAAAACGAAAGGCCAGAAAATCATTCTTTCACCCAGCCACACAGCAAAACGAAAGGCCAGAAAATCATTCTTTCATCCAGCCACACAGCAAAACGAAAAGGCCAGAAAATCATTCTTTCATCCAGCCACACAGCAAAACGAAAGGCCAAAACGAACAGCAAAACGAAAGCCAGAAAATCATTCTTTCACCCAGCCACAAAGCAAACACCAGAAATCATTCTTCAAAGCCACAGCAAAACGAAAGGCCAGAAAATCATTCTTTCACCCAGCCACACAGCAAAACGAAAGGCCAGAAAATCATTCTTTCATCCAGCCACACAGCAAAACGAAAGGCAACCACACAGCAAAACGAAAGGCCAGAAAATCATTCTTTTCACCCAGCCACAGCAAAACGAAAGGCCAGAAAATCATTCCAGCCACACAGCAAAACGAAAGGCCAGAAAATCATTCTTTCATCCAGCCACAGCAAAACGAAAGGCCAGAAAATCATTCTTTCATCCAGCCACACAGCAAAACGAAAGGCCAGAAAATCATTCTTTCACCCAGCCACACCAAACGAACAAAGGCCAGAAAATCCATTCTTTCACCCAGCCACACAGCAAAACGAAAGGCCAGAAAATCATTCTTTCATCCAGCCACAGCAAAACGAAAGGCCAGAAAATCATTCTTTCATCCAGCCACACAGCAAAACGAAAGGCCAGAAAAATCATTCTTTCATCCAGCCACACAGCAAAACGAAAGGCCAGAAAATCATTCTTTCACCCAGCCACACAGCAAAACGAAAGGCCAGAAAATCATTCTTTCATCCAGCCACACAGCAAAACGAAAGGCCAGAAAATCATTCTTTCACCCAGCCACAGCAAAACGAAAGGCCAGAAAAATCATTCTTTCATCCAGCCACACAGCAAAACGAAAGCCAGAAAATCATTCTTTCACCCCAGCCACACAGCAAAACGAAAGGCCAGAAAATCATTCTTTCATCCAGCCACACAGCAAAACGAAAGGCCAGAAAATCATTCTTTCACCCACAGCCAAACGAAAGCAAAAAATCATTCTTTCAAACACAGCAAACGAAAGGCCAGAAAATCATTCTTTCATCCAGCCACACAAAACGAAAGGCCAAAAATCATTCTTTCATCCAGCCCACAGCAAAACGAAAGGCCAGAAAATCATTCTTTCATCCAGCCACACAGCAAAACGAAAGGCCAGAAAATCATTCTTTCACCCAGCCACAAAAGCAAACGAAAGGCCAGAAAATCATTCTTTCATCCAGCCACACAGCAAAACGAAAGGCCAGAAAAATCATTCTTTCACCCAGCCACACAGCAAAACGAAAGGCCAGAAAATCCATTCTTTCATCCAGCCACACAGCAAAACGAAAGGCCAGAAAATCGTTCTTTCCCCAGCCACACAGCAAAACGAAAGGCCAAGAAAATCATTCTTTCATCCAACCACACAAGCAAAACGAAAGGCCAGAAAATCATTCTTTCATCCAGCCACACAGCAAAACGAAAGGCCAGAAAATCATTCTTTCACCCAGCCACACAGCAAAACGAAAATGAGAAAATCATTCTTTCATCCAGCCACACAGCAAAACGAAAGGCCAGAAAATCATTCTTTCATCCACCCACACAGCAAAACGAAAGGCCAGAAAATCATTCTTTCATCCAGCCACACAGCAAAACGAAAGCCAGAAAATCATTCTTTCACCCAGCCACACAGCAAACGAAAGGCCAGAAAATCATTCTTTCATCCAGCCACAGCAAAACGAAAAAGCCACGAAAATCATTCTTTCTTCAAGGCAAAACGAAAGCCACAAAATCATTCTTTCGTCAGTTACACAGCAAAACGAAAAGCCAGAAAATCATTCTTTCACCATCCACACAGCAAAACGAAAGGCCAGAAAATCATTCTTTCACCCACACAGCAAAACGAAAGGCCAGAAAATCGTTCCCTTTCACCCAGCCACACAGCAAAACGAAAGGCCAGAAAATCATTCTTTTCCCCAGCCACAGCAAAACGAAAGGCCAGAAAATCATTCGCATCCGCACAGCAAAACGAAAGGCCAGAAAATCGTTCTTTCACCCAGCCACAGCAAAAACGAAAGGCCAGAAAATCATTCTTTCACCCAGCCACACAAAAAAACGAAAAGGTGCCAGAAAATCGAAAGGCCAGAAGAAATTCTTTCATCCAGCCACAGCAAAACGAAAACGAAAGACCGAAAATCATTCTTCCCCAGCCACAGAGCAAAACGAAAAGGCCCAGAAAATCATTCTTTCATCCAGCCACAGCAAAACGAAAGGCCAGAAAATCGTTCTTTCACCCACACCTGCAAAACGAAGGCCGAAAAATCGTTCTTTCATCCAACCACACAGCAAAACGAGGCCAAAATCATTCGCCACACAGCAAAACGAAGCCAGAAAATCATTCTTTCATCCAACCACACAGCAAAACGAAAGGCCAGAAAAATCATTCTTTCATCCAACAACAAAGCAAACTAAAAGGCCAGAAAATCATTCTTTCACCCAGCCACAGCAAACGAAAGGCCAGAAAAATCATTCTTTCATCCAACCACACAGCAAAACGAAGGCCAGAGAAAATCATTCTTTCACCCATTCTGCCACACACAGCAAAACGGAAGGCCAGAAAAATCATTCTTTCGTCATCCAGCCACACAGCAAAACGAAAGGCCAGAAAATCATTTCTTTCACCCCAGCCTCACAGCAAAACGAAAGGCCAGAAAATCATTCTTTCATCCCACCACAGCAAAAACGAAAAGTCAGAAAATCATTCTTTCATCCAGCCACAGCAAAACGAAAGGCCAGAAAATCATTCTTTCAGCCACACAGCAAAACGAAAGGCCAGAAAATCGTTCTTTCATCAAGCCTCACAGCAAAACGAAAGGCCAGAAAATCATTCTTTTCATCCAACCACACAGCAAAAACAAGGCCCGAAAAAATCATTCTTTCACCCCAGCCACCACAGCAAAACGAAAGGCAAGAAAATCATTCTTTCACCCAGCCACACAGCAAACGAAAGGCCGAGAAAATCATTCTTTTCGCCCAGCCACAAGCAAAACGAAAGGCCGAAAAATCATTCTTTCACCCCAGCCACACAGCAAAACAGGAAAGAAAATCATTCTTTTCATCAGCCACACAGCAAAACGAAAGAGCCGAAAAACATTCTTTCATCCAGCCACAGCAAAAACGAAAGGCCAGAAAATCATTCTTTCATCCAGCCACAGCGAAAACGCTCAAAAGCAAAACGCCAGAAAATCATTCTTTCACCCAGCCACAGCAAACGAAAGGCTGAAAATCATTCTTTCATCCAGCCACACAAAACGAAAGGCCAGAAAATCGTTCTTTCATCAGCCACACAGCAAACGAAAGGCCAGAAAATCGTTCTTTCATCCAGCCACAAAAACAGGCCAGAAAATCATTCTTTCACCCCAGCCACAGCAAAACGAAAGTCAGCCAGAAAATCATTCTTTCATCCATTCACGCAGCAAACGAAAGGCCAGAAAATGTTTCTTTCATCCAGCCACACAGCAAAACGAAAGGCCAGAAAAACGTTCTTTCACCCAGCAACACAGCAAAACGAAGACCCAGAAATCATTCTCACCAGCCACACAGCAAAACGAAAGGAAATCATTCTTTCGCCCCAGCCACACAGCAAAAGGCAAGGCAAGAAGGTACTAAAAAAGGCCAGAAAATCATTCTTTCATCCAGCCACACAGCAAAACGAAAACCAGAAGGTATTTCTTTCATCCAGCCAAGCGTTCTTTCATCCAGCCACAGCAAAACGAAAGGCCAGAAAATCATTCTTCCTTATTACAGCAAACGAAAGGCAGAAAATCGTTCTTTCGTCAGCCACACAGCAAAACGAAAGGCCAGAAAATCATTCTTTCATCCAGCCACAGCAAAACGAAAAGGCCAAATCATTCTTTCATCCAGCCACACAGCAAAACGAAAGGCCAGAAAATCGTTCTTTCACCCAGCCTCAGCAAAACGAAAGGCCAGAAAATCATTCTTTCACCAGCCACAGCAAAACGAAAGGTCAAGAAAATCATTCTTTCACCCAGCCGCATCACAAAACGAAAAGGTGAAAAATCATTCTTTCATCCAGCCACACAACAAGACGAAGGCCAGAAAATCATTCTTTCATCACCCACACAGCAAAACGAAAGCCAGAAAACATTCTTCATCCCAGCCACACAGCAAAACGAAAGGCCAATCATTCTTCACCCAACCGTAAAACGAAAGGCCAGAAAATCATTCTTTCATCCATGCAAAACGAAAGGCCAGAAAGAGCATTCTTTCATCCAGCCACAGCAAAACGAAAAGGCCAGAAAATCATTCTTTCATCCAGCCACACAGCAAAACGAAAATGAAAATCATTCTTTCATCAGCCACACAGCAAAACGAAAGGCAAAAATCATTCTTTCATCCAGCCACACAGCAAAACGAAAGGCCAGAAAATCATTCTTTCACCCAGCCACACAGCAAAACGAAAGGCCAGAAAATCATTCTTTCACCCAGCCACACAGCAAAACGAAAGGCCAGAAAATCATTCTTTCATCCAGCCACAGCAAAACGAAAGGCCAGAAAATCATTCTTTCATCCAGCCACACAGCAAAACGAAAGGCCAGAAAATCATTCTTTCATCCAGCCACACAGCAAAACGAAAAAATCATTCTTTCGCCCACACAGCAAAACGAAAAGGCCAGAAAATCATTCTTTCATCCAGCCACACAGCAAAACGAAAGGCCAGAAAAATCATTCTTTCACCCAGCCACACAGCAAAACGAAAGGCCAGAAAATCACCCAAAGCAAAACGAAAGGCCAGAAAAATCATTCTTTCATCCAGCCACACAGCAAAACGAAAAAATCATTCTTTCACCCAGCCACACAAAACGAAAAAAATCATTCTTTCATCCAGCCACACAGCAAACGAAGGCACATTCTTTCACCCAGCAAAAAAACGAAAGGCCAGAAAATCATTCTTTCACCCAGCCACACAGCAAAACGAAGGCCAGAAAATCATTCTTTCACCCAGCCACAAAAAACGAAAGGCCAGAAAATCATTCTTTCATCCAGCCACACAGCAAAACGAAAGGCCAGAAAATCATTCTTTCACCCAGCCACACAGCAAAACGAAAGGCCAGAAAATCATTCTTTCACCCAGCCACACAGCAAAAAAACGAAAGGCCAGAAAATCATTCTTTCATCCACCCACACAGCAAAACGAAAGAAAAATCATTCTTTCATCCAGCCACACAGCAAAACGAAAGGCCAGAAAATCATTCTTTCATCCAGCCACACAGCAAAACAAAGGCAAAAATCGAAGCCACAGGCAAAACGAAAAAAAACATTCTTTCATCCCAGCCACACAGCAAAACGAAATCATTCTTTCATCCAGCCAGAAAATCATTCTTTCATCCAGCCACACAGCAAAACGAAAGGCCAGAAAATCATTCTTTTCATCCAGCCACACAGCAAAACAGCAAAACGAAAGGCCAGAAAATCATTCTTTCACCCAGCCACAGGAAAGGCCAGAAAATCATTCTTTCATCCAGCCACACAGCAAAACGAAAGGCCAGAAAATCATTCTTTCACCCACAGCAAAAACACAGCAAAAAACAAAGCCACAGAAAATCATTCTTTCATCCAGCCACACAGCAAAACGAAAGGCCAGAAAAATCATTCTTTCACCCAGCCAACAGCAAAACGAAAGGCCAGAAAATCATTCTTTTCACCCAGCCACACAGCAAAACGAAAGGCCAGAAAATCATTCTTTCATCCAGCCACACAGCAAAACGAAAGGCCAGAAAATCATTCTTTCACCCCAGCCACACAGCAAAACGAAAGGCCAGAAAATCATTCTTTCGTCAGCCACACAGCAAAACGAAAGGCCAGAAAATCATTCTCATCCATACAACAGCAAAACGAAGGCCAGAAAATCATTCTTTCACCCAGCCACACAGCAAACGAAAATGAAAACCACTTTCACCCAGCCACACATGCAAAACGAAGGCCGAAAATCATTCTTTTCATCCAATACAGCCACACTCACCCAGCCACAAACTGAAAGGCCAGAAAATCGTTCTTTCACCCAGCCACATTCTTTCACCAAACAGCAGACGAAAGGCCAGAAAATCATTCTTTCATCCCAGCCACACAGCAAAACGAAAGGCCAGAAAATCATTCTTTCATCCAGCCACACAGCAAACGAAAAGGCCAGAAATCATTCTCACCCCACACAGCAAAACGAAAAGGCTGAAAATCATTCTTTCACCCAGCCACACAGCAAAACGAAAGGCAGAAAATCGTTCTTTCATCCAACACAGCAAAACAATGAAAAATCATTCTTTCACCCCAGCCACACAGCAAAACGAAAAGAAAAATCATTCTTTCACCCAGCCACACAGCAAAACGAAAGGCCAGAAAAAATCATTCTCATCCAGCCACAGCAAAACAAAAATGAAAATCATTCTTTCACCCAACACACAGCAAAACGAAAGGCCAGAAAACCATTCTTTCATCCAGGCACACCAGCAAAACAAAAGGCCAGAAAAATCCATTCTTTCACACAGCAAAACGAAAGGCCAGAAAATCATTCTTTCATCCACCACACAGCAAAACGAAAGGCCAGAAAATCATTCTTTTCACCCAACCACAGCAGTAAAACGAACGGCCAGAAAATCGTTCTTTCACCCAGCCACACAGCAAAACGAAAGGCCTGAAAATCATTCTGTCACCCAATACACACAAAACGAAAGGCCAGAAAAATCCATTCTTTCATCCCAGCCACACAAAACGAAAGGCCAGAAAATCATTCTTTCACCCCACACAGCAGCAAAACGAAAGGCCGAAAAATCGTTCTTTTCTTACCCACACCACACACAGCCAAAAAATCGAAAGGCCAAGAAAATCATTCTTTCTCCAGCCACGCAGCAAAACGAAGGCCAGAAAATGTTCTTTCACCCACCACACAGCAAAACGAAAGACGAAAATCATTCTTTCATCCAGCCACACGGTAAAACGAAAGGCCAGAAAATCCATTCTTTCATCCACCACAGCAAAACGAAAGGCCAGAAAATCATTCTTTCACCCCAGCCACACAACAAAGCAGAAAGCCAGAAAATCCCATTCTTTCACCCAGCCACACAGCAAAACGAAAGGCCAAAAATCATTCTTTCATCCCAGCCACACAGCAAAACGAAAGGCCAGAAAATCATTCTTTCACCCCAGCCACACAGCTAAAACAAAGGCCAGAAAATCATTCTTTCATCCAGCCACAGCAAAACGAAAAAGATGAAAAATCTAAAACGGGAAAGCCAGAAATCATTACTTTCACCCCACACACAGCAAAACGAAAAGCTGAAAATCATTCTTTCATCAAGCCACACAGCAAAACGAAAGGCCAAAATCGTTCTTTCACCAGCCACACAGCAAAACGAAAGGCTGAAAAATCGTTCTCTTTCACCCAACCACACAGCAAAAGCGAAAGGCCAGAAAATCATTCTTTCATCCAGCCACAGCAAAACGAAAGGCCAGAAAATCATTCTTTCACCCAGCCACAACCAAAAACGAAAGGCCAGAAAATCATTTCTTTCTGCAACCACAGTAAAACGAAAATACAGAAAATCATTCTTTCACCCAGCCACAGCAAAACGAAGGCCAGAAAATCGTTCTTTCATCCAGCCACAGCAAAACGAAAGGCCAGAAAATCATTCTTTCACCCTGCCACACAGCAAACGAAAGGCCAGAAAACCATTCTTTCACCCAGGCACACAGCAAAACGAAAGGCCAGAAAATCATTCTTTCACCCAGCCACACAGCAAAGAAAGCCAGAAAATCATTCTTTCATCCAGCCACACAGCAAAACGAAGGCCAGAAAATCGTTCTTTCACCCCAGCCACACAGTAAAACGAACGGCCGAAAATCATTCTTTTCACCCCAGCCACACAGCAAAACGAAAGCCTGAAAAATCATTCTTTCACCCAGCCACACAGCAAAACGAAAAGGCCAGAAAATCATTCTTTCATCCATCCACAGCAAACAAAGGCCAGAAAATCATTCTTTCACCCAGCCACACAGCAAACGAAAGGCCAGAAAATCATTCTTTCACCCAACCCACACTTTCACCCCCATTACACAGCAAAACGAAAGGCCAGAAAATCATTCTTTCATCAGCCACACAGCAAAACCTTGAGCCAGAAAATCATTCTTTCACCCAGCCCGCACAGCAAAACGAAGGCCAGAAAATCATTCTTTCGTCCAGCCACACAGCAAAACGAAAGGCCAGAAAATCGTTCTTTCACCCAGCCACACAGCAAAACGAAGGGCAAAATCATTCTTTCATCCAGCCACACAGCAAAACGAAGCCAGAAAATCATTCTTTCCTGACCACAGCAAAACGAAACGGCCAGAAAATCATTCTTTTCACTAGCCACACAGCAAAACGAAAGCCAGAAAATCCCATTCTTTCACCCACCACACAGCAAAACGAAAGGCCGAAAATCATTCTTTCATCCAACCGGCAAAACGCCAAACATCCAGCCAAACGAAAATGAAAATCATTCTTTCACCCCAGCCAAGCAAAACGAAAGGCCAGAAAATCATTCTTTCCAGCCACACAACAAAACGAAAGGCCAGAAAATCATTTCTTTCACCCAGCCACACAACAAAACGAAAAGGCTGAAAATCATTCTTTTTCACCCAGCCACACAGCAAACGAAAATGAAAATCATTCTTTCATCCAGCCACAGCAGCAAAACGAAAGGCCAGAAAATCATTCATTCTTTGTCATCCTTCATCCAGCCACACAGCAAAACAGAAAGGCAGAAAATGACTCTTTCATCCAGCCACACAGCAAAACGAAAGGCCAGAAAATCATTCTTTCACCTGCCACGCAGCAAAACGAAAGAAAGCCAGAAAAATTATTCTCCACACAGCCTTCTTATAAAAACGAAGGCCAGAAAATCATTCTTTCACCCACCCACACAGCAAAACGAAAGGCATTCTTTCACCAATACACAGCAAAACGAAGACGTTCTCATCCAACCACACAGCAAAACGAAAAGAATGAAAATCATTCTTTCGTCCAGCCACACAGCAAAACGAAAGGCCAGAAAATCATTCTTTCACCCAGCCACAGCAAAACGAAAGGCCAGAAAATCATTCTTTCACCCAGCCACACAGCAAAACGAAAGCCAGAAAATCATTCTGCCAGCTCATCCATCATTTCACCCCAGCCACACAGCACGAAAGGCCAGAAAATCATTCTTTCACCCAGCCACAGCAAAACGAAAGCCAGAAAATCATTCTGTCCAGCCACAGCACCGACGAAAGGCCAGAAAATCATTCTTTCATCCACCTCACAGCAAAACGAAAAGGCCAAAATCATTCTTTCATCAGCCACACAGCAAAACGAAAGGCCAGAAAATCATTCTTTCACCCAGCCACACATCAAAACGAAGGCCAAAAATCGTTCTTTCACCCAGCCACACAGCAAAACGAAAGGCCAGAAAATCATTCTTTCATCCAGCCACACAGCAAAACGAAAGGCCAGAAAATCATTCTTTCATCCAGCCACAGCAAAACGAAAGGCCAGAAAATCATTCTTTCATCCAACCACACAGAAAAACGAAGGCCAATCATTCTTTCATCAGCCACACAGTAAAACGAAAGGCCAGAAAATCATTCTTTCATCCAGCCACACAGCAAAACGAAAGGCCAGAAAATCATTCTTTCATCCAGCCACCACGCAAAACGAAAAGGAAAATCATTCTTTCATCCAGCCACCACAGCAAAACGAAAGGCCAGAAAATCATTCTCACCCAGCCACAAGCAAAACTAAAGGCCAAAAAATCATTCTTTCCCCAGCCACACAGCAAAACGAAAGGCCATTCTCGTCAAAAGCAAAACGAAAGCCAGAAAATTCTTTCATCCAGCCACACAGCAAAACGAAAGGCCAGAAAAATCATTCTTTCATCCAGCCACACAGCAAAACGAAGGCCAAAATGAAAATCATTCTTTCATCCAGCACATAGCAAAACGAAAGGCCAGAAAATCATTCTCATCCAGCCACAGCAAAACGAAGGCGAAAAAATTCTTTTAAATACCCCAGCCACACAGCAAAACGAAAGGCCAGAAAATCATTCTTTCATCCAGCCACAGCAAAACGAAAGGCCAGAAAATCATTATTTGCATTTCTTTCATCCAGCCACAGCAAAAAATCGTTCTTTCATCAACACAGCAAACGAAAAACCAGAAAATCATTCTTTCATCCAGCCACAGCAAAACGAAAAGGCTGAAAACCTTCTTTCATCAACCACACAGCAAAACGAAAAGCCAGAAAATCGTTCTTTCATCCAGCCACCAAAGCAAACTAAAATGAAAATCATTCTTTCATCAGCCACACAGCAAAACGAAAAGGCCAGAAAATCATTCTTTCATCCAGCCACACAGCAAAACGAAAAAACAGAAAATCATACTTTCACCCCAGCCACACAGCAAAACGAAAGGCCAAAAATCGTTCTTTCATCCAGCCACACAGCAAAACAGGCCAGAAAATCATTCTTTCATCAGCCACTCAGCAAAACGAAAAGGCCAGAAAAATCATTCTTTCATCCCAGCCACACAGCAAAAGCAAAGAAAGGCCAGAAAAATCATTCTTTCATCCAGCCACACAGCAAAACGAAAAGGCCAGAAAAATCGTTCTTTCACCCCCAGCCACACAAAACGCAAAACGAAAACGAAAGTCAGAAAATCATTCTTTCACCCACAGCCAAAACGAAAAGGCCAGAAAATCATTCTTTCACCCAGCCACACAGAAAACGAAAAGGCAGAAAATCATTCTTTCACCCAGCCACAAAACGCAAGACGATTCTCATCCAGCCACAGCAAAACGAAAAATCATTCTTTCATCAAGCCTCACAGCAAAACGAAAGGCCGAAAATCATTCTTCATCCAGCCACAGCAAACGAAAAGCGAAAAATCATTCTTTCATCCAGCCACACATCAAAACGAAGCCAGAAAATTATTCTTTCACCCAACCACACAGCAAAACGAAAGGCCAGAAAATCATTCTTTCATCCCATCAGCCACACAGCAAAACGAAAGGCCAAGAAAATCATTCTTTCATCCAGCCACACAGCAAAACGAAAGGCCAGAAAATCATTCTTTCATCCAGCCACTGGTAAAACGAAAGGCCAGAAAATCATTCTTTCATCCAACCACAACCAAAACGAAAGGCCAGAAAATCATTCTTTCATCCAGCCACACAGCAAAACGAAAGGCCGAAAATCATTCTTTCATCCAGCCACACAGCAAAACGAAAGGCCAAAAATCCGTTCTTTCACCCAGCCACACAGCAAAACGGTGAAAATCATTTCTTTCGCAACCACACAGCAAAACGGCCAGAAAATCATTCTTTCATCAGCCACACAGCAAAACGAAAGGCCAAAAATCGTTCTTTCACCCCCACACAGCAAAACGAAGGCCTGAAAATCATTCTTTCATCCCAGCCACACAGCAAAACGAAAAGCCAGAAAATCATTCTTTCATCCCAGCCCACACAGCAAACGAAAATTGAAAATCATTCTTTTCATCCAGCCACACAGCAAACGAAGGCCAGAAAATCATTCTTTCACCCCAGCCACACAGCAAAACGAAAGGCCAGAAAACCATTCTCACCCCAGGCACACAGCAAAACGAAAGGCTGAGAAAATCATTCTTTCATCCAGCCCACACGGCAAAACGAAAAAATCATTCTTTCACTTGCCAGCAAAATCATTCTTTTCCCAGCCACACCAGCAAAACGAACGGCCAGAAAATCATTCTTTCTCCCAGCCACACAGCAAAACGAAAGGCCAGAAAATCATTATTTCATCCAGCCACACAGCAAAACGAAAGGCCAGAAAATCATTCTTTCTTTCACCCCAGCCACACAGCAAAACGAAAGGCCAAAAATCATCATTCTTTCATCCAGCCACACAGCAAAACGAAAAACCAGAAAATCATTCTTTCACCCCCACCCACAGCAAAACGAAAAGAACAGAAAATCATTCTTTCATCCAGCCACACCACAAAACGAAAGCCAGAAAAACATTCTTTTCATCCCAACCACACAGCAAAAACCAGAAAATCATTCTTTCATCAGCCACAGCAAACGAAAGGCCAGAAAATCATTCTTTCATCCAGCCACACAGCAAAACGAAGGCGAAAATCATTCTTTTCACCCCAGCCACGCCAAAGAAAATCATTCTTTCATCCAGCCACAGCAAAACAAAACAAGAAAATCATTCTTTCACCCCGACCACAGCCAAAGGCGAAAATCATTCTTTCATCCAGCCACACAGCAAAACGAAAAGGCCAGAAAAATCGTTCTTTCACCCAGCCACACAGCAAAACGAAAGGCCAGAAAATCATTCTTTCATCCCAGCCACACAGCAAAACGAAAAGGCCAGAAAATCATTCTTTCATCAGCCACACAGCAAAACGAAGGCCAGAAAATCGTTCTTTCACCCCAGCCACAGAGCCAAAACGAAAGGCCGAAAATCATTCTTTCACCCAGCCACACAGCAAAACGAAAGGCCAGAAAACCATTCTCATTCTTCTTTCACCCCAGCCACCTTCAAAACGAAAAGCCAGAAAATCATTCTTTCACACCCCACCCACAAAAACGAAAGGACAGAAAATCATTCGTTTCACCCAGCCACACAGCAAAACGAAAGGCCAGAAAATCATTCTTTCATCCCAGCCACAGCAGCAAAACAGAAAAGGCCAGAAAATCATTCTTTCATCCAACCACACAGCAAAACGAAAGGCCAGAAAATCGTTCTTTCACCCACCCACACAGCAAACGAAAAGGCCAGAAAATCATTCTTTCATCCAGCCACACAGCAAAACGAAAGGCCACAGCAAAAATTATTCTTTTCATCCAACCACACAGCAAACGAAAGAAATGCTTTCCCCAGAAAAAACGAAAGGCCAGAAAATCATTTCTTTCATCGAAAGGCCAGCCAATCATTCATCCAAGCAAAACGAGCCAGAAAATCATTCATTCATCAGCCACACAGCAAACGAAAGGCCAGAAATTATTCTTTCTCACTGGCAGCAAAACGAAGGCCAGAAAATCATTCTTTCATCCCCCACACACAGCAAAACGAAAGGCCAGAAATCATTCTTTCATCCAGCCACACAGTAAAACGAAAGGCCAAAAATCATTCTTTCGTCAGCCACAGCAAAACGAAAGGCAGAAAATCATTCTTTCACCCCAGCCACACAGCAAAACGAAAGGCCAGAAAAATCACCCCAGCCACATGAAACGAAGGCCAGAAAATTCTTTCATCCAGCCACAGCAAAACGAAAGGCCAGAAAATCGTTCTTCACCCAGCCACACAGCAAAACGAAAGAAAAGAAAATCGTTCTTTCACCCCAGCCACAGCCAAGAGCAAAAGGCCAGAAAATCATTCTTTCATCAGCCACAGCAAAACGAAGGCCGAAAATCGTTCTTCGCAGCCACTGACCACAAACAAAAGGCAGAAAATCATTCTTTCACCCACCACACAAAACGAAAGGCCAGAAAATCATTCTTTCACCCAGCCACACAGCATGACGAAGGCCAGAAAATCATTCTCATCCAGCCACACAGCAAACGAAAGGCCGAAAATCATTCTTTCACCAACCACACAGCAAAACGAAAGGCCAAAATCATTCTTTCACCCAGGCTTTGCACAAAACGAAAGGCTAGAAAATCATTCTTTCATCCAGCCACACAGCAAACGAAAGGCCAGAAAATCATTCTGTTCCAGCCACACAGCAAACGAAAGGCCAGAAAATCATTCTTTCCCAGCCACACAGCAAAACGAAAGGCCAGAAAAATCGTTCTTTCCCAACCACGGTAAAACGAACGGCCGAAAATCGTTCTCACCCACCCACAGCAAAGCAAAACGAAAGGCCACGAAAATCATTCTTTCATCATACACAGCAAAACGAAAGGCCAGAAAATCATTCTTTCACCCCAGCCACACACAGCAAAACGAAAGGCCAGAAAACCATTCTTTCACCCCAGGCACACAAAACGAAAGCCAGAAAAATCATTCTTTCACCCAACCACAGCAAAACGAAGGCCAGAAAATCGTTCTTTCATCAGCCACACAGCAAACGAAACGAAGGCCAGAAAATCATTCTTTCGCAGCCACACAGCAAAACGAAGGCACGAAATCATTCTTTCACCCAGCCACACAGTAAAACGAACAGCCAGAAAATCATTCTTTCACCCAACCACACAGCAAAACGAAAGCCTGAAAATCATTCTTTCATCCAGCCACAGCAAAACGAAAGGCCAGAAAATCATTCTTTCACCCAGCCACACAAAACGAAAGGCCGAAAATCATTCTTGCCCAGCCACAGCAAAACGAAAATGAAAATCATTTCTCCCCCAGCCACACAGCAAAACGAAAATGAAAATCGTCTTTCATCCAGCCACACAACAAAACGAAAGGCCAGAAAATCATTCTCCCAGCCACACAGCAAAACGAAAAGAACAGAAAATCATTCTTTCATTCAACCACAGTAAAACGAAAGGCCAGAAAATCATTCTTTTCACCCAGCCACACAGCAAAACGAAAAGAAAATCATTTTTTCACCCATCCACACAGCAAAACGAAAAGCCAGAAAATCATTCTTTCCACCCCAGCCACACAGCAAAACGAAAGGCCAGAAAATCGTTCTTTTCACCCAGCCACACAGCAAAACGAAAGGCCAGAAAATCATTCTTTCACCCAGCCACACAGCAAAACGAAAGCCAAGAAAATCATTTTCTTTCATCCAGCCACACAGTAAAACGAAGGCCAGAAAATCATTCTTTTCACCCCAACCACACAGCAAAACGAAAGGCCAGAAAACAATTCTTTCATCCAGCCACAGCAAAACGAAAGGCCAGAAAATCATTCTTTCACCCAGCCACACAGCAAAACGAAAGGCCAAAAATCATTCTTTCACCCCAGCCACACAGCAAACGAAAACTGAAATTCGTTCTTTCATCAAGGACAGAAAATCATTCTTTCATCAACCAAAGGCACAACCACAAAACGTTCTTTCCTTTAAAGCAGAGGCCAGAAAATCCGTTTTCTTTCACCCCAGCCACAGTGAGCCAGCCACCACAGCAAAACGAAAGGCCAGAAAATCATTCTTTCATCCCAGCCACACAGCAGCAAAACGAAAGGCCAGAAAATTCTTTCTCACCCAGCCACACAGCAAAACGAGCAGAAAATCGTTCTTTCACCCAACCACAGCAAACGAAAGGCCAGAAAATCGTTATTTCACCCAACCATCAACAGCAACAAAACGAAAGGCCAGAAAATCATTCTTTCATCAAAACGCCACACCACAGCAAAACGAAAGGTGAAAAATGTTCTTTCCCAGCCACGGTAAAACGAAAGGCCAGAAAATCATTCTTTCATCAGCCACAGCAAAACGAAAGGCCAGAAAAATCATTCTTTCGTCCAGCCACACAGCAAAACGAGGCCAGAAAATCATTCATTCATCCAGCCAGCAAAACGAAGGCCCGAAAATCGATTCTTCATCCAGCCACACAGCAAAACGAAGGCCAGAAAATCATTCTCCACACAGCAAAACGAAAGGCCACATTCTTTCATCAGCCAAAAAACGAAAGGCCAGAAAATCATTCTTTCATCCCAGCCACACAGCAAAACGAAAGGCCAGAAAATCATTCTCACCCCACCCAGCCAAACAGCAATCCAACCACACCCAGAAACAAAGGCCAGAAAATCATTCTTTCACCCAGCCACACATCAAAACGAAAATGAAAAACATTCTTTCATCAACCACACAGCAAACGAAAAGCCGAAATCATTCTTTCTCCAGCCACACAGCAAAACGAAGAGCCACATTCTCATCCAACCACAGCAAAACGAAAACCAGAAAAACCTTTCATCAGCCAAAACGAAGGCCAGAAATCATTCTTTCATCCAGCCACACAGCAAAACGAAGGCCAGAAAATCATTCTTTCATCCAGCCACACAGCAAAACGAAAGGCCAGAAAGGGTGTTCTTTCATCCAGCCACAGCAAAACGAAAGGCCGAAAATCATTCTTTCATCCAGCCACAGCAAAACGAAAGGCAAACGAAAGGAAGCCAGAAAATCCTTCACTTCATCCAGCCACACAGGCCAAAATTCTTTCATCCAGAAGGCAGAAAAAAATCATTCTTTCATCCAGCCACACAGCAAAACGAAAGGCAGAAAATCATTCTCGTCCAGCCACTGGCGAACAGCCACATCCAGCCACACACGTGAAAGGCCAGAAAATCGTTCTTTCATCCACAGCCAGAAGGCAAATCGTTTCTTTCCTTCAGCCACACAGCAAAACGAAAGGCCAGAAAATCGAAAATCATTCTTTCGTCCAGCCACACAGCAAAACGAAGGCCAGAAAATCATTCTTTCACCCCATACTAGCAAAACGAGCCACAGTGAGACACGAAAGGCTGAAAAACGTTCTTTCATCCAGCCACACACAGCAAAACGAAGGCAGAAAAATCATTCTTTCATCCAGCCACACAGCAAAACGAAGGCCAGAAAATCCATTCTTTCACCCAATAAAGTAAAACGAAGACGAAAAATCACACCCCAGCCAAAAACGAACGAAAATCCCATTCTTTCATCCAGCCACACAGCAAAACGAAAGCCAGAAAATCATTCTTTCACCCACCCACAGCAAAACGAAAGGCCAGAAAATCATTCTTTCACCCCAGCCACACACAGCAAAACGAAAGGCCAGAAAATCGTTTCTTTCACCCAGCCACAGCAAAACGCAAAGGCCAGAAAATCATTCTTTCGCCACACAGCAAAAAACGAAAGGCCAGAAAAATCGTTCTTTCACCCAGCCACACAGCAAAACGAAAGGCCAGAAAACCATTCTTTCCCCAGGCACAGCAAACGAAGGCCAGAAAATCATTCTTTCACCCACCCAGCAGCAAAACGAAGGCCAGAAAATCCTTTTCATCCAGCCACAGTAAAACGAACGGCCAGAAAAACATTTCTTTCACCCCAGCCACAGCAAAACGAAAGGCCAGAAAATCTTCTTCATCAACCACCCGCAAAACGAACGGCCAGAAAATCATTCTTTTCACCCCCACACACACAGCAAAACGAAAAGGAAAATCATTCTCATCCAACCACAGCAAAACGAAAGGCCAGAAAATCATTCTTTTCACCCAGCCACACAGCAAAACGAAAAGGCCAGAAAATCATTCTTTCATCACCACACAGCAAAAACGAAAGGCCAGCCAGAAAATTTCTTTCACCCCAGCCACACAGCAAAACGAAGAACGAAAGATCGTTCTTTCATCAGCCACACAGCAAAACGAAAGGCCAGAAAATCATTCTTTCACCCCAGCCACACAGCAAAACGAAAGAACGAAAATGTTCTTTCACCCATCCACACAGCCAAAACAAAGGCCAAAACGAAAATCATTCTTTCACCCAACCACACACAGCAAAACGAAAGGCCAGAAAATCATTCTTTCACCCAGAAAATCATTCTTTCACCACAGCAAACGAAAAGCCAGAAAATCGTTCTTTCACCCCAACCACACAACAAACGAAAGGCCAGAAAATCATTCTTTTCATCAGCCACACAGAAAAACAAAACGAAAATCGTTCTTTCTTTAGCCAGAAAATCCAGAAAATCATTCTTTCATCCAGCCACACAGCAAAACGAAAGGCCAGAAAATCATTCTTTCACCCCAGCCACAGCAAAACGAAAAGGCAAAAATCGATTCTTTCAGGCCAGAAAATCGTTCTTCCCCGCTAAACACACGCAAAACGAAAGGCCAGAAAACCATTCTTTCGTCCAGCCACACAGCAAAACGAAAGCCAGAAAATCATTCTCCAGCCACACAGCAAAACGAAAAGGCCAGAAAACCATTCTTTCATCCAGCCACACAGCAAAACGAAAGGCCAGAAAATCATTCTTTTCCCAGCCACAGCAAAACGAAAGGCCAGAAAATCATTCTTTTCACCCAGCCACAGTGAAACGAGGCAGAAAATCATTCTTTCACACCCACACCAGTGGAAACGAAAGGCCAGAAAATCATTCTTTCATCCAGCCACACAGCAAAACGAAAGGCCAGAAAAACCGTTCTTTCACCCCAGCCACACAGCAAAACGAAAAGGCAGAAAATCATTCTTACCCCAGCCACACAGCAGCAAAACGAAAGAGCCAGAAAAATCATTCTTTCACCCCAACCACAGAAAGGCAAAACGAAAGGCAAACAAAGGCCATCATTATTTCACCCCAGCCACACAGCAAAACGAAAGGCATGAAAATCATTCTTTCATCCAGCCACACAGTAAAACGAACGGCAGAAAACATTCTTTCATCCAGCCACACAGCAAAACGAAAAGGCCTCATTTCTCGCCAGCCCACAGCAAAACGAAAGGCCAAAAATTATTCTTTCGTCAACCCACAGCAAAACGAAGGCCGAAAATCGTTCTTTCATCCCACCACACAGCCAAACGAAGGCCGAAAATCGTTCTTTCGTCAGCCCGCAGAAAAGAAAGGCCAGAAAATCATTCTTTCACCCCAGCCACACAGCAAACGAAAGAACAGAAATCATTCTTTCATCCAGCCACACAGCAAAACGAAGAAAAATCGTTCTTTCATCCCAGCCACAGCAAAACGCAAGAAAATCATTCTCACCCCATCCACAGCAAAACGAAAGAAAAATCATTCTTTCATCCCAGCCACACAGCAAAACGAAAGGCCAAATCATTCTTTCACCAGAAAAAAACGAAAATCATTCTTTCATCCATCAGCCACACAGCAAACGAAGGCCAGAAAATCATTCTGCCATCCAGCCACACAGCAAAACGAAAGGCCATTCACCTTAATACAGAAAATCATTCTTCACCCCAACCACACAGCAGCAAAACGAAAGGCCAAGAAAATCAAAGGCAAAGGCCAGAATTCATTCTTTCATCCAGCCACAGCAAAACGAAAGGCCAAAATCATTTTTTCACCCAGAAAAACGAAATCATTCTTTTCACCCAGCCACACAGTAAAACGAAAGGCCAGAAAATCATTCTTTCACCCCATTTTTAGTAAAACGAAAGGCCAGAAAATCATTCTTTCACCCCAGCCACACATCAAAACGAAAGCCAGAAAACCATTCTTTCATCCAGCCAAAAACATTCTTTCATCCAAAATCGCCACACCACACAGCAAAACGAAAGGCCAGAAAATCATTCTTTCACCCAACCACACAAAACAAAACGAAAATCATTCTTTCATCCAGCCACACAGCCGAAAGAAAATCATTCTTTCATCCAGCCACACAGCAAAACGAAAAACCAAAAATCATTCTTTCATCAATACACAGCAAAACGAAAGGCCAGAAAAATCATTCTTTCATCCAGCCACAGCAAAACGAAAGGCCAGAAAAACATTCTTTCATCCAGCCACACAGCAAACGAAAAGGCCAGAAATCGTTCTTTCATCCAGCCACACAGCAAAACGAAAACCAGAAAATCGGTATTCTTTCATCCAGCCACACAGCAAAACGAGCCAGAAAATCATTCTTTCATCCAGCCACAGCAAAACGAAAGGCCAGAAAATCATTCTTTCATCCAGCCACACAGCAAACGAAGGCCAGAAAATCATTCTCATCCAGCCAAGGCCACATTCTTTCATCCGTAAAAAACGAAAGGCCAGAAAATCATTCTTTCATCCAGCCACAGCAAAACGAAAGGTGAAAATCATTCTTTCACCAGCCACAGCAAACGAAAGGCCAGAAAATCGTTGCTTCATCCAGCCACACAGCAAAACGAAGGCCAGAAAATCATTCTTTCACCCAGCCACAGCAAAACGAAAGGCCGAAAAAATTCTTTCTCCAGCAGCCACACAGCAAAACGAAAGGCCAGAAAATCATTCTTTCATCCAGCCACACAGCAAAACGAAAGGCCAGAAAATCATTCTTTCATCAGCCACACCACAGCAAAACGAAAATGAAAAACCTTCTTTCATCAGCCACACAGCAAAACGAAAGGCCAGAAAATCATTCTTTCATCCAGCCACAGCAGAAAACGAAAGGCCAGAAAAACATTCTTTCATCCAGCCACAGCAAAACGAAAGGCCAGAAAAATATTCTTTTCATCCAGCCACACAGCAAAACGAAAGGCCGAAAATCATTCTTTCACCCAACCACACAGCAAAACGAAAGGCCAGAAAATCATTCTCATCAACCACACAGCAAAACGAAAAGGCCAGAAAAAATCATTCTTTCATCAGCCACACAGCAAACGAAAGGCCAGAAAATCATTCTTTCACCCAGCCACACAACCAAAACGAAAGGCCAGAAAATCCATTCTCATCCAGCCACACAGCAAAACGAAAGGCCAGAAAATCATTCTTTCATCCAGCCACACAAAACAGCAAAACCGTTTCTTTGTCAGCCAACAGCAAAACGAGCCAGAAAATCATTCTTTCATCCCCCAGCCACACAGCAAAACGAAAGGCCAGAAAAATCATTCTTTCATCCAGCCACACAGCAAAACGAAAAGGCCAGAAAACCGTTCTTTCACCCAGCCACACAGCAAAACGAAAACTGAAAATCATTCTTTCACCCACCACAGCAAAACGAAAGGCCAGAAAATCATTTCTTTCATCCACCACAGCAAAACGAAAGGCCAGAAAAACATTCTTTCACCCCAGCCACAGGAAAATCAAAACACAGAAAACCAGAAAATCATTTCTTTCACCCCACCACACAGTAAAACGAAAGGCCAGAAAATCATTCTTTCACCCCAGCCACAGCAAAACGAAAGGCCAGAAAATCATTCTTTCATCAGCCACACAGCAAAACGAAGGCCCAGAAAATCATTCTTTCACCCCAGCCACACAGCAAAACGGCCAGAAAATCATTCTTTCCACTGACCACACAGCAAAACGAAAGGCCAGAAAATCATTCTCACCCCAGCCACACAGCGAGCAAGGCCAGAAAATCATTCTTTCATCCAGCCACACAGCAAAACGAAAATGAAAATCATTCTTTCACCCCAGCCACAGCAAAACGAAGGCCAGAAAACCGTTCTCGCACGGGCGCAGCATATTAACCAAAACGAAAGGCCAGAAAATCGTTTCTTTCCCAGCCACACAGCAAAACGAAAATGAAAATCATTCTTTCATCCAAGCCACACAGCAAAACGAAAGGCCAGAAAATCATTCACCCAACCACACAGTAAAACGAAAGGCCAGAAAATCGTTCTTTCACCCAGCCACACAGCAAAACGAAAGGCCAGAAAATCATTCTTTCATCAGCCACACAGCAAAACGGCCAGAAAATCATTCTTTCATCCAGCCACAGCAAAACGAAGGCCAGAAAATCATTCTTTCATCCAGCCACACAGAAAAACGAAAGGCCAGAAAATCCCATTCTTTCATCCAGCCACACAGCAAAACGAAAGGCCAGAAAATCATTCTTTCATCCAACCACAAAACAAAGGCCAGAAAATGAAAATCCAGCCACAGCAAAACGAAAACCACATTCTCAACAAAGCAAAGCAAAGGCCAAGAAAAACCTTCTCGTCAACCACACAGCAAAACGAAAGGCCAGAAAATGTTCTTTCACCCAGCCACTTTAGCAGCAAAACTAAAAGGCTGAAAATCATTCTTTTTCACCCAGCCACAGCAAACGAAAATGAAAATCATTCACATCCAGCCACAGCAGCAAAACGAAAGGCCAAAATTCTTTCATCCAGCCACACAGCAAACGAAAATGAAAATCATTCTTTGTCAACCACACCAGAAAACGAAAGGCAGAAAATCGTTCTTTCCAACCACTCAGCAAAACAGAAGGCCGAAGAAAATCGTTCTCATCCAGCCACACAGCAAAACAAAGGCCAGAAAATCATTCTTTCATCCACTGGCAAAACGAAAATCGTTCTTTCACCCAACCACACAACAAAACGAAAAGGCCAGAAAATCGTTCTCCACACAGCCTACACAAAACAAAGGCAAAAACGAAGCCACACAGAAAATCATTCTTTCATCCACACAGCAAAACGAAAGGCGAAAAATCATACTTTCACCCAGCCACCTCAAAACGAAAAGCCAGAAAATCATTCTTCATCCAGCCACACAGCAAAACGAAAGGCCAGAAAATCATTCTTTCACCCAGCCACATCAAAACGAAGGCCAAATTAACTCTTCCACCCACACAGCAAACGAAAGCCAGAAAATCATTCTGCCAGCCACACAAAACGAAAAGGCTGAAAATCATTTCTTTCACCCCAGCCACACAGCAAAACGAAAGGTCAGAAAATCATTCTTTCACCCAGCCACAGCAAAACGAAAGGCCAGAAAATCATTCTTTCCAGCCACACAGCAAAACGAAAGGCCAGAAAATCATTCTTTCATCCACCTCACAGCAAAACGAAAAGCCAGAAAAATCATTCTCATCCAGCCACACAGCAAAACGAAAGGCCAGAAAAAACCTTCTTTCATCCAACCACACATCAAAACGAAAAGGCAGAAAAATCATTCTTTCACCCAGCCACACAGCAAAACGAAAGGCCAAAAATCATTCTTTCATCCAGCCACACAGCAAACGAAAGGCTGGAAAATCATTCTTTCATCCAGCCACAGCAAAACGAAAGGCCAGAAAAATCATTCTTTCATCCAGCCACACAGAAAAACGAGGCCAGAAAATCATTCTTTCATCCAGCCACACAGCAAAACGAAAGGCCAGAAAATCATTCTTTCATCCAGCCACGGCAAAACGAAAGGCCAGAAAATCATTCTTTCATCCAGCCACACAGCAAACAGAAAGGCCGGAAATCGTTTTTCATCCAGCCACACGGCAAAACGAAAGGCCAGAAAATCATTCTCACCCAGCCACACAGCAAAACGAAGGCAAAAAAATCTTCTCACCCCAGCCACACAGCAAAACGAAAGCGAAAACCATTCTCGTCAGCCAGAAAAAACGGCCATTTCACCCCAGCCACACAGCAAAACGAAAGGCCAGAAAATCATTCTCATCCAGCCACACAGCAAAACGAAATGAAAATCATTCTTTCACCCAACCACACAGCAAAACGAAAATGAAAAATTCTTTCATCATTCATTCTCATCCAGCCACAGCAAAACGAAAACCACCCAGCCACACAGCAAAACGAAAGGCCAGAAAATCATTCTTTCATCCCAACCACACAGCAAAACGAAAGGCCAGAAAATCATTATTATTTCTTTCATCCAGCCACAGCAAAGCGGGTTTTGAAAAATCGTTCTTTCATCAAAAAAACCAGAAAATTATTCTTTCATCCAGCCACAGCAAAACGAAGGCTGAAAATTGTTCTTTCATCCAGCCACACAGCAAAACGAAAAGCCAGAAAAACATTCTCATCCATCCAGAAAATGAAAATCCTTTCATCAGCCACACAGCAAAACGCCCAGAAAATCATTCTTTCATCCAGCCACACAGCAAACGAAAAGAAAATCGTTCTTTCATCCAGCCCAAAAAACGAAAATTCTTTTTCATCCAGCCACACAGCAAGGCAAAGGCCAGAAAATCATTCTCATCACCACACAGCAAAACGAAAAGGCCAGAAAATCATTCTTTCATCCAGCCACACAGCAAAACGAAAGGCCAAGAAAATCATTCTTTCATCCAGCCACACAGCAAAACGAAAAGCCAGAAAATCATTCTTTCACCCCCAGCCACAGAGCAAAACGAAAGGCCAAAAATCATTCTTTCACCCCACGCCAAAACGAAAGGCCAAAACGAAACCACAGCATCAAAACGAAAAGGCCAAAAATTTCTTTCACCCAGCCACACAGCAAAACGAAAAGCCAGAAAATCGTTCTTTCACCCAGCCACAAAACGATCAAAATTCTCAAGGCAAAACGAAAATCATTCTTTCATCCAGCCACACAGCAAAACGAAAGGCCAGAAAATCGTTCTTTCATCCAGCCACACCGAAAATGAAAAATCATTCTTTCATCCAGCCACACAGCAAAACAAAGCCAGAAAATTCTTCTTTCAGCAACCACACAGCAAAACGAAGGCCAGAAAATCATTCTCATCCATCCAGCCACATCAGCAAAACAGCAAAACGGCCAGAAAATCATTCTTTCATCCAGCCACACAGCAAAACGAAAGGCCAGAAAATCATTCTTTCATCCATGCACTGGTAAAACGAAAACAAAATCATTCTTTCAGCCAAGGCAAAACAAAGAAAAATCATTCTTTCATCCAGCCACACAGCAAAACGAAAGGCCGAAAATCGTTCTCATCCAGCCACACAGCAAAACGAAAGGCAGAAAATCCGTTCTTTCATCAGCCACACAGCAAAACGGTGAAAATCAAAACGCAAAGCCAGAAAATCATTCTTTCATCCAGCCAAAACGAAAGGCCAGCAAAACGAAAGAAGCCAGAAAATCACATTCTTTCATCCCAGCCACAGTAAAACGAAAGGCCAGAAAATCATTCTTTCACCCCAGCCCACACAGCAAAACGAAAAGGCAGAAAATCGTTCTTTCATCCAGCCACACAGCAAAACGAAAGGCCAGAAAATCGTTCTTTCATCCAGCCACACAGCAAAACGAAAGGCCAGAAAATCGTTCTTTCACCCCAGGCACAACAGCAAAACGAAAGGCAGAAAATCATTCTTTCACCCCAGCCACACAGCAAACGAGCCAGAAAATCGTTCTTTCATCCAGCCCACACAGCAAAACAAAGGCCAGAAAATCATTCTTTCACCCAGCCACACAGCAAAACAAAAGGCCAGAAAATCATTCTTTCACCCAGCCACACAGTAAAACGAAAGGCCAGAAAATCATTCTTCACCCCAGCCACACAGCAAAGACGAAAATGAGAAAATCATTCTTTTTCATCCAGCCACACAGCAAAACGAAAGGCCAGAAAATCATTCTTTCTTTAGCCACACAGCAAAACGAAAAGGCCAGAAAACCATTCTTTTTCACCCCAGGCACACAGCAAAACGAAAGGCCAGAAAATCATTCTTTTCACCCAGCCACAGCAAAAACGAAAGGCAGAGAAAATCATTCTTTCATCCAGCCACAGCAAAACGAAAGGCCAGAAAATCATTCTTTCACCCCCAGCCACACAGCAAAACGAAAAGCCAGAAAATCATTCTTTCATCCAGCCACACAGTAAAACGAACGGCCAGAAAATCATTCTTTCACCCCAGCCAGAAAATCACTTTCAGCAAAACGAAAGGCCTGAAAATCATTTCTTTCACCCAGCCACACAGCAAAACGAAAGGCGAAAATCATTCTTTTCACCCCAGCCCACAAGGCCCAGAAATCACCACCCCAGCCAAAACGAAAGGCCAGAAAACGAAAATGAGAAAATCATTCTTTCACCCCAGCCACACAGCAAAACAAGGCCAAAATCATTCTTTCACCCACCACACAGCAAAACGAAAAGGCCAGAAAATCATTTTCACCCAGCCACTGGCAAAACGAAAGGCCAGAAAATCATTCTTTCACCCCAGCCACACAGCAAAACGAAAGGCCGAAAAATCATTCTTTCATCAGCCACACAGCAAAACGAAGGCCAGAAAATCATTCTTTCACCCCAGCCACACAACAAAACGAAAGGCCAAAAATCGTTCTTTCACCCAACCATTCTTTCACCCAGCCAAAAAAACGAAAGGCCGGAAAATTCTCATCCAACCACACAGCAAAACAAAGGCCAGAAAAATCTTCTTTCACCCCAGCCACACAGCAAAACGAAGGCCAGAAAATCATTCTTTCCCACCCCAGCCACACATAAAACGAAAGGACAGAAAATCATTCTTTCATCCAGCCACACAGCAAAACGAAACCCAGAAAATCATTCTTTCATCCCAGCCACAGCAGCAAAACGAAGGCCAGAAAATCATTCTTTCATCCAACCACACAGCAAAACGAAAGGCCAGAAAATCGTTCTTTCACCCAGCCACACAGCAAAACGAAAAGGCCAGAAAATCATTTTTCACCCAGCCACACAGCAAAACGAAAGGCCAGAAAATCATTCTTTCACCCAACAGCAGCAAAACGAAAGGCCAGAAAATCGTTCTTTCATCCAACCACACAGCAAAACGAAAGGCCAATCATTCTTTCCCCAGCCACACAGTAAAACGAAAGCCAGAAAATCATTCTTTCACTATTTTGTAAAACGAAAGGCCAGAAAATCATTCTTTCATCCAAAACAAAAGGCCAGAAAATCATTCATTCACCCAACCCGCACAGCAAACGAAAGGCCAGAAAACCATTCTTCGTCACTGCCACAGCAGCAAAACGAAGGCCAGAAAATCGTTCTTTCACCCCCCAGCCACAGCAAAACGAAAGGCCAGAAAATCGTTCTTTCGCCAGCCACAGCAAAACGAAAGGACAGAAAATCGTTCTTTCCCCAGCCACACAAAACGAAAATGCCAGAAAATCTTTCACCCCACCCATACAGCAAAACGAAAGGCCAGAAAATCGTTCTTTCCCCAGCCACAGCATCAAACGAAAGGCCAGAAAATCGTTCTTTCACCCAGCCAGCCACAGCAAAACGAAAGGCCAGAAAATCATTCTTTCACCCAGCCACACAGCAAAACGAAAGCCAGAAAATCGTTCTTTCACCCCAGCCACAGCCAAACGAAAGGCCAGAAAATCATTTCTTTTCATCCAGCCACACAGCAAAACGAAAGGCCGAAAATCGTTCTTTCACAGCCACACAGTAAAACGAAGGCAGAAAATCATTCTTTTCACCCAGCCACAGCAAACGAAAGGCCAGAAAATCGTTCTCGTCAACCACACAGCAAACGACGAAGGCCAGAAAATCATTCATTCACCCAGCCACACAGCAAACAGAAAGGCCAGAAAATCATTCTTTCACCCAGCCACACAGCAAAACGAAAGGCCAAAAATCATTCTTTCACCCAGCCACAGTAAAACAAAGGCTGAAAATCATTCTTTCATCCAGCCACACAGCAAACGAAAGGCCAGAAAATCATTCTGCCAACCACACAGCAAACGAAGGCCAGAAAATCATTCTTTCACCCAGCCACAGCAAAACGAAAGGCCAGAAAAATCGTTCTCACCCAGAAAAACGAAATTCTTCTCACCCACCCACACAGCAAAACGAAAGGCGGAAAATCATTCTTTTCATCATACACAGCAAAACGAAAGGCCAGAAAATCATTCTTTCACCCCAGCCACACACAGCAAAACGAAAGGCCAGAAAACCATTCTTTCACCCCAGGCACACAGCAAAACGAAAAGGCCAGAAAAATCATTCTTTCACCCAGCCACACAGCAAAACGAAAGGCCAGAAATCATTCTTTCCTACACCACACAAAACGAAAAGGCCAGAAAATCATTCTTTCACCCAGCCACACAGCAAAACGAAAACGAAGAAAATCATTCTTTCACCCAGCCACACAGTAAAACGAACAGCCAGAAAATCGTTCTCATCAACCACACAGCAAACGAAGGCCTGAAAATCATTCTTTCATCAGCCACAGCAAAACAATTGAAAATCATTCTTTCACCCAGCCACACAGCAAACGACGAAAATCATTCTTGCCCAGAAAAAACGAAAATGAAAATCATTTCATCCAACCACAGCAAAACAAAATGAAAAATCGTTTCCATCCAGCCACACAGCAAAACGAAAGGCCAGAAAATCATTCTGCCCAGCCACACAGCAAAACGAAAAGAACAGAAAATCGTTCTTTCATTCAGCCACAGCAAAACGAAAGGCCAGAAAATCATTCTTTTCACCCAGCCACACAGCAAAACGAAAGCCAGAAAATCATTCTTTCACCCATCCACACAGCAAAACGAAAAGGCAGAAAATCATTCTTTCCACAGCCACACAGCAAAACGAAAGGCCAGAAATCGTTCTTTTCACCCAGGCACACAGCAAAACGAAAGGCCAAGAAAATCATTCTTTCACCCAACCACACAGCAAAACGAAAGCCAAAAATCATTCTTTCATCCAGCCACACCAGCAAAACGAAAGGCCAGAAAATCATTCTTTTCACCCAACCACACAGCAAAACGAAAGGCCAGAAAAATCATTCTTTCACCCAACCACACAAAACGAAAGAAAAATCGAACGTGAAAAACAATCATTCTTTCACCCCAGCCACACAGCAAACACAAATTCGTTCTTTCATCAATACCAAAAAAACGAAGTAGCAAAATCGTTCTTTCATCCCAGCCACAGCAAAACCAGAAAGGTTCTTTCCTTTAGAGAAAATCCGTTTTCTTTCACCCCACCACACAGCAAAACGAAAATCAATCTTTCGCAGCCACAGCAAAACAACCACCATTCTTTCATTCAGCCACAACGAAAAGGCAGAAAAATCGTTCTTTCCCACCCAGCCACACAGCAAACGAAAGGCCAGAAAATCATTCTCATCCAACCACACAGCAAACGAAAGGCGAAAATCGTTCTTTCACCCAACCACAATAAAACGAAAATGAAAATCATTCTTTCATCAACCCACAGCAAAACGAAAGGCCAGAAAATCATTCCAATCACAAAACCAGAAAATCCACACAGCAAAACGAAGGCTTTCATCCAAAATCGATTTCTTTCACCCATCCACACAGCAAAACGAAAGGCCAGAAAAATCATTCTTTCATCAGCCACAGCAAAACGAGGCCAGAAAATCATTCTTTCATCCAGCCACACAGCAAAACGAAAGGCCAGAAAATCATTCTTTCATCCAGCCACAGCAAAACGAAAGCCAGAAAATCGATTCTTTCATCCAGCCACAGCAAAACGAAAGGCCAGAAAATCGTTCTTTTTAAGTTCTTTCAGCAAAACGAAAGGCCAACCATTCTTTCATCAGCCACAGCAAAACGAAAGGCCAGAAAATCATTCTTTCATCCCACCACACAGCAAAACGAAAGGCCAGAAAATCATTCTCACCCCAGCCACAGAGCAAACAGAAAAGTTCCTTCTTTCATCCAACCACACAGCAAACGAAAGGCCAGAAAATCATTCTTTCACCCAGCCACACATCAAAACGAAAGGCCAAAAACATTCTTTCATCAACCACACAGCAAACGAAAAGCCAGAAAATCATTCTTTCACCCAAGCCACACAGCAAAACGAAAGGCCAAAAATCATTTCTTCCAACCACAGCCAAACGAAAACCAGAAAAACCTGGCGAAGGCGAAATCATTCTTTCATCCAGCCACACAGCAAAACGAAGGCAGAAAATCATTCTTTCATCCAGCCACACAGCAAAACGAAAGGCCAGAAAACCGTTCTTTCATCAGCCACAGCAAAACGAAAAGGCCAGAAAATCATTCTTTCATCCAGCCACAGCAAAACGAAAGGCAGAAAATCATTCTTCCAGCCCCCCAGCAAAACGAAGCCAGAAAATCCTTCTTCATCCAGCCACATGCCCACATTCTTTCATCCAGCAAAAAAGAGCAGAAAGGCCAGAAAATCATTCTTTCATCCAGCCACACAGCAAAACGAAAGGCCAGAAAATCATTCTTTCATCAGCCACATCCAGCCAAACGAAAACAGAAAATCGTTCTTTCACTGACCACAGCAAGAGCAGAAGGCCAAATCGTTTCATCCAACCACACAGCAAAACGAAAGGCCAGAAATTCTTTCTCGTCAGCCACAGCAAACGAAGGCCAGAAAACATTCTTTCATCAACCACACAGCAAACGAAGGCCAGAAAATCATTCTTTCACCCCAGCACACAGCAAAACGAAGCCCAAAATCATTCTCATCCAACCACACAGCAAAACAAGAAAGGCAGAAAAACGTTCTTTCATCCAGCCACACAGCAAAACGAAAGCCAGAAAAATCATTCTTTCATCCAGCCACACAGCAAAACGAAAAGCCAGAAAATCATTCTTCCACCCACAGCAAAACGAAGGCCAGAAAATCATTCTTTCACCCACACACACCAAAACGAAAATAAAATCATTCTTTCATCCACCACAGCAAAACGAAAGCCAGAAAATCATTCTCACCCAACCACACAGCAAAACAAAGCCAGAAAATCATTCTTTCACCCCAGCCACACAGCAAAACGAAAGGCCAGAAAATAAATTTCTTTCCGCAGCCACACAGCAAAACGAAAGGCCAGAAAAATCATTCTTTCGTCAGCCACACAGCAAAACGAAAGGCCAGAAAAATCATTCTTTCACCCAGCCACAAAAACGAAGGCCAGAAAACCATTCTCACCCCAGGCACAGCAAAACAAAATGAAAAATCATTCTTTCATCCAGCAGCAAAACGAAGGCCAGAAAATTTACATCCAGCAGCAAGAAAGGCCAGAAAATCGTTCTTTACCCCAGCCACACAGCAAAACGAAAGGCCAGAAAATCGTTCTTTCAATCAACCACACAGCAAAACGAAAGGCAGAAAATTATTCTTTTCATCCCACACAGCAAAACGAAAGGAAAATCATTCTCATCCAACCAGCCAACAAAGGCAGAAATCAAACCACGAAAACAGGCCAGAAAATCATTCTTTCATCACCACACAGCAAAGGCAAGAAAGGCCAGAAAATCATTTTCTTTCATCCCAGCCACACAGCAAAACGAAAGGCCAGAAAATCATTCTTTCATCAGCCACACAGTAAAACGAAAGGCCAGAAAATGTTCTTTCTGCAACCACACAGCAAAACGAAAGAACAGAAAATCCATTCTCATCGGCCACACAACAAAACAGAAAATCGTTCTTTCACCCAACCACAGCAAAGGCAAAGTATTCAGCAAAACGAAAGGCCAGAAAATCATTCTTTCAAACGAAAGGCCAGAAAATCATTCTTTCACCCAGCCAAAACGAAAGGCCAGAAAATCGTTCTTTCACCCAACCACACAGCAAAACGAAAGGCCAGAAAAATCATTCTCATCCAGCCACACAGCAAAACGAAAATTGAAAATTCTTTCACCCCAGCCACACAGAAAAACGAAAAGGCCAGAAAATCATTCTTTCCCAGCCACAGCAAAACGAAAGGCCAGAAAATCATTCTTTCATCCACCACACAGCAAGACGAAAGGCCAGAAAAACATTCTTTCACCCCAGCCACAGCAAAACGAAAAGGCCAGAAAATCATTCTTTCATCCAGCCACACCACACAGCAAAACGAAAGCCAGAAAACCATTCTTTCACCCAGCCACACAGCAAAACGAAAGCCAGAAAATCATTCTCGCAGCCACACAGCAAAACGAAAAGGCCAGAAAACCATTCTTTCCCATGCACACAGCAAAACGAAAGAAAAATCATTCTTCATCCAGCCACAGCAAACCAGAAAATCATTCTTTCACCCAGAAAAAACGAAAATTCATTCTTTCACCCAACCACACAGCAAAACGAAAGGCCAGAAAATCATTCTTTCATCCAGCCACACAGCAAAACGAAAGGCCATTCTTTCACCCCAGAAAAAAACGATTCTTTCATCCAGCCACACACAGCAAAACGAAAGCCAGAAAATCATTCTTTCACCCCAGCACAGCAAAACGAAAGGCTGAAAACCAATTTCTCGCATCAACACAGCAAAACGAAAGGCCAAAAATCATTCTTTCACCCCAGCCACACAGCAAAACGAGGCCAGAAAATCATTCTTTCACCCAGCCACAAAACGCAAAAACGAAAGGCAAAACGAAAAATCGTTCTTTCCGCCACACAGCAAAACGAAAGGCCAGAAAATCATTCTTTCACACCCAGCCACACAGCAAAACGAACGAAAGGCCAGAAAATCATTCTTTCACCCCAGCCACACACAGCAAAACGAAAGGCCTGAAAATCATTTCTTTCACCCAGCCACACAGCAAAACGAAAGAACAAAAATCATTCTTTCATCCAGCCAGCAAAACGAAAGGCCAGAAAATCGTTCTTTCACCCCAGCCACACAGCAAAACGAAAGGCGAAAATCATTCTTTCCCCATCCACAGAAAACGAAGGCCAGAAAATCATTCTTTCACCCCAGCCACACAGCAAAACGAAAGGCAAAAATTCGAAAGCCAAACAAAATGCAAACAGGAAAACGAACAGAAAATCATTCTTTCATCCAGCCACAGCAAAACGAAAGGCCAGAAAATCATTCTTTCATCCAGCCACACAGTAAACGAAAGCAAAAATCATTCTTTCACCCAGCACCCCAACCACACAAAACGAAAGGCCAAGCCACCCAGCCAAAAAAGGCAAAGGCCAGAATTTCTTTCACCCAGCCACACAGCAAAACGAAAATCATTTTTTCACCCAGGTCAAAACGAAAATCATTCTTTCATCCAGCCACACAGCAAAACGAAAGGCCAGAAATCATTCTTTCACCCCAGCCACACAGCAAAACGAAGGCACATTCTTTCAAACACAGCAAAACGAAGGCCAGAAAAATCATTCTTTCACCCAGCCACAAAGGCTGAAAATCGTTCTTTCAAAACGAAAACGGCCAGAAAATCATTCTTTCACCCAGCCACACAGCAAACGAAAGGCCAGAAAATCATTCTTTCATCCAGCCACACAGCAAAACGAAAGAAAATCATTCTTTCATCCAGCCACAGCAAAACGAAAAACCATTCATTCTTTCACCCATACACAGCAAAACGAAAGGCCAAAAATCATTCTTTCACCCAGCCACAGCAAAACGAAAGGCCAAAAAACATTCTTTCATCCAGCCACAAAAAACGAAAAGGCCATCATTCATCACCACACAGCAAAACGAAAATGCAAAACGCCACACAGGCCAGAAAACCATTCTTTCATCCAGCCACACAGCAAAACGAAAGCCAGAAAAATCATTCTTTCAGCCACACAGCAAAACGAAAGGCAGAAAATCATTCTCATCCAAGCCACACATTCTTTCATCCGCAAAAAACGAAGGCCAGAAAAACATTCTTTCACCCAGCCACAGCAAAACGAAAGCGAAAATCATTCTTTCATCCAGCCACAGAAACTGAAACGAAACGAAAGAAGGCCAGAAAATCATTCTTTCACCCACCACATCAAAACGAAAATTGAAAAACATTCTTTCATCCAGCACACAGCAAAACGAAAGGCGAAAATCATTCTTTCACCCACTACAGCAAAAAAGCCGAAAATCATCAGCCACAAAGCAAAACGAAAATTTCTTTCATCAGCCACACAGCAAAACGAAAGGCCAGAAAATCATTCTTTCATCCAGCCACACAGCAAAACGAAAGGCCAGAAAATCATTCTTTCACCCAGCCACACAGCAAAACGAACGGCCAGAAAATTATTCTTTCCCCATCCACAGCAAACGAAAGGCCGAAAATCATTCACCAGCAAAACGAAGCCGAAAATCATTCTCATCAGCCACACAGCAAAACGAAAAGCCAGAAAAAATCATTCTTTCATCCAGCCACACAGCAAAACGAAAGGCCAGAAAATCATTCTTTCACCCAGCCACACCATAAAACGAAAGGCCAGAAAATCGACCCCGTAAAACGAAGGCCAGAAAAATCATTCTTTCATCCACCCACAGCCAAACAGCAAAACGAAAGGCGAAAATCATTCTTTCATCCAGCCACAGCAAAACGAAGGCCAGAAAATTTCTTTCGCCCCAAACAGCAAAACGAAAGGCCAGAAAAATCATTCTTTCACCCAGCCACAGCAAAACGAAAAGGCCAGAAAATCATTCTTTCACCCAGCCACACAGCAAAACGAAAGGCCAGAAAATCATTCTTTTCATCCAGCCACACAGCAAAACGAAAGGCCAGAAAATCATTCTTTCACCCAGCCACACGAAAGCAAAAAACGAAAGGCCAGAAAATCATTCTTCATCAAGCACACAGCAAAACGAAAGGCCAGAAAATCATTTCTTTCACCCCAGCCACACAGCAAAACGAAAGGCCAGAAAATCATTCTTTCACCCCAGCCACACAGCAAAACGAAAGGCCAGAAAATCATTCTTTCATCAGCCACACAGCAAAACGAAAGGCCAGAAAATCATTCTTTCACCCCAGCCACACAGCAAAAAACAAAGGCCAGAAAATCATTCTTTCATCCAGCCACAGCAAAACGAAAGGCCAGGAAAAATCATTCTCACCCCAGCAAAACGAAAGGCCAGAAAAATCATTCTTTCATCCAGCCACACAGCAAAACGAAAGGCCAGGAAAATCATTCTTTCACCCAGCACACAGCAAAACGAAAGGCCAGAAAATCAAAACACAGAAAACGAAAGGCCAGAAAATCATTCTTTCATCCACCACACAGCAAAACGAAAGGCCAGAAAATCATTCTTTCACCCCAAACACAGCAAAACGAAAGGCCAGAAAATCATTCTTTCATCCAGCCACACAGCAAAACGAAAGGCCAGAAAATCATTCTTTCATCCCAGCCACACAGCAAAACGAAAGGGCCAGAAAATCATTCTTTCACCCAGCCACACAGCAAAACGAAAGGTCAAAATCATTCTTTCATCCAGCCACACAGCAAAACGAAAGGCCAGAAAATCATTCTTTCATCCAGCCACACAGCAAAACGAAAGGCCAGGAAAATCATTCTTTCATCCAGCCACACAGCAAAAACGAAAAGGCCAGAAAATCATTCTTTCATCCACACACAAAAACAAAGGCCAGAAAAACATTCTTTTCATCCAGCCACACAGCAAAAACGAAAGGCTGTAGAAAAATCATTCTTTCACCCAGCCACACAAAAACGAAAGGCCAGGAAAAAAATTTCGTCCAGCCACACAGCAAAACGAAAATGAAAAATCATTTTTCATCCAGCCACAGCAAAACGAAAGGCCAGAAAATCATTCTTTTCACCCAGCACAGCAAAACAAAACGAGCGCCAGCCACACAGCAAAACGAAAGGCCAGAAAATCATTTTCATCCAGCCACACAGCAAAACGAAAGGCCAGAAAACATTCTTTCACCCAGCCACACAAAACGAGCAAAACGAAAGGCCAGGCCAAAAATCATTCTTTCATCCAGCCACACAGCAAAACGAAAGGCCAGAAAATCATTCTTTTCACCCAGCCACACAGCAAAACGAAAGGCACAGAAAATCATTCCAGAATCCAGCTTTCATCCAGCCAAACGAAAAACCAGAAAATCTCATCCAACCCAGCCACACAGCAAAACGAAAGGCCAGAAAAATCATTCTTTCATCCAGTCACACAGCAAACGAAAGGTCAGAAAATCATTCTTTTCACCCACAAAAAACGAAAGGCCAGAAAATCATTCTTTCACCCCCACAGCAAAACGAAAGGCAGAAAATCAAAACACAGAAAACGGGCACAGAAAATCATTTTTTCATCCAGCCACACAGCAAAACGAAAGGCCAGAAAATCCATTCTTTTCACCCAGCCACACAGCAAAACGAAAGGCCAGAAAATCATTCTTTCATCCCAGCCACACAGCAAAACGAAAGGCCTGAAAAAATTCTTTCATCCAGCCACACAGCAAAACGAAAGGCCAGAAAATCATTCTTTCACCCAGCCACACAGCAAAACGAAAGGCCAGAAAAATCATTCTTTCATCCAGCCACAGCAAAACGAAAGGCCAGAAAATCATTCTTTCACCCAGCCACAGCAAAAACAAAAGGCCAGAAAAATCATTCTTTTCACCCAGCCACAAAACAGCAAAAACGAAAGGCCAGAAAATCACCCAGCCACAATTCATTCTTTCACCCAGCAACAGCAAAACGAAAGGCCCAGAAAATCATTCTTCACCCAGCCACAGCAAAACGAAAGGCCAGAAAATCATTCTTCATCCAGCCACAGCAAAACGAAAGGCAAAAAATCATTCTTTCACCCAGCCACACAGCAAACGAAAGGCCAGAAAAATCATTCTTTCATCCAGCCACACAGCAAAACGAAAAGGCCAGAAAATCATTCTTTTTCAAACAAAAACGAAAGGCCAGAAAATCATTCTTTTCATCCAGCCACACAGCAAAACCGAAAAGGCAGAAAATCATTCTTTCATCCAGCCACACACAGCAAAACGAAAGGCCAGAAAACCATTCTTTCACCCAGGCACACAGCAAAACGAAAGGCCAGAAAATCATTCTTTCATCCAGCCACACAGCAAACGAAAGGCCAGAAAATCATTCTTCATCCAGCCACACACAGCAAAAACGAAAGGCCAAAATCATTTTTTCACCCAGCCACACAGTAAAAACGAAAGGCCAGAAAATCATTTCTTCCAGCCACACACAGCAAAACGAAAGGCCAGAAAATCATTCTTTCACCCAGCCACACACAGCAAAAAAGGCCAGAAAAATTCTTCATCCAGCCACACAGCAAAACGAAAGCGCCAATAAAAATCATTCTTTTCACCCAGCCACACAAAAACGAAAGGCCAGAAAATCATTCTTTCATCCAGCCACACAGCAAAACGAAAGGCCAGAAAAATCATTTCTTTCATCCAGCCACGCAGCAAAACGAAAGGCCAGAAAAAAAATTTCATCCAGTCACATATAAAACGGGAAAGGCCAGAAAATCATTCTTTCATCCAGCCACACAGCAAACGAAAGGCCATAAAAATCATTCTTTCACCCAGCCACACAGCAAAACGAAAAAATAAAATCATTATTTTTCCCAGCCACAGCAAACAAACAAAGGCCAAAATCATTCTTTCATCCAGCCACAGCAAAACGAAAGGCCAGAAAATCATTTCATCCATCCACACAGCAAACGAAAGGCAAAAATCGTTCTTTCACCCAGCCACACAGTTAAACGATCATTCTTTCACCCAGCCACAGCAAAACGAAAAGGCCAGAAAAATCATTCTTTCATCCAGCCACACAGCAAACGGTAAGGCCAGAAAATCATTCTTTCACCCAGCCACACAGCAAAACGAAAGGCCAGAAAATCGTTCTTTCATCCACCACACAGCAAAACGAAAGGCCAGAAAAAATCCAGAAAAGCTTTTCATCCAGCCACACAGCAAAACGAAAGGCCAGAAAATCATTCTTTCACCCAGCCACACAGCAAAACGAAAGGCCAGAAAACATTCTTTCATCCAGCCACACAGCAAAACGAAAGGCCAGAAAATCATTCTTCACCCAGCCACAGCAAACCAAAGGCCAGAAAATCAAAGCTACACGAAAGGCCAGAAAATCATTCTTCACCCAGCCACACAGCAAAACGAAAGGCCAGAGAATCATTTCTTTCATTCCATCCAGCCACACAGCAAAACGAAAGGCAAGAAAAATCATTCTTTCACCCAGCCACACAGCAAAAACGAAAGGCCAGAAAATCATTCTTTTCATCCAGCCACACAGCAAAACGAAAAGGCCAGAAAATCATTTTTTCATCCAGCCACAGCAAAACGAAAGGGCCAGAAAAATCATTTTTCATTCTTTCATCCAGCCACACAGCAAAACGAAAAAATGCAACAGAAAACGAAAGGCCAGAAAACATTCTTTCACCCAACCACACAGCAAAAACGAAAGGCCAGAAAATCATTCTTTCACCCAGCCACAGCAAAACGACACAGCAAAACGAAAGGCCAGAAAATCGTTCTTTCACCCAGCCACACAGCAAACGAAAAGGCCAGAAAAATCATTCTTTCACCAGCCACACAATAAAACGCCAAAACGAAACCCCAGGCCACAGCAAAACGAAAGCATCGTTCTTTCATCCAGCCACACAGCAAAAACGAAAGGCCAGAAAATCATTCTTTCATCATCCAGCCAAACAGCCGAAAACGTTCTTTCAAAGGCCAACGAAAATCATTCTTTCACCCAGCCACACAGCAAACGAAGGCCACCAAAATCATTCTTTCATCCAGCCACACAGCAAAACGAAAGGCCAGAAAATCATTCTTTCATCCAGCCACAGCAAAACGAAAAGGCCAGAAAATCATTCTTTCACCCAGCCACACAGCAAAACGAAAGGCAGAAAATCATTCTTTCACCCAGCCACACAGCAAAACGAAAGGCCAGAAAATCATTCTTTCAACTCATCCAGCCAAAACACACAAAAAAACGAAAGGGCCAGAAAAAAACCTTCTTCATCCAGCCACACAGCAAAAACGAAAGGCCAGAAAATCATTCTTTCACCCAGCCACACAGCAAAACGAAAGGCCAGAAAATCATTCTTTCACCCAGCCACACAGGCCAGAAAACGCCTTTCATCCAGCCCAGCAAAACGAAAGGCCAGAAAACCATTCTTTCATCCAGCCACAGCAAAACGAAAGGCAGAAAATCATTCTTTTCATCCACACAGCAAAACGAAACGAGCCAGAAAATCATTCTTTCATCCAGCCAAACAGCAAACGAAAGGCCAGAAAATCATTCTTTCACCCAGCCACACAGCAAAACGGAAGGCCAGAAATCATTCTCATCCAGCACAGCAAAACGAAAGGCCAGAAAATCATTCTTCACCCAGCCACACAGCAAAACGAAAGGCCAGAAAATCATTCTTTCACCCAGCCACACAAAAACGAAAGGCCAGAAAAATCATTCTTTTCAACCAGCCACACAGCAAAACGAAAGGCCAGAAAATAATTCTTTCATCCCCCACACAGCAAAACGAAAGGCCAGAAAATCATTCTTTCATCCAGCCACAGTAAAAACGAAAGGCCAGAAAAACTCATTCTTTCATCCAGCCACACAGCAAAACGAAAAGCCCAAAAATCATTCTTTCATCATCCACACAGCAAAACGAAAGGCCAGAAAATCATTCTTTCATCCAGCCACAGCAAAACGAAAGGCCAGAAAATCATTCTTTCATCCAGCCCACACAGCAAAACGAAAGGGCCAGAAAAAACATTCATTCATCCAGCCACACAAAACGAGCCGAAAATCGAAACAGCAAAACGAAAAAAAATCATTCTTTCACCCAGCCACACAGCAAACGAAAGGCCAAAAATCATTTTTCATCCAGCTGCACACAGCAAAACGAAAGGCCAGAAAATCATTCTTTCACCCAGCACACAGCAAACGAAAGGCCAGAAAATCATTCTTTCATCCAGCCACACAGCAAAACGAAAGGCCAGAAAATCATTCTTTCACCCAGCCACACAGCAAAACGAAAGCCAAAAATCATTCTTTCATCCAGCCACACAGCCACACAGCAAAACGAAAGGCCAGAAAAATCATTCTTTCATCCAGCCACACAGCAAAACGAAAAGGCCAGAAAATCATTCTTTCATCCAGCCACACAGCAAAACGAAAGGCCAGAAAATCATTCTTTCACCCAGCCACACAGCAAAACGAAAGGCCAGAAAATCATTCTTTCATCCAGCCAATATTGGCAAAACGAAAGGCCAGAAAACCTTTCATCCAGCCACAGCAAAAAACGAAAGGCCAGAAAATCGTTCTTTCATCCAGCCACAGCAAAACGAAAGGTTAGAAAATCGTTCTTTCATCCAGCCACAGCAAAACGAAAATTGAAAATCATTCTTTCACCTAGCCACACAGAAAACGAAGAATATTCTTCATCCAGCCACACAGCAAAACGAAAGGCCAGAAAATCATTCTTTTTCATCCAGCCACAGCAAAACGAAAGGCCAGAAAAATCATTCTTTCATCCAGCCACACAGCAAAACGAAGGCCAGAAAATCGTTCTTTCCATCCAGCCACAAAGCAAAACTAAAGGCCAAATCATTCTTTCACCCAGAAAAAACGAAAATGATTCTTTCACCCAGCCACACAGCAAAACGGAAGGCCGAAATCATTCTTTCACCCAGCCGCACAGCAATGACCAGAAAATCATTCTTTCGTCAGCCACACAGCAAAACGACACAGCAAACAAAACGAAAGGCCAGAAAATCATTCTTTCAACCAGCCACACAGAAAAACGAAAGGCCGAAAATCATTCTTTCATCCAGCCACACAACAAAACGAAAAGCCAGAAAAATCATTCTTTCATCCAGCCACACAGCAAAACGAAAGGCCAGAAAAATCATTCTTTCGTCAGCCACACAGTAAAACGAAAGGCCAGAAAAATCATTCTTTTCACCCACACAGCAAAACGAAAAGCGCCAGAAAAATCATTCTTCACACAGCCACACAGCAAAACTAAAAGGCCAGAAAATCATTCTTCACCCAGCCACACAGCAAACGAAAGGCCAGAAAAATCATTCTTTTCACCCAGCTTTAAAACAGCAAACGAAAGGCCAGAAATCAAAGGCCCAGAAGGCTTTCTTTCCCAGCCACACAGCAAACGAAAGGCCAGAAAATCGTTCTTTTCATCCACTCCAGCAAAACGAAAGGCCAGAAAAACATTCTTTCATCCAGCCACACACAGCAAAACGGAAAAATCGATGCTTTCACCCAGGCACACAGCAAAACAGAAAACCAGAAAAATCATTCTTTCACCCAGCCACACAGCAAAACGAAAGGTCAAAAATCATTCTTTTCATCCAGCCACAGCAAAACGAAAAGCCAGAAAATCATTCTTTCATCCAGCCACACAGCAAGACGAAGGCCAGAAAATCATTCTTTCACCAAGCCTCACAGCAAAACGAACGGCCAGAAAATCATTCTTCATCCAGCCACACAGCAAAACGAAAGGCCAGAAAATCATTCATTTCCCCAGCCAAAATCATCAAAACCCAGCGCCAAAAAATCATTCTTTCACCCAGCCACACAGCAAAACGAAAGGCCAGAAAATCGTTTTTCATCCAGCCACACAGCAAAAACGAAAGGCCAGAAAATCATTCTTTTCATCCAGCCACACAGCAAACAGCGCCAGAAAATCATTCTCATCCAGCCACACAGCAAAACGAAAGGCCAGAAAATCATTTCTTTCATCCAGCCACACAGCAAAACGAAAGGCCAGAAAACTACTCATCCAAGCCACAGCAAAACGAAAGGCCAGAAAATCATTCTTTTCACCCAGCCACACAGCAAAACGAAAGCACAGAAAACTATTCTTTCATCCAGCCACACAGCAAAACGAAAGGCCAGAAATCATTCTTTCTTTTAAGCAAAACCCAGCCACCCAGCTACAGCAAAACGAAGGCCAAAAAATCATTCTTTCATTCAGCCACACAGCGAGCAGGAGGCTGCACAAAAAATCTTTCAACGCCTACGCGTAAAACGAAGGCCAGAAAATCATTCTTTTTTCATCCAGCCACACAGCAAACGAAAGGTCAGAAAATCATTCTTTCATCCAGCCACACAGCAAAAAACGAAAGGCCGAAAACTCGTTCTTTCACCCAGCCACACAGCAAAACGAAAGGCCAGAAAATCATTCTTTCATCCAGCCACACAGCAAAACGAAAGGCCAGAAAATCATTCTTTCATCCAGCCCAAAGCAAAAGCCGAAAATCGTTCTTTCACCCAGCCACACAGCCAAGCAAAAGGCCAGAAAATCATTCTTTCACCCAGCCAGTAAAACGGCGCGTCAGAAAATTCTTCACCCCAGCCACACAGCAAAACGAAGGCCAGAAAATCACTCTTTCATCCAGCCACACAGCAAAAAGGCCAGAAAATCATTCTTCATCCGAAAAAAAACGAAACCAATCATTCTTTTCATCCAGCCACAACCAAAACGAAGGGCCAGAAAAATTATTCTTTCATCAGCCACCGCAACCAAAACGAAAGGCCAGAAAATCATTCTTTTCATCCAGCCACACAGCAAAAACGAAAGGCCAGAAAATCGTTATTCTTTCATCCAGCCACACAGCAAAACGAAAGGCCAGAAATCATTTTCATCCAGCCACACAGCAAAACGAAAAGGTCAGAAAAATCATTCTTTCATCCAGCCACACAGCAAAACGAAAGGCAAAAAATCATTCTTTCATCCAGCCACACAGCAAAACGAAAGGCCAGAAAAATCATTCTTTCATCCAGCCACACAGCAAAACGAAAGGCCAGAAAATCATTCTTTCATCCAGCCACACAGCAAAAACGAAAAGGCCAGAAAACATTCTTTCTTTCACCCAGCCACACAGCAAAACGAAAGGCCAGAAAATCATTCTTTCATCCAGCCACACAGCAAAAACGAAGGCCAGAAAAATCATTCTTTCAACCAGCCACACATCAAAACGAAGGCGTCAGAAAATCATTCTTTCACCCAGCCACAGCAAAAACGAAAGGCCAGAAAATCATTCTTTCACCCAGCCACACAGCAAAACGAAAGGCCAGAAAATCATTCTTTCATCCAGCCACACAGCAAAAAAGGCCAGAAAAATCATTCTTCATCAGCCACAGCAAAACGAAAGGCCAGAATCATTCTTTCATCAAGCCACAGCAAAAACGAAAGGCCAGAAAATCATTCTTTCATCCAGCCACACAGCAAAACGAAAGGCCAGAAAAATCATTCTTTCATCCAGCCACACAGCAAAACGAAAGGCCAGAAAATCATTCTTTCATCCAGCCACAGCAAAACGAAAGGCCAGAAAAACATTCTTTCACCCAGCCACACAGCAAAACGAAAAGCCAGAAAATCATTCTTTCATCCAGCCACACAGCAAAACGAAAGGCCAGAAAAATCTGGTTCTTTCATCCAGCCGCAGCCCAGAAAATCACCCAGCCAAAGCAAAAAACGAAAGGCCAGAAAATCATTCTTTCACCCAGCCACACAGCAAAACGAAAGGCCAGAAAAATCATTCTTTCATCCAGCCACACAGCAAAACGAAAGGCCAGAAAATCATTCTTTCACCCAGCCACACAGCAAAACGAAAGGCCAGAAAATCGTTCTTTCACCCAGAACACACAGCAAAACGAAAAAGGCCAGAAAATCATTCTTTCACCCAGCCACACAGCAAAACGAAAGGCCAGAAAATCATTCTTTCATCCAGCCACACAGCAAAACGAAAAGGCTGAAAATCATTCTTTCACCCAGCCAAACAAAGAAAAATCATTCTTCAAGGCCCCATGGTAAAACATTCTTTCACCCAGCCACACAGCAAAACGAAAGGCCAAAGAAAATCATTCTTTCATCCAGCCACAGCAAAAAACGAAAGGCCAGAAAATCATTCTTTTCATCCAGCCACACAGCAAAACGAAAGGCCAAGAAAAACATTCTTTCACCCAGGCACAGCAAAACGAAAGGGGCCAGAAAATCATTCTTTCACCCAGCCACACAGCAAAACGAAAGGCCAGAAAATCATTCTTTCATCCAGCCACACAGCAAAACGAAAGGCCAGAAAATCATTCTTTCAACCAGCCACACAGCAAAACGAAAGCGCCAGAAAATCATTCTTTCACCCAGGCACACAGCAAAACGAAAGGCCAGAAAAATCATTCTTTCACCCAGCCACACAGCAAAAAACGAAGGCCTGAAAATCATTCTTTCATCCAGCCAAAACGAAAGGCAGAAAATCATTCTTTCAACGAAAAACGAAAGGCCAGAAAATCATTCTTTTCATCCAGCCACACAGCAAAACGAAAGGCCAGAAAATCATTCTTTTCATCCAGCCACACAGCAAACGAAAGGCCAGAAAATCATTCTTTCACCCAGCAAAACAGCAAACGAAAGGCCAAAAATCATTTCTTTCATCCAGCCACACAGCAAAACGAAGAGCCGAAAATCATTCTTTCACCCAGCCACACAGCAAAACGAAAGGGCCAGAAAATCATTCTTCATCCAGCCACACAGCAAAACGAAAGGCCAGAAAATCGTTCTTCATCCAGCCACACAGCAAAACGAAAAGGCCAGAAAATCATTCTTTTCACCCAGCCACACAGCAAAACGAAAAAGGCCAGAAAATCATTCTTTCACCCAGCCACACAGCAAAACGAAAGGCCAGAAAATCATTCTTTTCATCCAGCCACACAGCAAAAAAAAGGCCAGAAAATCATTCTTTTCACCCCAGCCACACAGCAAAACGAAAGGCCAGAAAATCATTCTTTCACCCAGCCACACAGCAAAACGAAAGGCCAGAAAATCATTTTTCACCCAGCCACACAGCAAAACAAAGGCCAGAAAATCATTCTTCATTCACCCAAACAGCAAAACGAAAGGCCAGAAAATCATTCTTTCATCCAGCCACACAGCAAAAACGAAAGGGCCAGAAAATCATTCTTTCTTCATCCACACAGCAAAACGAAAAGGCCAGAAAATTATTCTTTCACCCAGCCACAGCAGTAAACGAAAGGAAAATCATTCTTTCACCCAGCCACACAGCAAAACGAAAGGCCAGAAAATGGCCATTCTTTCATCCAGCCACACGCAAAACGAAAGGCCAGAAAATCATTCTTTCTTTCCAGCCACAGAGCAAAACGAAGAGCCAGAAAATCATTCTTCACCCAGCCACATGCAAAACGAAAGGCCACAGAAAATCATTCTTTCACCCAGCCACCCCAGCGAAAACGAAAAAATCATTCTTTCATCCAGCCACACAGCAAAACGAAAGGCCAGAAAATCATTCTTTCATCCAGCCACAAAACAGCAAAAATCACCCAGCCCAGAAAATCAAAATTTCACCACCCAGCCACAGCAAAACGAAAGGCCAGAAAAATCATTCTTTCACCCAGCCAAAGCAAACGAAAGGCCAGAAAAACATTCTTTCACCAGAAAATCCAGAAAATCTTTCACCCAGCCACACAGCAAAACGAAAGGCCAGAAAATCATTCTTCATCCAGCCACACAGCAAAACGAAAGGCCAGAAAAACTCATTTTTCGCCCAGCCACACAAAAACGAAAACAGCCAGCCAAAAACGAAAGGCCAGAAAATCATTCTTTCATCCCAGCCACACAGCAAAACGAAAGGCCAGAAAATCATTCTTTTCACCCAGCCACACAGCAAAACGAAAGGCCAGAAAATCATTCTTTCACCCAGCCACACCAAAACGAACGAAAATCATTCCAGCCACACAGCAAAACGAAAGGCTCATTTCTTTCATCCAGCCACACAGCAAAACGAAAGGCCAGAAAATCATTCTTTTTCACCCAGCCACACAGCAAACGAAAGCCAGAAAATCATTCTTTCATCCAGCCACACAGCAAAACGAAAGGCCAGAAAATCTTTTTTCACCCAGCCACACAGCAAAACGAAAAGGCCAGAAAATCATTCTTTTCATCCAGTTACACAGCAAAACGAAAGGCCAGAAAATCATTCTTCATCCAGCCACACAGCAAAACGAAAGGCCAGAAAATCATTCTTTCACCCAGCCACCCACAGCAAAACGAAAGGCCAGAAAAATCATTCTTTCACCCAGCCACACAGCAAAACGAAAGGCCAGAAAATCATTCTTTCATCCAGCCACAGCAAAACGAAAGGCCAGAAAATCATTCTTTCATCCAGCCACACAGCAAAACGAAAGGCCAGAAAAATCATTCTTTTCACCCAGCCACAAGCAAAACCAAAAGGCCAGAAAATCATTCTTTCATCCAGCCACACAGCAAAACGAAAGGCCAGAAAACGAAAGGCAGAAAATCATTTTCATCCAGCCACACAGCAAAACGAAAGGCCAGAAAATCATTCTTTCACCCAGCCACAGAGCAAAACGAAAGGCCAGAAAATCATTCTTCATCCAGCCCAGCCAAACAAAGCAAATCATTCCATCCTTTCAAAGCCACAGCAAACGAAAGGCCAGAAAATCATTCTTTCATCCAGCCACAGCAAAACGAAAGGCCAGAAAATCATTCTTTCATCCAGCCACACAGCAAAACGAAAGGCCAGAAAATCATTCTTTCATCCAGCCACAAAACGAAAAGGCCAGCAAAACGAAAGGCCAGAAAATCATTCTTTCACCCAGCCACACAGCAAAACGAAAGGCAGAAAATCATTTCTTTCATCAGCCACAGCAAAACGAAAGGCCAGAAAATCATTCTTTCACCCCAGCCACACAGCAAAACGAAAGGCCAGAAAACCATTCTTTCATCCAGCCACACAGCAAAACGAAAGGCCAGAAAAATCATTCTTTCACCCAGCCACACAGCAAACGAAAGGCCAGAAAATCATTTTCACCCAGCCACACAGCAAAACGAAAGGCCAGAAAATCGCCTTTTCATCCAGCCACAGCAAAACGAAAGGCCAGAAAAATCATTCTTTTCATCCAGCAACATCATTCTTTCACCCAGCCACACAGCAAAACGAAAGGCCAGAAAATCATTCTTTCATCCAGCCACACAGCAAAAACGAAAGGCCAGAAAATCATTCTTTCACCCAGCCACACAGCAAAAAAACGAAAGGCCAGAAAATCATTCTTTCATCCAGCCGACAGCAAAACGAAAAACGAAAGGCCAGAAAATCATTCTTTCATCCAGCCACACAGCAAAAGGCGAAAAAAAATCATTCTTTCATCCAGCAAAAGCAAAACGAAAGGCCAGAAAAATCATTCTTTTCACCCAGCCACACAGCAAAACGAAAACCAGAAAATCATTCTTTCATCCAGCCACACCCAGCCACACAGCAAAACGAAAAAGAAAATCATTCTTTCATCCAGCCAGCACAAACGAAAGGCCAGGAAACGGCCAAGCAAAACGAAAGGCCAGAAAATCATTCTTTCATCCAGCCACAGCAAACGAAAGGCCAGAAAATCCATTTTTCATCCAGCCACAGCAAAACGAAAGGCCAGAAAATCATTCTTTCATCCAGCCACAGCAAAACGAAAGGCCAGAAAAATCATTCTTTCATCCAGCCACACAGCAAAACGAAAGGCCAGAAAATCATTCTTTCATCCAGCCACACAGCAAAACGAAAGGCCAGAAAATCATTCTTTCACCCAGCCACACAGCAAAACGAAAGGCCAGAAATCATTCTTTCATCCAGCCACACACAGCAAAACGAAAGGCCAAAAATCATTCTTTCATCCAGCCACACAGCAAAACGAAAGGCCAGAAAATCATTCTTTCATCCAGCCACACAGCCAAAAAATCATTCTTTCATCCAGCCACACAGCAAAACGAGGCCAGAAAATCATTCTTTCACCCAGCCACACAGCAAAACGAAAGGCCAGAAAATCATTCTTTCATCCAGCCACACAGCAAAGGTCAGAAATCATTTCTTTCATCCAGCCACACAGCAAAACGAAAGGCCAGAAAATCATTCTTCATCCAGCCACACAGCAAAACGAAAGGCCAGAAAATCATTCTTTCACCCAGCCACAGTAAACGTACCAGCAAAACGAAAGGCCAGAAAAATCATTCTTTCATCCAGCCACACAGCAAAACGAAGGCACACCCAGCCACAGCAAAACGAAAGGCCAGAAAATCATTCTTTCATCCAGCCACACAGCAAAACGAAAGGCCAGAAAATCATTCTTTCATCCAGCCACACAGCAAAACGAAAGGCCAGAAAAACATTCTTTCATCCAGCCACACAGCAAAACGAAAGGCCAGAAAATCATTCTTTCATCCAGCCACACAGCAAAACGAAAGGCCAGAAAATCATTCTTTTCATCCAGCCACACAGCAAAACGAAAGGCCAGAAAATCATTTTTCATCCAGCCACACAGCAAAACGAAAGGCCAGAAAATCATTCTTTCATCCAGCCACACACCAAAACGAAAGGCCAGAAAAATCATTCTTTCATCCAGCCACACAGCAAAACGAAAGGCCAGAAAATCATTCTTTCACCCAGCCACACAGCAAAACGAAAGGCCAGAAAATCATTCTTTCATCCAGCCACAGCAGCAAAACGAAAGGCCACCCAGCCAAAAGCAAAACGAAAGCGCAGAAAATCATTCTTTCACCCAGCCACACACAGCAAAACGAAAGGCCAGAAAATCATTCTTTCACCCAGCCACACAGCAAAACGAAAGGCCAGAAAATCATTCTTTCATCCAGCCACACAGCAAAAACGAAAGGCCAGAAAATCATTCTTTCATCAAGCCACACAGCAAACGAAAGGCCAAAAACATTCTTTCATCCAGCCACACAGCGAAAGGCTGAAAAATTCTTTTCATCCAAAAAAACGAAAGGCCAGAAAATTCTTTCCAGCCACACAGCAAAACGAAAGGCCAGAAAATCATTCTTTCATCCAGCCACACAGCAAAACGAAAGGCCAGAAATCATTCTTTCATCAGCCACAGAGCAAAACGAAAGGCCAGAAAATCATTCTTTCATCCAGCCACACAGCAAAAAAGGCCAGAAAATTCTTTCCCCAGCCACACATTCTTTCATCCAGCCACACAGCAAAACGAAAGGCCAGAAAAATCATTCTTTCATCCAGCCACAGCAAAACGAAAGGCCAGAAAATCATTCTTTCATCCAGCCACAGCAAAACGAAAGGCCAGAAAATCATTCTTTCATCCAGCCACACAGCAAAACGAAAGGCCAGAAAATCATTCTTTTCACCCAGCCACACAGCAAAACGAAAGGCCAGAAAATCATTCTTTCATCCAGCCACACAGCAAAACGAAAGGCCAGAAAATCATTCTTTCACCCAGCCACACAGCAAAACGAAAGGCCAGAAAATCATTCAGCCACAGTTTCATCCAGCCACACAGCAAAACGAAAGGCCAGAAAATCATTCTTTTCATCCAGCCACAGCAAGACGCAAAAAAACAAAGGCCACAGCAAACGAAAGGCAGAAAATTTCACCCAGCCACACAGCAAAACGAAAGGCCAGAAATCATTCTTTCATCCAGCCACACAGCAAAACGAAAGGCCAGAAAATCGTTACCCAGCCACACAGCAAAACGAAAGGCCAGAAAATCAGCTTTTTCAAACACAGCAAAACGAAAGGCGAAAATCATTCTTTTCATCCAGCCACACAGCAAAACGAAAGGCCAGAAAAATCATTCTTTCACCCAGCCACACAGCAAAACGAAAGGCCAGAAAATCATTCTTTCACCCAGCCACACAGCAAAACGAAAGGCCAGAAAAAATCATTCTTTCATCCAGCCACAGCAAAACGAAAGGCCAGAAAATCATTCTTTCACCCAGCCACACAGCAAAACGAAAGGCCAGAAAAATCATTCTTTCACCCAGCCACACAGCAAAACGAAAGGTCAGAAAATCATTCTTTCATCCAGCCACACAGCAAAACGAAAGGCCAGAAAATCATTCTTTCACCCAGCCACACAGCAAAACGAAAGGCCAGAAAATCATTCTTTCACCCAGCCACACAGCAAAACGAAAGGCCAGAAAATCATTCTTCATCCAGCCACAGCAAAACGAAAGGCCAGAAAATCATTCTTTCATCCAGCCACAGCAAAACGAAAGGCCAGAAAAATCATTCTTTTCCAGCCACACAGCAAAACGAAAGGCCAGAAAATCATTCTTTCACCCCAGCCACACAGCAAAACGAAAGGCCAGAAAATCATTCTTTCACCCAGCCACACAGCAAACGAAAGGCCAAAAAATCATTCTTTCATCCAAAGGCCAGAAAATCATTCTTTCACCCAGCCACACAGCAAAACGAAAGGCCAGAAAAATCATTCTTTCATCCAGCCACACAGCAAAAAACGAAAGAACAGAAAATCATTCTTTCATCCAGCCACACAGCAAAACGAAAGGCCAGAAAATCATTCTTTCACCCAGCCACACAGCAAAACGAAAGGCCAGAAAATCATTCTTTCACCCAGCCACACAGCAAAACGAAAGGCCAGAAAATCATTCTTTCACCCAGCCACACAGCAAAACGAAAAGGCCGGAAAATCATTCTTCATCCAGCCACAAAACGAAAGGCCGAAAATCATTCTTTCACCCAGCCACACAGCAAAAAAAAAGAAACACAGGCCAGAAAATCATTCTTTCACCCAGCCACACAGCAAAACGAAAGGCCAGAAAAATCATTCTTTCATCCAGCCACAGCAAAACGAAAGGCCAGAAAATCATTCTTTCACCCAGCCACACAGCAAAACGAAAGGCCAGAAAAATCATTCTTTCATCCAGCCACACAGCAAAACGAAAGGCCAGAAAAATCATTTTTTTCACCCAGCCACACAGCAAAACGAAAGGCCAGAAAAATCATTCTTTTCACCCAGCCACACAGCAAAACGAAAGGCCAGAAAATCATTTTTCACCCAGCCACACAGCAAAAACGAAAGGCCAGAAAATCATTCTTCATCCAGCCACAAACAAAGCAAAATCAAAGCCACAGCAAAACGAAAAAAAATCATTCTTTCACCCAGCCACACAGCAAAACGAAAGGCCAGAAAAAATCATTCTTTGACCCAGCCACACAGCAAACGAACGAAAACCATTTTTCATCCAGCCACAAAAAAAAATTTCTTTCACCCAGCCACACAGCAAAAACGAAAGGCCAGAAAATCATTCTTTCACCCAGCCACACAGCAAAACGAAAGGCCAGAAAATCATTCTTTCATCCAGCCACACAGCAAAACGAAAGGCCAGAAAATCATTCTTTCACCCAGCCACACAGCAAAAAAAGGTTGCGAAAGGCCAGAAAATCATTCTTCACCCAGCCACACAGCAAAAACGAAAAGGCCAGAAAAACATTCTTCACCCAGCCACACAGTAAAAACGAAAGACCAGAAAAATCATTCTTTCATCCAGCCACAGCAAAACGAAAGGCCAGAAAATCATTCTTTCACCCAGCCACACAGCAAAACGAAAGGCAGAAATCATTTTTCATCCACACAAGGCCAGCAAAACGAAAACAGCCAGAAAATCATTCTTTCACCAGCCACAAAGAAACGAAAGGCCAGAAAATCATTCTTTCATCCAGCCACACAGCAAAACGAAAGGCCAGAAAATCATTCTTTCACCCAGCCACACAGCAAAACGAAAGGCCAGAAAATCATTCTTTCACCCAGCCACACAGCAAAACGAAAGGCCAGAAAATCATTCTTTCACCCAGCCACACAGCAAAACGAAAGGCCAGAAAATCATTCTTTCACCCAGCCACACAGCAAAACGAAAAGGCCAGAAAAATCATTCTTTCATCCAGCCACAGCAAAACGGCCAGAAAATCATTCTTTCACCCAGCCACACACAGCAAAACGAAAGGCCAGAAAATCATTCTTTCACCCAGCCACACAGCAAAACGAAAGGCCAGAAAATCATTCTTCATCCAGCCACACAGCAAAAACGGCCTTCACGAAAGGCCAGAAAATCATTCTTTCACCCAGCCACACAGCAAAACGAAAGGCCAGAAAATCATTCTTTCATCCAGCCACACAGCAAAAAACGAAAGGCCAGAAAATCATTCTTTCATCCAGCCACAGCAAAACGAGCACAAAATCATTCTTTCCCAGCAAAAAACGAAGAAAATCATTCTTTCATCCAGCCACACAGCAAAACGAAAATAGAAAAATCGTTCTTTCATCCAGCCACACAGCAAAACGAAAAACCAGAAAATCATTCTTTCATCCAGCCACACAGCAAAACGAAAGGCCAGAAAATTATTCTTTCATCCAGCCACACAGCAAAACGAAAAGGCCAGAAAAATCATTCTTTTCACCCAGCCACACAGCAAAACGAAAGGCCAGAAAATCATTCTTTCACCCAGCCACACAGTAAAAACGAAAGGCCAGAAAATCATTCTTTCATCCAGCCACACAGCAAAAACGAAAGGCCACAAAAATTCCAGAAAATCTTCTTTCATCCAGCCACAGCAAAACGAAAGGCCAGAAAATCATTCTTTCATCCAGCCACACAGCAAAACGAAAGGCCAGAAAATCATTCTTTCATCCAGCCCACACAGCAAAAACGAAAATCGGGCCACAGAAAAACGAAAGACGAAAATCATTCTTTCATCCAGCCACACAGCAAAACGAAAGGCCAGAAAATCATTCTTTCACCCAGCCACACAGCAAAACGAAAGGCCAGAAAAAACATTCTTTCACCCAGCCACACAGCAAAACGAAAGGGCCAGAAAATCATTCTTCATCCAGCCACACAGCAAAACGAAAGGCCAGAAAATCATTCTTCATCCAGCCACACAGCAAAAACAGCGTCCAGAAAATCATTCTTTCATCCAGCCACACAGCAAAAACGAAAGGCCAGAAAATCATTCTTTCATCCAGCCACACAGCAAAACGAAAGGCCAGAAAATCATTCTTTCATCCAGCCACAGCAAAAACGAAAGGCCTGAAAATTATTCTTCATCCAGCCAAACACACAGCAAAACGAAAGGCCAGAAAATCATTCTTTTCATCCAGCCACACAGCAAAACGAAAGGCCAGGAAAATCATTCTTTTTCATCCAGCCACACAGCAAAACGAAAAGGCCAAAACCATTCTTTCATCAGCCACACAGCAAAACGAAAGGCCAGAAAAATCATTCTTTCATCCAGCCACACAGCAAAACGAAAGGCCAGAAAATCATTTTTTCATCCAGCCACACACAGCAAAACGAAAGGCCAGAAAATCATTCTTCATCCAGCCACACAGCAAAACGAAAGGCTGGAAAAATCATTCTTTCACCCAGCCACACAGCAAAACGAAAGGCCAGAAAATCGGCTACCACACAGAAATCATTTTTTCATCCAGCCACACAGCAAAACGAAAGGCCAGAAAATCATTCTTTCACCCAGCCACACAGCAAAACGAAAGGCCAGAAAATCATCATTCTTTCACCCAGCCACACAGCAAACGAAAGGCCAGAAAATCATTCTTTCACCCAGCCACACAGCAAAATCGAGGCAACAAAACATTCTTTCATCCAGCCACAAACAGCAAAACGAAAGGCCAGAAAATCATTCTTTCATCAGCCACACAGAAAACGAAAACCGGAAAATCATTCTTTCATCCAGACAAAAACGAAAGGCAGTGAAATTATTCTTTCACCCAGCCACACAGCAAAAACGAAAGGCCAGAAAAACATTCTTCATCCAGCCACACAGCAAAACGAAAGGCCAGAAAAAATCATTCTTTCACCCAGCCACAGCAAAACGAAAGGCCAGAAAATCATTCTTTCATCCAGCCACACAGCAAAACGAAAGGCCAGAAAAATCATTTTCATCCAGCCACAGCAAAACGAAAGGCCAGAAAATCATTCTTCATCCAGCCACAGTAAAACGAAAGGCCAGAAAATATTCTTTCACCCAGCCACAAAAAACGAAGGCTTCATTCTTTTCATCCAGCCACAGCAAAACGAAAGGCCAGAAAATCATTCTTTCATCCAGCCACACAGCAAAACGAAAAGGCCAGAAAATCATTCTTTCATCCAGCCACACAGCAAAACGAAAGGGCCAGAAAAAAACATTCTTTCATCCAGCCACACAGCAAAACGAAAAAGGCCAGAAAAATCATTCTTTCATCCAGCCACACAGCAAAACGAAAGGCCAGAAAATCATTCTTTCATCCAGCAACACAGCAAAAACGAAAGGCCAGAAAATCATTCTTTCACCCAGCCACACAGCAAAACGAAAGGCCAGAAAAATTCTTTCACCCAGCCACTCAAACGACCCAGCCACACAGCAAAACGAAAGGCCAGAAAATCATTCTTTCACCAGCCACACAGCAAAACGAAAGGCCAGAAAATCATTCTTTTTCCAGCCACACAGCAAAACGAAAAGGCCAGAAATCATTCTTTCATCCAGCCACAAGTTAAACGAAAGGCCAGGAAGTTTCTTTCACCCAGCCACACACAGCAAAACGAAAGGCCAGAAAATCATTCTTTTCCCAGCCACACAGCAAAACGAAAGGCCAGAAAATCGCCCTTTCATCCAGCCACACAAAACAAAACGAAAATCCAGAAAATCATTCTTTTCACCCAGCCACACAGCAAAACGAAAGGCACAGCAAACGAAAGGCGAAAATCATTCTTTCATCCAGCCACACAGCAAAACGAAAGGCCAGAAAATCATTTTCACCCAGCCACACCAAAACGAAAGGCCTGAAAATCATTTTTCACCCAGCCACACAAAACGAAAAGGCCAGAAAATCATTTTTTTCACCCAGCCACACAGCAAAACGAAAGGCCAGAAAATCATTCTTTCATCCAGCCACACAGCAAAACGAAAGGCCAGAAAATCATTCTTTCACCCAGCGCCACACAGTAAAAACGAAAGGCCAGGAAATCATTCTTTCACCCCAGCCACACAGCAAAACGAAAGGCCAGAAAATCATTCATTCAGCCACACAGCAAACGAAAGGCCAGAAAAATCGTTCTTTCACCCAGCCACACAGCAAACGAAAGGCCAGAAACCATTCTTTCACCCAGCCACAGCAAAACGAAAGGCCAGGAAAATCATTCTCATCCAGCCACACACAGCAAAACGAAAGGCCAAAATCATTCTTTCACCCAGCCACAGCAAAACGAAAAGGCCAGAAAATCATTCTTTCATCCAGCCACACAGCAAAAACGAAGGCCAGAAAACTATTCTTTCACCCAGCCACACAAAAACGAAAGGCCAGAAAATCATTCTTTCATCCAGCCACACACAGCAAAAAATCAAAGCCACAGAAAATCATTCTTTCATCCAGCCACACAGCAAAACGAAAGGCCAGAAATCATTCTTTTTTCCCAGCCACACAGTAAAACGAAGGCCAGAAAATCGTTCTTTCACCCAGCCACACAGCAAAACGAAAGGCCAGAAAATCATTCCTTTCATCCAGCCACACAGCCAAAGCAAACGAAAGGCCAGAAAATCATTCTTCACCCAGCCACACAGCAAAACGAAAGGCCAGAAAATCATTCTTTCACCCAGCCACACAGCAAAAAACGAAAGGCCGAAAATCATTCTTTCATCCAGCCACACAGCAGCAAACGAAAGGCCAGAAAATCATTCTTTCGCATCCAGCAAAACGAAAGGCAGTAAAACGAAAACGGGCCAGAAAATCATTCTTTCACCCAGCCACACAGCAAAACGAAAGGCCAGAAAAACCATTCTCATCCAACACAGGCAAACGAAGGCCAGAAAATGTTCTCTTTCAAAACGAAACGAAGGCCAGAAAATCATTTCTTTCACCCAGCCACACAGCAAAACGAGGCCAGAAAAATCATTCTTTCATCCAGCCACACAGCAAAACGAAAGGCCAGAAAATCATTCCTTCACCCAGCCTTTGTAAAACGAAAAGGCCAGAAAATCATTCTTTCTGCCACACAGCAAAACGGAAAGGCCAGAAAAAATCATTCTTTCCACCCAGCCACACGACGAAACGAAAATCATTCTTCATCCACACAGCAAAACGGGCCAGAAAATCATTCTTTCATCCACAGCAAAGCAGGCCAAAAACGAAGCAGCCAGTAAAACGAAAGGCTGAAAATCGTTCTTTCACCCAGCCACACAGCAAAACGAAAGGCCGAAAATCATTCTTCACCACACAGCAAAACGAAAAGCAAAACGAACAGCAAGGCAAATCATTTCTTTCGGAAAATCATTCTTCACCCAGCCACACAGCAAAACGAAAGGCCAGAAAAATCATTCTTTCATCCAGCCACACAGCAAAACGAAAGGCCAAAAATCATTCTTTCACCCAGCCACAGCAAAACGAAAGAACAGAAAACCATTCTTTCATCCAGGCACACAGCAAAACGAAAGGCCAGAAAATCATTCTTTTCACCCAGCCACACAGCAAAAACGAAAGGGCAAGAAAATCATTCTTTCATCCAGCCACCCAGCCAAACAAAGGCCAGAAAAATCATTCTTTCACCCAGCCACACACAGCAAAACGAAAGGCCAGAAAATCATTCTTCACCTAGCCACACAGTAAAACGGGCAGGCCAGAAAAACATTCTTTCACCCAGCCACAGCAAAACGAAAGGCCTGAAAATCATTCTTTCATCCAGCCAATAGCAAAACGAAAGGCCAGAAAATCATTCTTTCACCCAGCCACACAGCAAAACGAAAGGCCAGAAAATCATTCTTTCACCCAGCCACACACAGCAAAACGAAAGGCCAGAAAATCATTCTTCACCCAGCCACACAGCAAAAACGAAAGGCCAGAAAATCATTCTTTCATCCAGCCACACAGCAAAAACGAAAGGCCAGAGAAAATCATTCTTTCGCAGCCACACAGCAAAACGAAAAGGGCCAGAAAATCATTCTTTCATCCAGCCACACAGCAAAACGAAAGGCCAGAAAATCATTCTCACCCAGCCACACAGTAAAAACGAAAGGCCAGAAAATCATTCTTTCACCCAGCCACACAGCAAAACGAAGGCCAAAAATCATTCTTTCATCCAGCCACAACAAAACGAAAGCAGAAAAATCATTCTTTCCCAGCCACAGCAAAACGAAAGGCCAGAAAATTATTCTTTCCCCAGCCACACAGCAAAACGAAAGGCCAGAAAATCATTCTTTCACCCAGCCACACAGCAAAACGAAAGGCCAGAAAATCATTCTTTTCATCCAGCCACACATTAAAACGAAAGGCCAGAAAATCGTTCTTTCACCCAGCCACACAGCAAAACGAAAGGCCAGAAAATCATTCTTGACCCAGCCACACAGCAAAAACGAAAGGCCAGAAAATCATTCTTTCACCCAGCCACACAGCAAAAACGAAAGGCCAGAAATCATTCTTTCATCCATCCACACAGCAAAACGAAAGGCCAGAAAAATCATTCTTTCACCCCAGCCACATAGCAAAACGAAAAGGCCAGAAAATCATTCTTTCGCACCCAGCCACAACGAAAGGCCGAAAACGAACGGCCAAAAAATCATTCTTTCCACCCAGCCACAGCAAAACGGTGCTGCCAGAAAATCGTTCTTTCATCCAGCCACACAGCAAACGAAAAGGCCAGAAAAACTATTCTTTCACCCAGCCACACAGCAAAACGAAAGGGCCAGAAAATCGTTCTTTCATCAGCCACACAGCAAAACGAAAGGCCAGAAAAATCATTCTTTCATCCAGCCACACAGCAAAAACGAAAGGCTAGAAAATCCATTCTTTCACCCAGCCACACAGCAAAAAACCCAGAAAATCATTCTTCATCCAACCACACAGGCCAGAAAATCATTCTTCACCCAGCCACAGCAAACGGAAAGGCCAGAAAATCATTCTTTCATCCAGGCCACACAGCAAAACGAAAGGCAGGAAAATCATTCTTCATCCAGCCACAGCAAAACGAAAGGCCAGAAAAATTCTTTCATTCTTCATCTTTCATCAGCCACACAGCAAAACGAAATGCCAGAAAATCATTCTTTCATCCAGCCACACAGCAAAACGAAAGGCGAAAGGCCAGTCTTTCAGAAAATCAAAATTTTCTTTCACACACCCCACACAGCAAAAAACCAGGCCAGAAAACTGGTTCTTTTGTCAGCCACACAGCAAAACGAAAGGCCAGGAAATTATTGTTCATCCAGCCACACAGCAAAACGAAAGGCCAGAAAAATTCTTTCATCAGCCACACAGCAAAACGAAAGGCCAATCATTCTTTTCATCCAGCCACACCAGCAAAAACGAAAGGCCAGAAAATCATTCTTTTTCACCAACCACAGCAAAACGAAAGGCCAGAAAATCATTCTTTCATCCAGCCACACAGCAAAACGAAAGGCCAGAAAATCATTCTTTTTCATCCAGCCACAGAAAAACCAGAAAATCGGCCAGAAAATCATTCTTTCATCCAGCCACACAGCAAAACGAAAGGCCAGGAAAATCATTCTTTCATCCAGCCACACAGCAAAAAAATCATTCTCACCAACCACACAGCAAACGGCCAGAAAAATCATTCTTTCATCCAGCCACAGCAAAAAAGGCCAGAAAATCATTCTTTCATCAGCCACACAGAAAAACCAGAAACATTCTTTTTCATCCAGCCACACAGCAAAAATGAAAGGCCAGAAAATCATTTTTCGCGTAAAACAAGGGAAAGCCAACATTCTTTCATCCAGCCACACAAAATTGCATGCCAGAAAAATCATTCTTTTCACCCAGCCACACAGCAAAACGAAAGGCCAGAAAATCATTCTTTCACCCAGCCACAGCAGCAAAACGAAAGGCCAGAAAATCATTCTTTCACCCAGCCACAGCAAAACGAAAGGCCAGGAAAATCATTCTTTCTCCAGCCACACAGCAAAACGAAAGGCCAGAAAAATCATTCTTTCACCCAGCCACACAGCAAAACAAAAGGCCAGAAAATCATTCTTCATCCCAGCCACACAGCCAAAAAACGAAAGGCCAGAAAATTATTCTTTCATCCAGCCACACAGCAAAACGAAAGGCCGGAAAATCATTCTTTCATCCATCCACACAAAAACGAAGGCCGAAAATCATTCTTTCAAAAATCATTCTTCAACGAAATACATGAAAGAAAAACGAAAGGCCAGAAAAATCATTCTTCATCCAGCCACAGCAGAAGACGAGCGCCAGAAAATCATTCTTTCATCAAGCCCACAGCAAAACGAAAGGCCAGAAAAATCATTCTTTTCACCAGCCACACAGCAAAACGAAAGGCCAGAAAAAATCATTCTTTCCCCAGCCACACATCAAACGAAAGGCCGGAAATCATTCTTTCACCCAGCCACACAGCAAAACGAAAATAGAAAATCATTCTTTCATCCATCCACACACAGCAAAACGAAAACCAGAAAATCATTCTTTCACCCAGCCACACAGCAAAAACGAAAGGCCAGAAAAAATCATTTCCCCAGCCACACAGCAAAAACGAAAGGCCAGAAAATCATTCATCCAGCCACACAGCAAAACGAAAGGCCAGAAATCATTCTTTTCATCCAGCCACACAGCAAAACGAAAGGCCAGAAAAATCATTCTTTTTTTCATCCAGCCACACAGCAAAATTAAAAGGCCAGAAAAATCATTCTTTCATCCAGCCACAGCAAAACGAAAAGGCCAGAAAATCATTCTTTTCACCAGCCACACAGCAAAACGAAAGGCCAGAAAATCATTCTTCACCCAGCCACAGCAAAACGAAAGGCCAGAAAATCATTCTTTTCATCCAGCCACACAGCAAAACGAAAGGCCAGAAAAAATCATTCTTTTCATCCAGCCACAGCAAAACGAAAGGCCAGAAAAAATCATTCTTCATCCAGCCACAGCAAAACGAAAGGCCAGAAAATTGGCATTTCACTCCAGCCACAGTAAAAACCAAAGCATGAAATCACCCACCCAGCCACAGTAAAAACGAAAAGGGCCAAAAACCATTCTTTCATCCAGCCACAGCAAAAACGAAAAAAGGCCAGAAAATCATTCTTTCATCCCAGCCACACAGCAAAACGAAAGGCCAGAAAATCATTCTTTTCACCCAGCCACACAGCAAAACGAAAGGCCAGAAAATCATTATTCACCCAGCCACACAGCAGAAAATCAAAACGAAAAACGAAAGGGGCCAGAAAATCATTCTTTTTCACCCAGCCACACAGCAAAACGAAAAACCAGAAAATCATTCTTTCATCCAGCCACACAGCAAAACGAAAGGCTAGAAAAAATTATTCTTTCATCCAGCCACACAGCAAAAACGAAAGGCCAGAAAAAAACATCTCTTTCATCCAGCCACACAGCAAAACGAAAGGCCAGAAAATCATTCTTTCATCCAGCCACAGCAAAACGAAAGGCCAGAAAATCATTCTTTCATCCAGCCACACAGCAAAACGAAAGGCCAGAAAATCATTCTTTCATCCAGCCACACAGCAAAACGAAAGGCTGAAAATCATTCTTTTCATCCAGCCACACAGCAAAAACGAAAGGCCAGAAAAATTCTTTCATCCAGCCACACAGCAAAACGAAAGCCAGAAAATCATTTTTCATCCAGCCACACAGCAAAACGAAAGGCCAGAAAATCATTCTTTCATCCAGCACAGCAAAACGAAAGGGCCAGAAAATCATTCTTTTTCATCCCAGCCACAGACAGCAAAACGAAAGGCCAGAAAATCATTCTTTCATCCAGCACACAGCAAAAAACGAAAGGCCAGAAAAATCATTCTTTCACCCAGCCAACACATGAAAACGAAAGGCCAGAAAAAATTCTTTCATCCAGCCACACAGGTAAAACGAAAGGGGCCAGAAAATCACATTCTTTCACCCAGCCACACACAGCAAAACGAAAGCACAGAAAAATCATTCTTTCATCCAGCCACACAGCAAAACGAAAGCCAGAAAATCTTTTCATCCAGCCACACAGCAGCAAAACGAAAGGCCAGAAAATCATTCTTTTCATCCAGCCACACAGCAAAACGAAAGGCCAGAAAATCATTCTTTCATCCAGGCCACACAGCAAAAACAAAAAAATTGTTCTTCATCCAGCCAAAAAGGAAAGGCCAGAAAATCATTCTTTCATCCAGCCACAGCAAAACGAAAGGCCAGAAAATCATTCTTTCATCCAGCCACACAGCAAAACGAAAGGCCAGAAAAATCATTCTTTCATCCAGCCACACAGCAAAAACGAAAGCCGAAAGGCCAAAATCATTTTTTCATCCAGCCACACAGCAAAACGAAAGGCCAGAAAATCATTTTTTCACCCAGCCACACAGCAAAACGAAAAGGCCAGGAAAACTATTCTTTCTTCATCCAGCCACAGCAAAACGAAAGGCCAGGAAAATCATTCTTTCATCCACACACAGCAAAACGAAAGGCTGAAAATCATTCTTTCATCCAGCCACACAGCAAAACGAAAGGCCAGAAAAAATTACCTTTCATCCAGCCAAGGCCAGGTAAAACGAAAACTAGAAAATCATTCTTTCATCCAGCCACACAGCAAAACGAAAGGGGTCAGAAAAATCATTTTTTCATCCAGCCACACAGCAAAAACGAAAGGCCAGAAAAACATTTTTCATCCAGCCACACACAGCAAAACGAAAGGCCAGAAAATCATTCTTTTCATCCAGCCACACAGGCAAAACGAAAGGCCAGAAAATCATTTTTCATCCAGCCACACAGCAAAAATTGAAAGGCCAGAAAAATCATTCTTTCATCCAGCCACACAGCAAAACGAAAGGGCCAGAAAATCATTCTTTCATCCAGCCACACAGCAAAACGAAAGGCCAGAAAAAATCATTCTTTCATCCACACAGCAAAACGAAAGGCCAGAAAAAATCATTCTTTCATCCCAGCCACACAGCAAAACGAAAGGCCAGAAAAATCATTCTTTCATCCAGCCACACAGCAAAAAAATCGAAAACGGCCAGAAAATCATTCTTTCATCCAGCCACAGCAAAACGAAAAGGCCAGGAAATCAATCTTTCACCCACACCAGCAAAACGAAAGGCCGGAAAATCATTTTTTCACCCAGCCACACAAAAAACGAAAGGCCAGAAAATCATTCTTTCACCCAGCCACACAGCAAAACGAAAAGGCCAGAAAAGGCTAAAACGAAAAAATCATTCTTTTCATCCAGCCACACAGCAAAACGAAAGGCCAGAAAATCATTCTTTCATCCAGCCACACAGCAAAACGAAAGGCCAGAAAATCGTTCTTTCATCCAGCCACAGCAAAAACGAAAGGCCAGAAAATCATTCTTTCATCCAGCCACACAGCAAAAACGAAAGGCCAGAAAATCATTCTTTTCATCCAGCCACACAGCAAAACGAAAGGCCAGAAAATTATTCTTTCATCCAGCCACACAGCAAAACGAAAGGCCAGAAAAATCATTCTTTCATCCACCACACAGCAAAACGAAAGGCCAGAAAATCATTCTTTCCAGCCACACAGCAAAACGAAAGGCCAGAAATCATTCTCATCCAGCCACACAGCAAAACGAAAGGCCAGAAAATCATTCTTTCACCCAGCCACACAGCAAATCATTCTTTTTCATCCAGCCACACAGCAAACGAAAGGCCAGAAAATCATTCTTTCATCCAGACACACAGCAAAACGAAAGGCCAGAAAATCATTCTTTCACCCAGCCACACAGCAAAACGAAAGGCCAAGAAAATCATTCTTTCATCCAGCCACACAGCAAAACGAAAAGGCCAGAAAATCATTCTTTCACCCAGCCACACAGCAAAACGAAAAGGCCAGAAAAATCATTCTTTCATCAGCCACACAGCAAAACGAAAGGCCATTCTTTCATCCAGCCACAGCAAAACGAAAGGCCAGAAAATCATTCTTTTTCACCCAGCCACACAGCAAAACGAAAGGCCAGAAAAGCCACCCAGCCACAAGAAAAACGAAAGGCCAGAAAATCATTCTTTCATCCAGCCACAACAGCAAAAAAATTCTTTCATCGAAAGGCCAGAAAATCATTCCATCCAGCCACACAGCAAAACGAAAGGCCAGAAAATCATTTTTCACCCAGCCACACAGCAAAACGAAAGGCCAGAAAATCATTCTTTTTCAACCAAACATGCAAAACGAAAGGCAGAAAATCAAAACGAAACGAAAGGCCAGAAAAATCATTCTTTCATCCAGCCACACAAAAAAAGGCCAGCAAAACGAAAAAAAGGCCTGAAAAACATTCTTTCACCCAGCCACACAAAAAACGCAAACGAAAACGGCCAGAAAATCATTCTTTCACCCAGCCACACAAAAACGAAAGGCCAGAAAATCATTCTTTTCATCAGCCACAGCAAAACGAAAAGGCCAAAATCATTATTTTCATCCAGCCACAGAAAAACGAAAGGCTGCCAGAAACATTCTTTCATCCAGCCACAGCAAAAAACGAAAGGCCAGAAAATCATTCTTTCATCCACAGCAAAACGAAAGGCCAGAAAATCATTCTTTCACCCACAGCAAAACGAAAGGCCAGAAAAATCATTCTTTTCACCCAGCCAAAACAAAACGAAAGGCCAGAAAATCATTCTTTTCACCCAGCCACACAGCAAAACGAAAGGCCAGAAAATCAATCTTTTCACCCAGCCACACAGCAAAACGAAAGGCCAGAAAATCATTCTTTCACCCAGCCACACAGCAAAACGAAGGCCACATTCTTTCATCCAGCCAAAAAACGAAAGGCCAGCATTCTTTCACCCAGCCACACAGAAAACTAAAATGAAAAATCATTCTTTCACCCAGCCACACACAGCAAAACGAAAAGGCCAGAAAATCATTTTTCACCCAGCCACACAGCAAAAAATCAACCCAGCCACACAGCAAAACGAAAGGCTAAAAATCATTCTTTCGCCACTACAGCAAAACGAAAGGCCAGGAAAAATCATTTTTCATCCAGCCACACAGCAAAACGAAAGGCCAGAAAAAAAATCATTCTTTCCGCAGCCAAAAACGAAAGGCCAGAAAATCATTCTTTTCATCCAGCCACACAGCAAAACGAAAGGCCAGAAAATCCATTCTTTCACCCAGCCACACAGCAAAACGAAAGGCCAGAAAATCATTCTTTTCATCCCCAGCCACACAGCAAAACGAAAGGCCAGAAAATCATTCTTTCATCCAAAACACAGAAAATCATTCTTTCATCCAGCCACAAAAAACGAAAGGCCAGAAAATCATTCTTTCACCCAGCCACACAGCAAAACGAAAAGAACAGAAAATCATTCTTTCATCCAGCCACACAGCAAAACGAAAGGCCAGAAAAATCATTCTTTCATCCAGCCACACAGCAAAACGAAAGGCCAGAAAATCATTCTTTCACCCAGCCACAAAAACGAAAGGCCAGAAAAATCATTCTTTCACCCAGCCACAGCAAAACGAAAGGCCAGAAAATCATTCTTTCATCCAGCCACAGCAAAACGAAAGGCCAGAAAATCATTCTTTCACCCAGCCACACAGCAAAACGAAAGGCCAGAAAAATCATTCTTTCACCCAGCCACACAGCAAACGAAAGGCCAGAAAAATCATTCTTCATCCAGCCACAGCAAAACGAAAGGCCAGAAAATCATTCTTTCACCCAGCCACACAGCAAAACGAAAGGCTGTAAAATCATTCTTTCACCAGCCACACAGGCAAAACGAAAGTGGCCAGAAAATCATTCACCCAGCCACACAGCAAAACGAAAGGCCAGAAAATCATTCTTCATCCAGCCACACAGCAAAACGAAAGGCAAAAATTTCTTTCACCCAGCCATTAGCAAAAACGAAAAGGCCAGAAAATCATTTTTTCATCCAGCCACAGTAAAAACGAAAGGCCAGAAAAATCATTCTCCTTCACCCAGCCACACAGCAAAATCGAAAGGCCAAAAAAATTCATTCTTTTCAGCCAGCCACACAGCAAACGAAAGGCCAGAAAACCATTTCTTCATCCAGCCACACAGCAAACGAAAGCGCTAGAAAACATTCTTTCACCCAGCCACAGCAAAACGAAAGGCCAGAAAATCATTCTTCATCCAGCCACACAGTAAAACGAAAGGCCAGAAAATCATTATTTCATCCAGCCACACAGCAAAAACGAAAGGCCAGAAAAATCATTTTTTCACCCAGCCACAGAAACAAAACGAGGCTGAGAAAATCATCCAGCCACAGCAAAACAAAGGCAAAACGAAAAACCAGAAAATCATTCTTTCACCCCAGCCACACAGCAAACGAAAGGCCAGAAAAATCATTCTTTCACCCCAGCCACACAGCAAAACGAAAGGCCAGAAAATCATTCTTTCATCCAGCCACACAGCAAAACGAAAGGCCAGAAAAGAAATCATTCTTTCATCCAGCCACACAGCAAAACGAAGGCCAGAAAATCATTCTTTCATCCAGCCACACAGTAAAACGAAAGGCCAGAAAAATCATTCTTTCACCCAGCCACACAGCAAAACGAAAGGCCAGAAAATCATTCTTTCATCCAGCCACAGCAAAACGAAAGGCCAGAAAATCATTCTTTCACCCAGCCACACAGCAAAACGAAAAGGCCAGAAAATCATTCTTTCACCCAGCCACACAGCAAAGGAAATCATTCTTTCATCCAACACAGCAAAACCTTTCACCAGAAAGGCCAGAAAAACATTCTTTCACCCAGCCACACAGCAAAACGAAAGGCCAGAAAAACCATTCTTTCACCCAGCCACACAGCAAAACGAAAGGCCAGAAAATCATTCTTTCATCCAGCCACAGCAAAACGAAAGGCCAGAAAAACCATTCTTTCATCCAGCCACACAGCAAAACGAAAGGCCAGAAAAATCATTCTTTCATCCAGCCACAGCAAAACGAAAGGCCAGAAAATCATTCTTTCACCCAGCCACACAGCAAAACGAAAGGCCAGAAAATTTTCTTTCATCAGCCACACAGCAAAACGAAAGGCCAGAAAATCATTCTTTCATCCAGCCACACAGCAAAACGAAAGGCCAGAAAATCATTCTTTCATCCCAGCCACACAGCAAAACGAAAGGCCAGAAAATCATTCTTTCACCCCAGCCACACAGCAAAACGAAAGGCCAGAAAAATCATTCTTTCCCAGCCACACAGCAAAACGAAAGGCCAGAAAATCATTCTTTCACCCAGCCACACAGCAAAACGAAGGCCAGAAAATCATTCTTTCATCCCGCGACACAGCAAAACGAAAGCCAGAAAAAAAGGCGTTCGTTCTTTCACCACACAGCCACACAGCAAAACGAAAGCCAGAAAATCATTCTTTCATCCAGCCACACAGCAAAACGAAAGGCCAGAAAATCGAACAAGCAGAAAATCTTTCATCAACCACACAGCAAAACGAAAGGCCAGAAAAATCATTCTTTCACCCATCCACACAGCAAAACGAAAGGCCAAAAATCATTCTTTCATCCAGCCACACAGCAAAACGAAAGGCCAGAAAATCATTCTTTCACCCAGCCACACAGCAAAACGAAAGGCCAGAAAATCATTCTTTCACCCAGCCCACACAGCAAAACGAAAGGCCAGAAAATCATTCTTTCATCCAGCCACACAGCAAAACGAAAACGGCCAGAAAATCATTCTTTCACCCAGCCACACAGCAAAACAAAAATGAAAATCATTCTTTCCCAGCCACACAGCAAACGAAAGGCCAGAAAAATCATTCTTTCACCCAGCCACACAGCAAAACGAAAACGGCCAGAAAATCATTCTTTCACCCAGCCACACAAAAAACGAAAGGCCAGAAAATCATTCTTTCACCCAGCCACACAGCAAAACGAAAGGCCAGAAAAAATCATTCTTTCACCCAGCCACACAGCAAAACGAAAGGCCAGAAAATCATTCTTTCACCCAGCCACACAGCAAAACGAAAGGCCAGAAAAATCATTCTTTCACCCAGCCACAGCAAAACGAAGGCCAGAAAATCATTCTTTCACCCAGCCACACAGCAAAACGAAACACCAGAAAAAAATCATTCTTTCATCCAGCCACACAGCAAAACGAAAGGCCAGAAAATCATTCTTTCACCCAGCCCACACAGCAAAAAACGACAGCAAAACGAAAGGCCAGAAAATCGTTCTTTTCATCAGCCACCACACAGCAAAACAGAAAGGCCAGAAAAAATCATTCTTTCAGCCACACAGCAAAACTAAAGGCCAGAAAATCCTTTCAGCCACACACAAAACGAAAGGCCAGAAATCAAAAGCAAAACGAAGGCCAGAAAATCGTTCTTTCACCCAGCCCACACAGCAAAACAAAACTGAAAGGCCAGAAAATCATTCTTTCACCCAGCCACAGCAAAACGAAAGGCCAGAAAATCATTCTTTCATCCAGCCACACAAAAGCAAAAATGTTCTTTCATCCAGCCACACGAAAGGCCAGAAAATCATTCTTTCACCCAGCCACACAGCAAAACGAAAAAAATCATTCTTTCATCCAGCAGAAAAATCATTCTTTCATCCAGTTACACAGCAAAACGAAAGGCCTTTCAGAAAAAATTATTCTTTTTCACCCAGCCACACAGCAAAACGAAAGGCCAGAAAATCATTCTTTCAAAGCCAAAAGTGAAAAATCACCGCAGCAAAACCAGCAAACGAAAAAAACATTCTTTCATCCAGCCACACAGCAAAACGAAAGGCCAGAAAATCATTCTTTCATCCAGCCACACAAAAACGAAAACGGCCAGAAAATCATTCTTTCAAAACGAAAGGCGAAAATCCACACAGCAAAACGAAAGGCAGAAAAAATCATTCTTTCACCCAACCACACAGCAAAACGAAAGGCCAGAAAATCATTCTTTCATCCAGCCACACAAAACGCAAAAATCGAAAGGCCAGAAAATCATTCTTTCATCCAGCAAAACACAGCAAAAACGAAAACGAAACCAGAAAATCATTCTTTCATCCAGCCACACAGCAAAACGAAAAAGGCCAGAAAAATCATTCTTTCTCACCCAGCCACACAGCAAAACGAAAAACAGGCCAGAAAATCATTCTTTCATCCAGCCACACAGCAAAACGAAAGGCCAGAAAATCATTCTCTCCACCCAGCCACACGAGCAAAACGAAAGGCCAGAAAAAATCATTCTTTCATCCAGCCACACAGCAAAAACGAAAGGCCAGAAAAATCATTCTTTCACCCAGCCACACACAGCAAAACGAAAGGCCGAAAATCATTCTTCTTTCATCCAGCCACACAGCAAAACGAAAGGCCAGAAAATCATTCTTTCACCCAGCCACAAACAAAAATGCAAAACTTTCATCCCAGCCACAGAAAACGATCATTCTTTCATCCACCACACAGCAAAACGAAAGGCCAGAGAATCATTCTTTCATCCAGCCACACAGCAAAACGAAAGGCCAGAAAATCCCATTCTTTCACCCAGCCACACAGCAAAACGAAAGGCCAGAAAATCATTCTTTCATCCAGCCACACAGCAAAACAAAGGCCACATTCTTTCATCCAGCCAAAAACGAAAGGCCGAAAATCATTCTTTCATCCAAAAAACGACAACAGAAAACGGCCAGAAAATTGTTCTTTCATCCAGCCACACAGCAAAACGAAAGGCCAGCAAAACGAAAGGTCATTCTTTCATCCAGCCACACAGCAAAACGAAAGGCCAGAAAATCATTCTTTCATCCAGCCACACAGCAAAACGAAAGGCTTTCATCCAGCCACAAATCATTCTTTCATCCAGCCACACAGCAAAACGAAAGGCCAGAAAAATCATTCTTTCATCCAGCCACAATAAAACGAAAGGCCAGAAAATCATTCTTTCATCCAGCCACACAGCAAAACGAAAGGCCAGAAAATCATTCTTTCACCAGCCACACAGCAAAACGAAGGCGAAAATCATTCTTTCGTCCAGCCACACAGCAAAACGAAGGCCAGAAATCGTTCTTTCACCAGCCACACAGCAAAACGAAGAACAGAAAATCATTCTTTCATCCAGCCACACAGCAAGAGCAGAGGCCGGAAAGTCGTTCTTTCCACCTGACCACGGCAAAACGAAAGGCCAGAAAATCGTTCTTTCGCAGCCACACAGCAAAACGAAGGCCAGAAAATCGTTCTTTCACCCAGCCACGGCAAAACGAAGGCCGGAAAATCGTTCTGCCCAGCCACAGCAAACGAAAGGCCGAAAATCGTTCTAACTACCCAGCCGCAGCAAAACGAGGCCAGTGTTCTTTCGTCAACCAAACAACAAAACGAAACCAAAAACCACTTTCACCAACCACAACAAAACAAAAATGAAAATCATTCTTTCACCCAACCACACAGCAAACGAAAGGCCAGAAAATCGTTCTTTCACCAACCACGCACAGCAAAACGAAAGGCCAGAAAATCATTCTCATCCATCCACAGCAGCAAAACGAAAGGCCAGAAAATCGTTCTTTCATCCAGCCACACAGCAAAACGAAAGGCGAAAACGGCCAGAAAATCATTCTTTCACCCCCAGCCACAGCAAACGAAAGGCCAAAAATCATTCTTTTCATCCAGCCACACAGCAAAACAAAGAAAGGCCAGAAAAGCATTCTTTCACCCACCACACAGCAAAACGAAAGGCAAAACGAGAAAATCGTTCTTTCACCCAGCCACACAGCAAAACGAAAGGCCAGAAAATCGTTCTTTCATCCAGCCACACAGCAAAACGAAAGGCCAGAAAATCGTTCTTTCGCAGCCACTCAGCAAAACGAAACGGCCAGAAAATCGTTCTTTCACCCAGCCACACAGCAAATCCACGAAAACGGCCAGAAAATCATTCTTTCACCCAGCCACACAGCAAAACGAAAGGCCAGAAAATCATTCTTTCATCCAGCCACACACAGCAAAACGAAAATGCCAAAAATCATTCTTTCACCCAACCACACGTAAAACGAACGGCCAGAAAATCATTCTTTCGCAACCACACAGCAAAACGAAAGGCCAGAAAAATCATTCTTTCATCCATCCACACACAGCAAAACTGAAGGCCAGAAAATGTTCTTTTCCTGCCCCAATACACAGCAAAACGAAGGCCAAAAATCATTCTTTCACCCCAGCCACACAGCAAAACGAACGGCCAGAAAAATCATTTCTTTCGCCCACCCACAGCAAAACGAAAGGCCAGAAAATCATTCTTTCGTCCAGCCACAGCAAAGCGAAACGCCAGAAAATCGTTCTTTCACCCCGCCCACAGCAAAACGAAAGAACAGAAAATCATTCTTTCATCCAACCACACAGCAAAACCCGGAAAAATCATTCTTTCACCCAGCCACACAGCAAAACGAAAGGCCAGAAAATCGTTCTTTCGTCAGCCACACAGCAAAACGAAAGGCCAGAAAATCATTCTTTCGCAACCACACAGCAAAACAAAGGCCAAAAATCATTCTTTCATCCAGCCACACAGCAAAACGAAATGAAAATCATTCTTTCACCCAGCCCACAACAAAACGAAGAACAGAAAATCATTCTTTCATCCAGCCACAGCAAAACGAAAAGCCAGAAAATCATTCTTTCATCCAGCCACACAGCAAAACGAAAGGCCAGAAAATCATTCTTTCACCCAGCCACACAGCAAAACGAAAGGCCAGAAAATCATTCTTTTCACCCACAGCACACACAGCAAAACGAAAGGCCAGAAAATCATTCTTTCATCCCCAGCCACAGCAAAACGAAGGCCAGAAAAATCCCATTCTTTCACCCAGCCACAGCAAAACGAAAGGCCAGAAAATCATTCTTTCACCCCAACCCACACAGCAAAACGAAAAGCCAATCGTTATTTCACTGCAAACACAGAAAACGGCCAGAAAATCATTCTTTCATCAACCACACAGTGAAACGAAAGCCAGAAAATCATTCTGCTCATCCAGCCACACAGCAAAACGAAAAAACCAGAAAATCGTGCTCGCAGCCACACAGCAAAACGAAAATGAAAATCGTTCTTTCGTCCAGCCACACAGCAAAACGAAAGGCAGAAAATCGTTCTTTCATCCAACCCACACAGCAAACAGAAAAGGCGAAAATCGTTCATTCGTCAGCCACAGCAGCAAAACGAAAGGCAGAAAATCGTTCTTTCACCCACCACAGCAAAACGAAGGCCAGAAAAATCATTCTTTCACCAGCCACACAGCAAAACGAAAGGCCAGAAAACCATTCTTTCCCCATCCCAACCACAGAACAAAAACGAAAGGCCAGAAAATCATTCACTCATCCAGCCACACAGCAAAACGAAAGGCCAGAAAATCATTCTTTCACCAGCCACATCAAAACGAAAGGACAAAATCATTCTTTCATCAACCACACAGCAAAAACGAAAATATTGAAAAATCCCGTTCTTTCACCAGCCACACAGCAAAACGAAAGAAAATCGTTATTCTTTCACCCAGCCAAAAAATCATTCTTTCATCCACAACAAAACGAAAGGCCAGAAAATCATTCTTCCGCAAAACGAAACGGGCCAGAAAATCATTCTTTCACCTAACCACACAGTAAAACGAAAGGCCAGAAAAAATCATTCTTTCGCAGCCACAGCAGCAAACGAAAGGCCAGAAAATCATTCTTTCATCCAGCCACCAGCAAAACAGGCCAAAAATCATTCTTCATCCAGGCAAAACCAGAAAATCGTTCTTTCGTCACAGCCACAAAAGCAAAACTAAAGGCCAGAAAATCATTCTTTCACCCAGCCGAAACCGTTCTTTCATGCAAAACAATAAGAACGAGGCCAGAAAATCATTCTCGCATCCAGCCACACAGCAAAAACGAAAGGCCAGAACATCATTCGTTCTCACCCAGCCAATATTGTAAAACAGAAAGGCCAGAAAATCATTCTTTCATCCAGCCACACAGCAAAACGAAAGGCCAGAAAATCATTCTTTCATCCAGCCACAGCAAAACGAAAAGAAAAAATCATTCTTTCATCAGCCACACCGAAAACGAAAAGAGCAGAAAAATCATTCTTTCACCCCCAATACACAGCAAAACGAAAGCCAGAAAATCCATTCACTCATCCAACCACACAGCCAAAACGAAGGCCAATCCGATTCTTTCGTCCAGCCACACAGCAAAACGAAAAGGCCGAAAAAGCATTCTTTCATCCAGCCACACAGCAAAACGAAAGGCCAGAAAATCATTCTTTCACACAGCCACAAAAAAGCAAAACGAAAAATGAAAATCATTCTTTCACAGCCACACAGCAAAACGAAAGGCCAGAAAATCGTTCTTTCACCCATCCATACAGCAAACGAAAGCCAGAAAATCATTCTTTCACCCAACCGCACGGCAAAACGAAAGCCCGAAAAATCATTCTTTCTGCCACAGCAAAACGAAAAGGCCAGAAAATCATTCTTTCGCCAGCCACTCAGCAAAACGAAAGGCCAGAAAATCATTCTTTGTATTTTACACAGCAAAACGAAAGGCCAGAAAAATCATTCTTTCGTCACCCAACCACAGCAAAACGAAAGGCCAGAAAATCATTCTTTCATCCAGCCACACAGCAAGGCAAAACAGAAAAATCGTTCTTTCGTCAGCCACACAGCAAAACGAAGGCCGAAAATATTCTTTCATCCATCCACCACAGCAAAACGAAAATGAGAAAATCATTCTTTCATCCGGCCACACAGCAAAACGAAAGGCCGAAAATCGTTCTTTCATCCAAGGCCACACAGCAAAACCACATCAAAACAGTGAAAAAAATCTTCTTTCACCTCACCACAGCAAACGAAAGATGCATTCTTTCATCCAATAAAAATCCAGTGTTCTTTCATCCAGCCACACAGCAAAACGAAAGGCAGAAAATCATTCTTTCATCCGAAGCCATCCAATACAGCAAAACCGAAAGGCCAGAAAATCACAATTTCCTTTCATCCAGCCACGCAGCAAACGAAAGGCCAGAAAATCATTCTTTCATCAACCACACAAGCAAAACGAAAGGCGAAAAATCATTCTTTCATCCAGCCACAGCAAAACGAAAGATGAAAATCGTTCTTTCACCCAGCCACAGCAAAACGAAAGGCAAAAATCGAGCCACACAGCAAAATGATTCTTCAATCATCCACGCAGCAAAGGCCAGAAAATCATTCTTTCACCAGCCACACATCAAACGAAAGGCCGAAAATCATTCTTTCACCAGCCACAGCAAAACGAAGGCCAGAAAATCGTTCTTTCACCCAGCCACACAGCAAACGAAAATATGAAAATCATTCTCATCAGCCACACAGCAAAACGAAGAAAAATCGTTAACATCCAGAAAAACGAAAATTCTTTCATCCAGCCACACAGCAAAAAGGCCAGAAAATCATTCTTTCATCCACACAGCAAAACGAGCAGAAAATCATTATTCGCAACCGCACAGGCCAGAAAATCATTCTTTCATCCAGCCACACAGCAAAACGAAAGGCCAGAAAATTGTTCTTTCATCCAGCCACACAGCAAAACGAAAAACCAGAAAATCATTCTTTCGTCCAGCCACACAGCAAAACGAGGCCGAAAATCATTCTTTCATCAGCCACACAGCAAAACGAAAGGCCAGAAAAACATTCTTTCATCAGCCACACAAGCAAAACGAAAGGCCAGAAAATCATTCTTTCGTCCACCACACAGCAAACGAAAGGCCAGAAAATCATTCTTTCATCCAGCCACACAGCAAACGAAAGCAGAAAAATCGTTCTTTCATCCACCACAGCAAACGAAAGGCCAGAAAATCGTTCTTTCGTCAACCACAGCAAAACAGCAAAACTCGTCAAGGCAAAAAAATCATTCTTTCTTAGCCACACAGCAAAACGAAAAAATGAAAAATCATTCTTTCACTATACACAGCAAAACGAAAAGGCCAGAAAATGTTTCTTTCATCAACCCACACAGCAAAACAAAGGCCAGAAAATCGTTCTTTCATCCCCATACAGCAAAACGAAAGGCCAGAAAATCGTTCTTTCACAGCCACCCATCAAACAAAATGAAAATCGTTCTTTCACCCCAGCCACAGCAAAACGAAAAGGCCAGAAAATCATTCTTTCACCAGCCACCAGCAAACGAAAAGGCCAAAAATCATTCTTTCATCAGCCACACAGCAAAACGAAGGGCCAGAAAAACATTCTTTCATCCAGGCACACAGCAAAACGAAAGGCCGAAAAATCGTTCTTTCATCCAGCCACACAGCAAAACGAAAGGCCAGAAAATCATTCTTTCATCCAGCCACAGCAAAACGAAAGGCCAAAAATTATTCTTTCATCCAGCCGCACAACAAAACGAAAGCCAGAAAATCATTCTTTCTTCCCAGCCACACAGCAGCAAAACGAAAGGCCGAAGAAAATCGTTCTTTCGTCCAGCAGCCACAGCAAAACGAAAGGCCTGAAAATCATTCTTTCATCAGCCACACAGCATAAAACGAAGGCAAGAAAATCGTTCTTTCCACCCCAGCCACTGGCAAAACGAAAGGCCAGAAAATCATTCTTTCATCCAGCCACACAGCAAAACGAAAGGCCAAAAATCATTCTTTCCACCCACACAGCAAACGAAAGGCCAGAAAATCATTCTTTTCCAGCCAAATAAAACAGAAAATCCACCACAGCAAAACGAAAGGCCAGAAAATCGTTCTTTTCACCCATACACAGCAAAACGAAAAGCCAGAAAATCGTTCTTTCGTCCAACCACACAGCAAAACGAAAGGCCTGAAAATCGTTCTTTCGCAACCACACAGCAAACGAAAACCAGAAAATCATTCTTTCATCCAGCCACGCAGCAAAACGAAAGGCAAAAATCATTCTTTTTCCAGCCACAGCAAAACGAAAAGCCAGAAAAAAACATTCTTTCATCCAGCCACACAGCAAAACGAAAGCCGGAAAATCATTCTTTCACCCAGCCACACAACCGCAAAACGAAAGGGCCGAAAATCATTCTTTCATCAACCACACAACAAAACAAGGCCAAAAATCGTTTCTTTCCGCAGCCACCACAAAACGAAAGGCCAGAAAATCATTCTTTCACCCAGCCACAGCAAAACGAAAGGCCAGAAAAATCATTCTTTCAACTACACAGCAAAACAAAGGCCAAAAATCATTCTTTCCCCCAGCCACACAGTAAAACGAACTGCCAGAAAATCATTCTTTCGTCAACCACAGCAAAACGAAAAGGCCTGAAAATCATTCTTTCATCCAGCCACACAGCAAAACGAAAGGCCAGAAAATCATTCTTTTCACCCAACCACAGTAAAAACGAAGGCCAGAAAATCGTTCTTTCACCCAGCCACACAGCAAACAAAGCCAGAAAATCATTCTTTCATCCAGCCACAGCAAAACGAAAGGCCAGAAAATCATTCTTTCCGCAGCCACACAGCAAACGAAAGGCCAGAAAATCGTTCTTTCACCCAGCCACAGCAAACAACGAAAGAACAGAAAATCATTCTTTCATCAACCACAGCAAACAAAGGCCCGAAAAATCGCAATTTCACCCAGCCACACAATAAAACGGTAGGCCAGAAAATCATTCTTTCTTAACCACCACAGCAAAACGAAAGGCCAGTCGTTCATTCTTTCCCAACCACAGCAAAACGAGAAAGGCCAAAAATCGTTCTTTCACCCAGCCACACAGCAAAACGAAAGGAAAATCCTTTCACCCAACCACAGAAAATCCAATCTTTCTTTCGTCAACCACACAACAAAACGAAGGCCAGAAAATCATTCTTTCGCAATACACAGCAAAACGAAAGGCCAGAAAATCGATGTTCTTTCGCAGCCACACGGTAAAACGAAAGGCCAGAAAATCATTTTTCACCCAGCCACACAGCAAACGAAAGGCCAGAAAATCATTCTTTCGCAAGCCACACAGCAAACGAAAAGGCCAGAAAATCATTCTTTCATCCCAGCCAGAAAAACCACACACAGCAAAACGAAGGCCAGAAAATCGTTTTCTTTCGCAGCCACAGCAAAACGAAAGGCCAGAAAAATCATTCTTTCACCAGCCACACAGTAAAACGAAAGCCGAAAATCATTCTTTCATCAACCCACACAGCAAAACGAAAGGCCAGAAAACCATTCTTTCATCCAATACAGCAAAACGAAGGCAGAAAATCATTCTTTCGCCCAACCACAGCAAACGAAAAGCCAGAAAAATGTTCTTTCGCCACCACACAGCAAAACGAAGGCCAGAAAATCGTTCTTTCATCCAGCCGCACAGCAAAACGAAGGCAGAAAATCATTCTTTCACCCAGCCACACAGCAAAACGAAAGGCCAGAAAATCACGTTCTTTCACCAGCCACAGCAAAACGAAAGGCCAGAAAATCATTCTTTCACCCAACCACAGCAAACGAAAGAAAGCCAGAAAATCGTTCTTTCACCCAGCCACACAGCAAAACGAAAAGCCAAAAAATCATTCTTTCACCCACCACACAGCAAAACGAAAGGCCGAAAATCATTCTTTCATCCAGCCACAGCAAAAACGAAAGGCCAGAAAATCATTCTTTCACCCAGCCACACAGCAAAACCGGGCCAGAAAATCATTCTTTCGTGTCCAGCCACAGCAAAACGAAAGGCCGAAAATCGTTCTTTCATCCAGCCACACAAAACGAAAGGCAGAAAATCATTCATTTCGCCCCAGCCACACAGCAAAAAATCACCGAGGTTTCATCAGCCACACCTTCAAAACGAAGGCCGAAAATCATTCTTTCATCCAGCCACACAGCAAAACGAAAGGCAGAAAATCATTCTTTCGTCACCCACACAACAAAACGAAAGGCCAGAAAATCGTTCTTTCACCCAGCCACGGCAAACGAAAAGCCAGAAAATCATTCTTTCACCCACCACACATAAAACAAAAGCCAGAAAATCATTCTTTCATCAGCCACACAGCAAAACGCAAGCCAGAAAATCGTTATTCTTTCACCCAACCACACAGCAAAACGAAAGGCCAGAAAACCATTCTTTCACCCAGGCACACAGCAAAACGAAGGCCAGAAAATCGTTCTTTCACCCACCACACAGCAAAACGAAGGCCAGAAAATCGTTCTTTCGTCCAGCCACAAAGCAAAACGAAAGGCCAGAAAATCCATTCTTTCACCCATGCGAAGGCAAAACGAACAGCAAAAAAGAAAATTTCTTTCGCAGCCACACACCAGCGACAGAACGGCCGGAAAACGTTCTCATCCAGCCACACAGCAAAACGAAAAGCCTGAAAATCATTCTTTCATCAGCCACACAGCAAAGCGAAGGCCAGAAAATCATTCTTTTTCACCCAGCCACACGCAAAAACGAAAGGCTGAAAAATCATTCTTTCACCAACCACGCAAAACGAAAAGGCCAGAAAATCGTTCTTTTCACCCCAGCCGCTCAGAAAAACGGAAAGGCCAGAAAAATCGATGCTCATCCAGCCACACAGCAAAACGAAAGGCCAGAAAATCATTCTTTCATCCAGCCACACAGCAAAACGAAAGGCCAGAAAAATCATTCTTTCATCCAGCCACAGCAAAACGAAAGGCCAGAAAAACATTCTCATCCAGAACCACAGCAAAAATTGAAAGGCCAGAAAATCATTTTTCGCCACACGAAAACGAAAGGCCAGAAAATTCATTCTTTCACCCAGCCACACAGCAAAAACGAAAGGCCAGAAAATCATTCTTTTCACCCAGCCACACAAACAAAAACGCCAGAAAACCATTCTTTCATCCAGCCACACAGCAAAACGAAAGGCCAGAAAATCATTCTTTCACCCAGCCACTCACAGCAAACGAAAGGCCTGAAAATCATTCTTTCATCCATACCACAGCAAAACGAAAAGGCCAGAAAATCATTCTTTCACCCAGCCACACAGCAAAAAAAACGAAAGCCAGAAAATCATTCATCCAGCCACCACAGCAAAACGAAAATGAAAATCGTTCTTTCACCCAGCCACACAGCAAAACGAAGGCCAGAAATTCATTCTTCACCAGCCACAGCAAAACAAGGCCCAGAAAATCATTCTTTCACCCAACCACAGCAAAACGAAAAGGCCAGAAAATCATTCTTTCACCCAGCCACACAGTGAAACGAAAGGCCAGAAAATCATTCTTTCACCCAGCCACACAGTAAAACGAAAGACGAAAAATCATTCTTTCATCAGCCCACACAGCAAAACGAAAGGCCAATCCGTTCTTTCATCCAGCCACAGCAAAACGAAAAAACAGAAAATCATTCTTTCACCCATCCACACAGCAAAACGAAAGGCCAGAAAATCGTTTCTTTCACCCCAACCACACAGCAAAACGAAAGGCCAGAAAATCATTCTTTCACCAGCCACACAGCAAACGAAGGCCAGAAAATCATTCTTTCACCCAGCCACACAAAACGAAAACGAAAAAATCGTTCTTTTCATCAACCACAGCAAAACGAAAACCAGAAAATCATTCTTTCATCCACCACACAGCAAAACGAAAGGCCAGAAAATTATTCTTTCATCCACCACACAGCAAAACAAAGGCCAGAAAATCATTCTTTCATCCCCACACAGCAAACAGCAAACGAAAGGCCAGAAAATCATTCTTTCACCCAGCCACACAGCAAAACGAAAGGCCAGAAAATCATTCTTTCATCCAGCCACACAGCAAAACCATTCTTTTCAAGCCACACACAGAAAATCGTTCTTTCGTCAGCCACACAGCAAAACGAAAGGCCAGAAAATCATTCTTTCATCCCAACCAAACAAAGGCCAAAATGAAAACAACAAAACGAAGGCCAGAAAATCATTCTTTCATCCACAGCCCACGAAAGGCAAAACGAAGGCAAAACGAGAAAATCATTCTTTCCCGGCCACACAGCAAAACGAAAGGCCAGAAAATCATTCTTTCATCCAGCCACACAGCAAAAAAGGCGAAAATCATTATTTCCGGCCACACAAAAACGAAAGGCCAGAAAATCATTCTTTCATCCAGCCACACAGCAAAACGAAAGGCCAAGCCAATCAGCCACAGCAAAAGCGAAAACCAGAAAATGTTCTTTCATCCAGCCACACAGCAAAACGAAGGCCAGAAAATCATTCTTTCACCCAGCCCGCACAGCAAAACGAAAGGCCAGAAAAACATTCTTTCATCCAGCCACACAAAAACGAAAGGCCAGAAAATCATTCTTTCATCCAGCCACACAGCAAAACAGAAAAACCAGAAAATCGTTCTTTCATCCAGCCACACAGCAAACGAAAGGCGAAATCATTCTTTCATCAGCCACACAGCAAAACGAAAGAAAAATCATTCTTTCGTCCAGCCACACAGCAAACGAAAATCGGCCAGAAAATCATTCTTTCATCCAGCCACAGCAAAACGAAAGGCCAGCCACAGCAAACGAAGGCCAGAAAATCATTCTTTCACCAGCCACACAGCAAACGAAAGGCCAAAAATCATTCTTTCATCCACACAGCCACAGCAAAACGAAAGGAAAATCATTCTTTCACCCAGCCACACAGCAAAACGAAAGGCCAGAAAAGACCCCAGCCACACAGCAAAGCAAAGGCCAAGAAAATCATTCTTTCATCAGCCACACAGCCGAGCCAGAAAAACCTTCTTTCAACAAAACGAAAGGCCAGAAAATCATTCTTTTCATCCAGCCACACACAGCAAAACGAAAGGCCAGAAAAATCATTCTTTCACCCCAGCCACACAGCAAAAAACGAAAGGCCAGAAAAAACATTCTTTCACCCCAGCCACACAGCAAAACGAAAGGCCAGAAAATCATTCTTTCATCCAGCCACACAGCAAAACGAAAGGCCAGAAAATCATTCTTTCATCCAGCCACACAGCAAAACGAAAGGCCAGAAAATCATTCTTTCACCCAGCCACACAGCAAAACGAAAGGCCAGAAAATCATTCTTTCACCCAGCCACACAGCAAAACGAAAGGCCAGAAAATCATTCTTTCATCCAGCCACACAGCAAAACGAAAGGCCAGAAAATCATTCTTTTCATCCAGCCACAGCAAAAAACGAAAGGCCAGAAAATCATTCTTTTCACCCAGCCACACAGCAAAACGAAAGGTTGTGAAAATTATTCTTTCATCCAGCCACACAGCAAAACGAAAAGGCCAGAAAATCATTCTTTCATCCAGCCACACAGCAAAACGAAAGACCAGAAAATCATTTTTCGGCCATTAACACAGCAAAACGAAAGGCCAAAAATCATTCTTTCACCCAACCACACAGTAAAACAAAACGAAAGGCCACGAAAATCATTCTTTCATCCAGCCACACAGCAAAACGAAAGGCCAGAAAATCATTCTTTTCATCCAGCCACAGCCACAGTAAAACGAAAACGAAAGCCAAAAATCATTCTTTCACCCAGCCACACAGCAAAACGAAGGCCAAGCGTCCATTCTTTCATCCAGCCACACAGCAAAACGAAAGAAAATCATTCTTTCACCCAGCCACACAGAAAATCATTCTTTCATCCAGCCACACAGCAAAACGAAAGGCCAGAAAATCATTCTTTCACCAGCCACACAGCAAAACGAAAGGCCAGAAAATCATTCTTTCCACCCAGCCACACAGCAAACGAAAGGCCGAAAATCATTCTTTCACCCAGCCACACAGCAAACGAAGGCGAAAAATCATTCTTTCATCCAGCCACACAGCAAAACGAAAGGCGAAAATCACATTCTTTCATCCAGCCACAGCAAAAAGATGCAAAATCATTTCTTTCACCCCAGCCACACAGCAAAACGAAAAGCCAGAAAATCATTCTTTCATCAACCCACACAGAAAACGAAAGCCAGAAAATCATTCTTTCATCCAGCCACACAGCAAAACGAAAGGCCGAAAATCATTCTTTTCACCCAGCCACACAGCAAAACGAAAGGCCAGAAAATCATTCTTTTCACCCACGTAGGCACACAGCAAAACGAAAAATGAAAAATCATTCTTTCATTCAGTTACACAGCAAAACGAAAGCCGAAAAATCATTCTTTCATCCAGCCACACAGCAAAACGAAAGGGGCCAGGGAAAAAATCATTCTTTCATCCAGCCACACAGCAAAACGAAAGGCCAGAAAAATCGTTCTTTCCCAGCCACACAGCAAAACGAAAGGCCAGAAAAATCATTCTACCCCAACCACACAGCAAACGAAAGGCCAGAAAAATCGTTCTTTCACCCAACCACACACCTTAAACGAAAGGCCAGAAAATCATTATTTCACGCAACCACACAGCAAAACGAAAAGCCAGAAGAAAATCATTCTTTCATCAACCACAGCAAAACGAAGGCAAAACCCAAGGCAAACGAAAATGAAAATCATTCTTTCATCCAGCCACACAGCAAAACGAAAGGCCAGAAAATCATTCTTTCACCAGCCACACAGCAAAACGAAAGGCCGAAAATCATTCTTTCGCAGCCACAGCAACAAAATCAGCTGCCCAACCACACAGCAAAACGAAAAGCCAGAAAATCATTCTTTCATCCCAGCCACACAGCAAAACGAAAAATCATTCTTGGCAAAACGAAGAAATCATTCTTTCATCCAGCCACACAGCAAAACGAAGGCCAGAAAATCATTCTTTCACCCAGCCACACAGCAAAACGAAAGAACAGAAAATCGTTCTTTCGTCATTCCACCACACCAGCAAAACGAAAGGCCAGAAAATCATTCTTTCACCCCAGCCACACAGCAAAACGAAAGGCCAGAAAATCGTTCTTTCATCCACCCCACCACAAAACGAAAAGGAAAATCCAGAAAATCATTCTTTCACCCCAGCCACACAGCAAAACGAAAGGCCAATCATTCTTTCACCCAGCCAAAACGAAAGGCCAGAAAATCTCATTCTTTCATCCAGCCACACAGCAAAACGAAAGGCCAGAAAAATCATTCTTTCATCCAGCCACACACAGCAAAACGAAAAGGCCAGAAAATCGTTCTTTCACCCCAACCACACAGTAAAACGAAAGGCTGAAAATCATTCTTTCATCCAGCCACACAGCAAAACGAAGGCCATTCTTTCATCCAGCCAAAATCATTTCTTTCACCCAGCCACAGCAAAACGAAAGGCAAAAATCATTCTTTCACCCAGCCACACGGCAAAACGAAAAGGCCAGAAAATCATTCTTTCACCCACCCACAATGCAAAACGAAGGCCAAAAAATCATTCTTTCATCCAACCACAGCAAAAACGAAAAGCGAAAAATCGACCCAGGCCAAGAAAACCATTCTTTCACCCAGGCACACAGCAAAACGAAAGAGCCAGAAAATCATTCTTTTCACCCAGCCACACAGCAAAACGAAAGGCAAGAAAACCATTCTTTCATCCAGCCACACAGCAAAACGAAAAGCCAGAAAATCATTCTTTCACCCAGCCACACAGCAAAACGAAAGCCCGAAAATCGTTCTTTCACCCAGCCACAAGTAAAACGAACGACCAGAGAAAAACGTTCTTTCACCCAGCCACACAGCAAAAATCATTCTTTCATCCAGCCACACAGCAAAACGAAGGCGAAAATCGTTCTTTCACCCAGCCACACAGCAAAACGAAAGGCCAGAAAATCATTCTTTCACCCAGCCACAGCAAAACGAAAGGCCAGAAAATCATTCTTTCACCCAGCCACACAACAAAACAAAAAATCATTCTTTCATCCAGCCAAGGCCGAAAAAAAAATCATTCTTTCACCAGGCACACAACAAACGAAAATCATTCTTTCATCCAGGCAAAACAAAGGCAAAAATCGTTCTTTCACCCAGCCACACAGCAAAAACGAAAGGCCAAAAATCATTCTTTCACCCATCCACCCCACAGCAAAACGAAAGGCCAGAAAATCATTCTTTCACCCAGCCACACAGCAAAACGAAAGGCCAAAGAAAATCATTCTTTCACAACCACACAGCAAAACGAAAGGCCAGAAAAACGTTCTTTCATCCAACCACACAGCAAACAAAAAGCCAAAAATCATTCGACCCAACCCCTGTAAAACGAAAGGCGAAAATCATTCTTTTTCACCCAGCCACACAGCAAAACGAAAGGCCAGAAAATCATTCTTTCACCCCAGCCACACAACAAAACGAAAGGCCAGAAAAAATCATTCTTTCACCACACAGCAAAACGAAAGGCCAAAATTCATTCTTTCATCCATTTTAGAAAACGAAAGCCAGAAAAATCATTCTTTCGCAGCCACAGCCAAGGCCACAGCAAAACGAAAATCATTCTTTCGCAACCACAGTAAAATCGTTCTCGTCAATACCCCAGCCAAACAGCAAAGAAAAATCATTCTTTCATCCAGCCACACAGCAAAACGAAAACGGCCAGAAAAATCATTCTTTCACCCAGCCACACAGCAAAACGAAAGGCCAGAAAATCATTCTTTCACCCAGCCACAGCAAACGAAAGGCCCAGAAAATCGTTATTTCACCCATCCACAACCAAAACGAAAGGCCAGAAAATCGTTCTTTCACCCCACACAGCAAAACGAAAGGCCAGAAAATCATTCTTTCATCCACCACAAAACGAAAAACAAAAATCATTCTTCATCCAGAACAGGCGAAAGGCCAAAAATTGTTCTTTCATCCAGCCACACACAGCAAAACGAAAGGCCAGAAAAATCGTTCTTTCATCCAGCCCACAGCAAAACGAAAGGCCAGAAAATCATTCTTTCATCCAGCCACAGCAAAACGAAAAGCCAGAAAATCATTCTTTCATCCAGCCACACAGCAAAACGAAAGGCCAGAAAATCATTCTTTCGGCCAGCCACACAGCAAAACGAAAGGCCAGAAAATCATTCTTTCGTCCAGCCACACAGCAAAACGAAAGGCCAGAAATCATTCTTTCATCCAGCCACACAGCAAACGAAAGGCCAGAAAATCATTCTTTCATCAGCCACACAGCAAAACGAAAGGCCAGAAAATCGTTCTTTCATCCAGCCACGGCGCAAAACGAAGGCCAGAAAATCATTCTTTCACCCCAGCCACACAGTAAAACGAAAAGGCCATGAAAATCATTCTTTCATCCAGCCACACAAAACGAAAGGCCAGAAAATCATTCTTTCACCCAGCCACAAAACAAAGCAAAACGAACAAGGCCCAGAAAATCATTCTTTCACCCAGCCACACAGCAAAACGAAAGGCCAGAAAATCATTCTTTCATCCAGCCACACAGCAAACGAAAGGCCAGAAAATCATTCTTTCACCCCAGCCAAAGGCCAGCAAAACGAAACGAAAAGGCCAGAAAATCATTCTTTCATCCAGCCACACACAGCAAAACGAAAGGCCAGAAAATCATTCTTTCATCCCACACAGCAAAACGAAAAACATTCTTTCATCCTCACAGCAAAACGAAAGGCCAGAAAATCATTCTTTCATCCAGCCACAGCAAAACGAAAGGCCAAAACGAAACAGCAAAAACGAAAGGCCAGAAAAACATTCTTTCATCCAGCCACACAGCAAAACGAAAGGCCAGAAAATCATTCTTTCATCCAGCCACACACAGCAAAACGAAAGGCCAGAAAATCATTCTTTCACCCAGCCACACAGCAAAACGAAAGGCCAGAAAATCATTCTTTCATCCAGCCACACAGCAAAACGAAAGAAAACATTCTTTCCCAGCCAAAAAAACGAAAGGTCTGAAAAATCATTCTTTCATCCAGCCACACAGCAAAACGAAAGGCCAGAAAATCATTCTTTCACCCAGCCACACAGCAAAACGAAAAGGCCAGAAAATCCCATTCTTTCACCCCAGCCAAAGGCCAAAATCGCAAAAAAGACGAAAGGCCAGAAAATCATTCTTTCATCCAGCCACACAGCAAAACGAAAAGCCAGAAAATCGTTCTTTCACCCAGCCACACAGTAAAACGAAAAATCATTTTTCACCCAGCCACAGAAAATCCATTCTTTCATCCAGCCACACAGCAAAACGAAAGGCCAGAAAAAATCATTCTTTCAAACACAGCAAAACGAAAGGCCAGAAAAATAATTCTTTCATCACACAGCCACATTCTTTCACCCAGCAAAACGAAAAGGCCAGAAAATCATTCTTTCATCCCACACAGCCGACACAGCAAAACGAAAGGCCAGAAAATCATTCTTTCACCCAGGCACACCAGCAAAACGAAAGGCCAGAAAATCATTCTTTCATCCAGCCACAGCAAAACGAAAGAAAATCATTCTTTCATCCACAGCAAAACGAAAAGGCGAAAATCATTCTTTCATCCAACCACACAGCAAAACGAAAGGCCAGAAAATCATTCTTTCATCCACAGCCACACAGCAAAACGAAACGAAGGCCAGAAAATCATTCTTTCATCCAGCCACACAGCAAACAAAGAAAATCATTCTTTCGCAACCACACAGCAAAAACGAAAGGAAAATCGTTCTCACCCCCAGCCACACAGCAAAACGAAAATCATTCTTTCACCCAGGCCAGAAAATCATTCTTTCATCCAGCCACACAGCAAAACGAAAGGCCAGAAAATCATTCTTTCACCCAGCCACACAGCAAAACGAAAAGAACAGAAAATCATTCTTTCATCCAGCCACACAGCAAACGAAAGGCCAGAAAATCATTCTTTCATCCAGCCACACAGCAAAACGAAAGGCCAGAAAATCATTCTTTCATCCAGCCACACAAAAAGGCAAAAATCGAGCCAAGGCCCAGAAAATCATTCTTTCACCCAGCCACACAGCAAAACGAAAGGCCAGAAAATCATTCTTTCACCCAGCCACACAGCAAAACGAAGGCCAGAAAATCATTCTTTCATCCAGCCACACAGCAAAACGAAAGGCCAGAAAATCATTCTTTCATCCAGCCACACAGCAAAACGAAAGGCCAGAAAATCATTCTTTTTCACCCAGCCACACAGCAAAACGAAAGGCCAGAAAATCATTCTTTCAGCCACACAGCCACACAGCAAAACGAAAGGCCAGAAAAACGTTCTTTCACCCAGAAAAATCCACCAGCCACACAGCAAAACGAAAGGCCATCCAGCCACAAAAAACGAAAGGCCAGAAAAATCATTCTTTCATCCAGCCACACAGCAAAACGAAAGGCCAGAAAACCATTCTTTCATCCAGCCACACACAGCAAAACGAAAGGCCAGAAAATCATTCTTTCACACCCAACCACACAACAAAACGAAAGGCCAGAAAATCATTCTTTCACCCAGCCACACAGCAAAACGAAAGGCCAGAAAATCATTCTTTCATCCAGCCACACAGCAAAACGAAAGGCCAGAAAATCATTCTTTCATCCAGCCACACACAAAAACGAAAGGCTGAAAATCCACCAGCAAAAACGAAAGGCCAGAAAATCATTCTTTCACCCAGCCACAGCAAACGAAAGGCCAGAAAATCATTCTTTCATCCAGCCACACAGCAAAACGAAAGGCCAGAAAATCATTCTTTCATCCAGCCACACAGCAAAAAACGAAAGGCCAGAAAAATCGTTCTTTCACCCAGCCACACAGCAAAACGAAAGGCCAGAAAATCGTTCATTCATCCAGCCACAGCAAAACGAAAGGCCAAAAAATCATTCTTTCACCCAGCCACAGCAAAACGAAAGGCCAGAAAATCATTCTTTCACCCAGCCACAGCAAACGAAAGGCCAGAAAATCATTCTTTCATCCAGCCACACAGCAAAACGAAAGGCCATCATTCTTTCACCCAGCCACACACAAAAAACGAAAGGCCAGAAAATCATTCTTTCACCCAGCCACACAGCAAAACGAAAGGCCAGAAAATCATTCTTTCACCCAGCCACACCCACAGCAGCAAAACGAAAGGCCAGAAAAATCATTCTTTCATCCAGCCACACAGCAAAACGAAAGGCCAGAAAATCATTCTTTCACCCAGCCACACAGCAAAACGAAAAGGCCAGAAAAAATCATTCTTTCATCCAGCCACACAGCAAAACGAAAGGCCAGAAAATCATTCTTTCACCCAGCCACACAGCAAAACGAAAGGCCAGAAAATCATTCTTTCATCCAGCCACACAGCAAAACGAAAGGCCAGAAAATCATTCTTTCACCCAGCCACACAGCAAAACGAAAGGCCAGAAAATCATTCTTTCACCCAGCCACACAGCAAAACGAAAGGCCAGAAAATCATTCTTTCACCCAGCCACACAGCAAAACGAAAGGCCAGAAAATCATTCTTTCGCATCCAGCCACACAGCAAAACGAAAGGCCAGAAAATCGTTCTTTCACCCCACACCAAAACGAAAGGCAGAAAATCAAAACGAAACGAAAGGCCAGAAAAATCATTCTTTCATCCAGCCACACAGCAAAACGAAAGGCCAGAAAATCATTCTTTCACCCAGCCACACAGCAAAACGAAAGGCCAGAAAAATCATTCTTTCACCAGCCACACAGCAAAACGCAAAGGCCAGAAAATCATTCTTTCACCCAGCCACACAAAAACGAAAGGCCAGAAAATCATTCTTTCACCCAGCCACAACGAAAAACGAAAAAAGAAAATCATTCTTTCCAGCCACACAGCAAAACGAAAGGCCAGAAAATCATTCTTTCACCCAGCCACAGCAAAACGAAAGGCCAGAAAATCATTCTTTCACCCAGCCACACAGCAAAAAAGGCCAAAAATCATTCTTTCAAACAGCAAAACGAAAGGCCAGAAAATCATTCTTTCATCCAGCCACACAGCAAAACGCAAAAATCGAACAGGCCAGAAAAAATCATTCTTTCATCCAGCCACACAGCAAAACGAAAGGCCAGAAAATCATTCTTTCACCCAGCCACAGCAAAACAAAACCAGAAAATCATTTTTCATCCAGCCACACAGAAAAAAACCAGAAAATCATTCTTTCATCCAGCCACAGCAAAACGAAAAGCCAGAAAATCATTCTTTCATCCAGCCAAAAAAACGAAAGGCCAGAAAATCATTCTTTCACCCAGCCACACAGCAAAACGAAAGGCCAGAAAATCATTCTTTCATCCAGCCACAGCAAAACGAAAGGGCAGAAAATCATTCTTTCATCCACACACAGCAAAACGAAAGGCCAGAAAATCATTCTTTCACCCAGCCACACAGCAAAACGAAAGGCCAGAAAATCATTCTTTCATCCAGCCACACAGCAAAACGAAAGGCCAGAAAATCATTCTTTCACCCAGCCACACAGCAAAAACGAAAGGCCAGAAAATCATTCTTTCACCCAGCCACACAGCAAAACGAAAGGCCAGAAAAATCATTCTTTCATCCCAGCCACACACAGCAAAACGAAAGGCCAGAAAATCATTCTTTCACCCAGCCACAGCAAAACGAAAGGCCAGAAAATCATTCTTTCATCCAGCCACACAGCAAAACGAAAGGCCAGAAAATCATTCTTTCACCCAGCCACACAGCAAAACGAAAGGCCAAAAATCATTCTTTCATCCAGCCACACAGCAAAACGAAAGGCCAGAAAATCATTCTTTCACCCAGCCACACAGCAAAACGAAAGGCCAGAAAATCATTCTTTCATCCAGCCACACACAGCAAAACGAAAGGCCAGAAAATCATTCTTTCATCCAGCCACACAGCAAAACGAAAGGCCAAAAAATCATTCTTTCACCCAGCCACACAGCAAAACGAAAGGCTAGAAAACCATTCTTTCACCCAGCCACACAGCAAAACGAAAGGCCAGAAAAATCATTCTTTCATCCAGCCACACAGCAAAACGAAAGGCCAGAAAATCATTCTTTCACCCAGCCACACAGCAAAACGAAAGGCCAGAAAAATCATTCTTTCATCCAGCCACACAGCAAAACGAAAGGCCAGAAAATCATTCTTTCACCCAGCCACACAGCAAAACGAAAGGCCAGAAAATCATTCTTTCATCCAGCCACACAAAAACGAAAGGCCAGAAAATCATTCTTTCATCCAGCCACACAGCAAAACGAAAGGCCAGAAAATCATTCTTTCACCCAGCCAAACACAGCAAAACGAAAGGCCAAAAGAAAATCATTCTTTCACCCAGCCACACAGCAAAACGAAAGGCCAGAAAATCATTCTTTCACCCAGCCACACAGCAAAACGAAAAGGCCAGAAAATCATTCTTTCACCCAGCCACACAGCAAAACGAAAGGCCAGAAAATCATTCTTTCACCCAGCCACACAGCAAAACGAAAGGCCAGAAAATCATTCTTTCATCCAGCCACACAGCAAAACGAAAGGCCAGAAAATCATTCTTTCACCCAGCCACACAGCAAAAACGAAAGGCCAGAAAAATCATTCTTTCACCCAGCCACACAGCAAAACGAAAGGCCAGAAAATCATTCTTTCACCCAGCCACACAGCAAAACGAAAGGCCAGAAAAATCATTCTTTCATCCAGCCACAAAAAACGAAAGGCCAGAAAATCATTCTTTCACCCAGCCACACAAAAACGAAAGGCCAGAAAATCATTCTTTCCCAGCCACACAGCCAAACGAAAAAGGCCAGAAAATCATTCTTTCATCCAGCCACAGCAAAACGAAAGGCCAGAAAATCATTCTTTCACCCAGCCACACAGCAAAACGAAAAGGCCAGAAAATCATTCTTTCACCCAGCCACACAGCAAAACGAAAGGCCAGAAAATCATTCTTTCACCCAGCCACACAGCAAAACGAAAGGCCAGAAAAATCATTCTTTCATCCAGCCACACAGCAAAAACGAAAGGCCAGAAAATCATTCTTTCACCCAGCCACACAGCAAAACGAAAACGGCCAGAAAATCATTCTTTCACCCAGCCACACAGCAAAACGAAAGGCCAGAAAATCATTCTTCATCCAGCCACAAAACAAAGGCAAAAATCGAAAGGCCAGAAAATCATTCTTTCACCCAGCCACACAGCAAAACGAAAGGCCAGAAAATCATTCTTTCACCCAGCCACACAGCAAAACGAAAGGCCAGCCACCCAGCCACACAGCAAAACGAAAGGCCAGAAAATCATTCTTTCATCCAGCCACACACAGCAAAACGAAAGGCCAGAAAATCATTCTTTCATCCAGCCACACAGCAAAACGAAAGGCCAGAAAATCATTCTTTCACCCAGCCACACAGCAAAACGAAAGGCCAGAAAATCATTCTTTCACCCAGCCACACAAAGCAAAACGAAAGGCCGAAAGAAAATCATTCTTTCACCCAGCCACACAGCAAAACGAAAGGCCAGAAAATCATTCTTTCACCCAGCCACACACAGCAAAACGAAAGGCCAGAAAATCATTCTTTCACCCAGCCACAGCAAAACGAAAGGCCAGAAAATCATTCTTTCACCCAGCCACACAGCAAAACGAAAGGCCAGAAAATCATTCTTTCACCCAGCCACACAGCAAAACGAAAAAAAATCATTCGAAAGCAAAACGAAAGGCCAGAAAATCATTCTTTCACCCAGCCACACAGCAAAACGAAAGGCCAGAAAATCATTCTTTCACCCAGCCACACAGCAAAACGAAAGGCCAGAAAATCATTCTTTCACCCAGCCACACAGCAAAACGAAAGGCCAGAAAATCATTCTTTCATCCAGCCACACAGCAAAAACGAAAGGCCAGAAAATCATTCTTTCACCCAGCCACACAGCAAAAAAGGCCAGAAAAATCATTCTTTCACCCAGCCACACAGCAAAACAGAAAAAAATCATTCTTTCACCCAGCCACACAGCAAAACGAAAGGCCAGAAAATCATTCTTTCATCCCAGCCACACAGCAAAACGAAAGGCCAGAAAATCATTCTTTCACCCAGCCACACAGCAAAAACGAAAGGCCAGAAAATCATTCTTTCACCCAAACACAGCAAAACGAAAGGCCAAAAATCATTCTTTCACCCCAGCCACACAGCAAAACGAAAGGCCAGAAAATCATTCTTTCCCCAGCCACACAGCAAAACGAAAGGCCAGAAAATCATTCTTTCATCCCAGCCACACAGCAAAACGAAAATTATTCTTTCACCCAGAAAAAACGAAAGGCGAAAATCATTCTTTCACCCCACACAGCAAAACGAAAGGCCAGCAAAACCACACAGCAAAACGAAAGGCCAGAAAAATCATTCTTTCACCCAGCCACAGCAAAACGAAAAGGCCAGAAAATCATTCTTTCACCCAGCCACACATAAAACGTGAAAACGGCCAGAAAATCATTCTTTCACCCAGCCACACAGCAAAACGAAAAGGCCAGAAAATCATTCTTTCACCCAGCCACACAGCAAAAACGAAAGGCCAGAAAATCATTCTTTCACCCAGCCACACAGCAAAACGAAAGGCCAGAAAATCATTCTTTCACCCAGCCACAGCAAAACGAAAGGCCAAAAAATCCAGCCACACAGCAAAACGAAAGGCCAGGAAAAATCATTCTTTCATCCAGCCACAGCAAAACGAAAGGCCAGAAAATCATTCTTTCATCCAGCCACACAGCAAAACGAAAGGCCAGAAAATCAAAAGCAAAACGAAAGGCCAGAAAATCATTCTTTCACCCAGCCACACAGCAAAACGAAAGGCCAGAAAATCATTCTTTCACCCAGCCACACAGCAAAAATCGAAAAAACGAAAGGCCAGAAAATCATTCTTTCCAGCCACAGCAGCAAAACGAAAGGCCAGAAAATCATTTCTTTCACCCAGCAAAAAAACGAAAGGCCAGAAAATCATTCTTTCACCCAGCCACACAGCAAAACGAAAGGCCAAAGAAAAATCATTCTTTCACCCAGCCACACAGCAAAAACGAAAGGCCAGAAAATCATTCTTTCATCCAGCCACACAGCAAAAAACGAAAATCAAAATCATTCTTTCATCCAGCCACACAGCAAAACGAAAGGCCAGAAAATCATTCTTTCACCCAGCCACACAAAACGCAAAACGAAAGGCCAGAAAATCATTCTTTCATCCAGCCACAGCAAAACGAAAGGCCAGAAAATCATTCTTTCATCCAGCCACACAGCAAAACGAAAGGCCAGAAAATCATTCTTTCCAACCACACAGCAAAACGAAAACGGCCAGAAAATCATTCTTTCACCCAGCCACACAGCAAAACGAAAGAAAAACGCCTTTTCACCCAGAAAAAAACGAAAGGCCTGGAAATCATTCTTTCATCCAGCCACACAAAACGAAAGGCCAGAAAATCATTCTTTCACCCAAACACAGCAAAACGAAAGGCCAGAAAATCATTCTTTCACCCAGCCACAGCAAAACGAAAGGCCAGAAAAAAATCATTCTTTTCACCCAGCCACACAGCAAAACGAAAGGCCAGAAAATCATTCTTTCATCCAGCCACACAGCAAACGAAAGGCCAGAAAATCATTCTTTCACCCAGCCACACAGCAAAACAAAGAACAGAAAATCATTCTTTCATCCAGCCACACAGCAAAACGAAAGGCCAGAAAATCATTCTTTCACCCAGCCACACAGCAAAAAACGAAAGGCCAGAAAATCATTCTTTCACCCATCCACACAGCAAAACGAAAGGCCAGAAAATCATTCTTTCATCCAGCCACACAGCAAAAAAGGCCAGAAAATCATTCTTTCACCCAGCCACACAGAAAAACGAAAAGCCCAGAAAATCCATTCTTTCATCCAGCCACACAGCAAAACGAAAGGCCAGAAAATCATTCTTTCATCCAGCCACACAGCAAAACGAAAGGCCAGAAAATCATTCTTTCATCCAGCCACACAGCAAAACGAAAGGCCAGAAAATCATTCTTTCATCCAGCCACACAGCAAAACGAAAGGCCAGAAAATCATTCTTTCATCCAGCCACACAGCAAAACGAAATCTTTCACCCAGCCACAGCAAAACGAAAGGCCAGAAAATCATTCTTTCATCCAGCCACACAGCAAAACGAAAGGCCAGAAAATCATTCTTTCACCCAGCCACAGCAAAACGAAAGGCCAGAAAATCATTCTTTCACCCAGCCACACAGCAAAACGAAAGGCCAGAAAATCATTCTTTTTCATCCAGCCACACAGCAAAACGAAAGGCCAGAAAATCATTCTTTCATCCAGCCACACAGCAAAACGAAAGGCCAGAAAATCATTCTTTCATCCAGCCACACAGCAAAACGAAAGGCCAGAAAAATCATTCTTTCATCCAGCCAAAGCAAAAACGAAAGGCCAGAAAATCATTCTTTCATCCAGCCACACAGCAAAACGAAATGCCAGAAAATCATTCTTTCACCCAGCCACACAGCAAAACGAAAGGCCAGGAAATCATTCTTTCATCCAGCCACACAGCAAAACGAAAGGCCAGAAAATCATTCTTTCATCCAGCCACACAGCAAAACGAAAGGCCAGAAAATCATTCTTTCATCCAGCCACACAGCAAAACGCCAGAAAAAATCATTCTTTCATCCAGCCACACAGCAAAACGAAATGCCAGAAAATCATTCTTTCATCCAGCCACACAGCAAAACGAAAGGCCAGAAAATCATTCTTTCACCCAGCCACACAGCAAAACGAAAGGCCAGAAAATCATTCTTTCATCCAGCCACACAGCAAAACGAAAGGCCAGAAAATCATTCTTTCATCCAGCCACACAGCAAAACGAAAGGCCAGAAATCATTCTTTCATCCAGCCACACAGCAAAACGAAAGGCCAGAAAATCATTCTTTCATCCAGCCACACAGCAAAAACGAAAGGCCAGAAAATCATCCAGCCACACAGCAAAACGAAAGGCCAGAAAATCTTTCATCCAGCCACACAGCAAAACGAAAAGGCCAGAAAATCATTCTTTCATTCGAAAGGCCAGAAAATTCATCCAGCCACACAGCAAACGAAAGGCCAGAAAATCATTCTTTCATCCAGCCACACAGCAAAACGAAAGGCCAGAAAATCATTCTTTCATCCAGCCACACAGCAAAACGAAAGGCCAGAAAATCATTCTTTCACCCAGCCACACAGCAAAACGAAAGGCCAGAAAATTTCATCCAGCCACACAGCAAAACGAAAAGCCAGAAAATTCTTTCATCCAGCCACACAGCAAAACGAAAGGCCAGAAAATCATTCTTTCATCCAGCCACACAGCAAAACGAAAAAACCAGAAAATCATTCTTTCATCCAAGGCCACACATCCAGCAAAAAACGAAAGGCCAGAAAATCATTCTTTCATCCAGCAAAACGAAAGGCCAGAAAATCATTCTTTCATCCAGCCACACAGCAAAACGAAATGCCAGAAAATCATTCTTTCATCCAGCCACACAGCAAAACGAAAGGCCAGAAAATCATTCTTTCATCCAGCCACACAGCAAAACGAAAGGGGCCAGAAAATCCATCCAAAAAAACGAAAGGCTTTCATCCTTTCATCCAGCACACAGCAAAACGAAAGGCCAGAAAATCATTCTTTCATCCAGCCACACAGCAAAACGAAAAGGCCAGAAAATCATTCTTTCATCCAGCCACACAGCAAAACGAAAGGCCAGAAAATCATTCTTTCATCCAGCCACACAGCAAAACGAAAGGCCAGAAAATCATTCTTTCATCCAGCCACACAGCAAAACTTTCATCCAGCCACAGAAAACGAAAGGCCAGAAAATCATTCTTTCATCCAGCCACAAAAAACGAAAGGCCATTCTTTCATCCAGCCACACAGCAAAACGAAAAAATCATTCTTTTCACCCAGGCCAGAAAATCATTCTTTCATCCAGCCACACAGCAAAACGAAAGGCCAGAAAATCATTCTTTCATCCAGCCACACAGCAAAAACGAAAGGCCAGAAAAATCATTCTTTTCATCCAGCCACAGCAAAACGAAAATGCCAGAAAATCATTCTTTCATCCAGCCACACAGCAAAACGAAAGGCCAGAAAATCATTCTTTTCATCCAGCCACACAGCAAAACGAAAGGCCAGAAAATCATTCTTTCATCCAGCCACACAGCAAAACGAAAGGCCAGAAAATCATTCTTTCATCCAGCCACACAGCAAAACGAAAGGCCAGAAAATCATTCTTTCATCCAGCCACACAGCAAAACGAAAGGCCAGAAAATCATTCTTTCATCCAGCCACACAGCAAAACGAAAGGCCAGAAAATCATTCTTTCATCCAGCCACACAGCAAAACGAAAGGCCAGAAAATCATTCTTTCATCCAGCCACACAGCAAAACGAAAGCAAAACGAAAGGCCAGAAAATCATTCTTTCATCCAGCCACACAAAAACCAGCAAAACGAAAGGCCAGAAAATCATTCTTTCATCCAGCCACACAGCAAAACACAGAAAAAAGGCCAGAAAATCATTCTTTCATCCAGCCACACAGCAAAAACGAAAGGCCAGAAAATCATTCTTTCATCCAGCCACACAGCAAAACGAAAGGCCAGAAAATCATTCTTTCATCCAGCCACACAGCAAAACGAAAGGCCAGAAAATCATTCTTTCATCCAGCCACACAGCAAAACGAAAGGCCAAAAATCATTCTTTCATCCAGCCACACAGCAAAACGAAAGGCCAGAAAATCATTCTTTCATCCAGCCACACAGCAAAACGAAAGGCCAGGAAAGGCCATTCTTTCATCCAGCCACACAGCAAAACGAAAATGCCAGAAAAACCAAACATTTTTCATCCAGCCACACAGCAAACGAAAAGGCCAGAAAATCATTCTTTTCACCCAACACAAAAAACGAAAGGCCAGAAAATCATTCTTTCATCCAGCCACACAGCAAAACGAAAGGCCAGAAAATCATTCTTTCATCCAGCCACACAGCAAAACGAAAGGCCAGAAAATCATTCTTTCATCCAGCCACACAGCAAAACGAAAGGCCAGAAAATCATTCTTTCATCCAGCCACAGCAAAACGAAAGGCCAGAAAATCATTCTTTCATCCAGCCACACAGCAAAACGAAAGGCCAGAAAATCATTCTTTCATCCAGCCACACAGCAAAACGAAAGGCCAGAAAATCATTCTTTCATCCAGCCACACAGCAAAACGAAAGGCCAGAAAATCATTCTTTCATCCAGCCACACAGCAAAACGAAAGGGCCAGAAAATCATTCTTTCATCCAGCCACACAGCAAAACGAAAGGCCAGAAAAATCATTCTTTCATCCAGCCACACAGCAAAAACGAAAGGCCAGAAAATCATTCTTTCATCCAACCACACAGCAAAACGAAAGGCCAGAAAATCATTCTTTCATCCAGCCACACAGCAAAACGAAAGGCCAGAAAATCATTCTTTCACCCAGCCACACAGCAAAACGAAAGGCCAGAAAATCATTCTTTCATCCAGCCACACAGCAAAACGAAAGGCCAGAAAATCATTCTTTCACCCAGCCACACAGCAAAACGAAAGGCCAGAAAATCATTCTTTCATCCAGCCACAGCAAAACGAAAGGCCAGAAAATCATTCTTTCATCCAGCCACACAGCAAAACGAAAGGCCAGAAAATCATTCTTTCATCCAGCCACACAGCAAAACGAAAGGCCAGAAAATCATTCTTTCATCCAGCCACACAGCAAAACGAAAGGCCAGAAAATCATTCTTTCATCCAGCCACACAGCAAAACGAAAGGCCAGAAAATCATTCTTTCATCCAGCCACACAGCAAAACGAAAGGCCAGAAAATCATTCTTTCCAGCCACACAGCCACAAAGCAAAAATCAATCCAGGCACAGAAAATCATTCTTTCATCCAGCCACACAGCAAAACGAAAGGCCAGAAAAATCCACCCAGCCACACAGCAAAAACGAAAGGCCAGAAAATCATTCTTTCATCCAGCCACAGCAAAACGAAAGGCCAGAAAATCATTCTTTCACCCAGCCACACAGCAAAACGAAAGGCCAGAAAATCATTCTTTCATCCAGCCACACAGCAAAACGAAAGGCCAGAAAATCATTCTTTCACCCAGCCACACAGCAAAACGAAAGGCCAGAAAAATCATTCTTTCATCCAGCCACACAGCAAAAAAAGGCGAAAATCATTCCACCCAGACAAATCATTCTTCTTTCATCAGCCACACAGCAAAACGAAAGGCCAGAAAATCATTCTTTCACCCAGCCACACAGCAAAACGAAAGGCCAGAAAATCATTCTTTCATCCAGCCACACAGCAAAACGAAAGGCCAGAAAATCATTCTTTCATCCAGCCACACAGCAAAACGAAAGGCCAGAAAATCATTCTTTCATCCAGCCACACAGCAAAACGAAAGGCCAGAAAATCATTCTTTCATCCAGCCACAGCAAAACGAAAGGCAAAACGAAAGGCCAGAAAATCATTCTTTCATCCAGCCACACAGCAAAACGAAAGGCCAGAAAATCATTCTTTCATCCAGCCACACAGCAAAACGAAAGGCCAGAAAATCATTCTTTCATCCAGCCACACAGCAAAACGAAAGGCCAGAAAATCATTCTTTCACCCAGCCACACAGCAAAACGAAAGGCCAGAAAATCATTCTTTCATCCAGCCACACAGCAAAACGAAAGGCCAGAAAATCATTCTTTCATCCAGCCACACAGCAAAACGAAAGGCCAGAAAATCATTCTTTCATCCAGCCACACAGCAAAACGAAAATCGTTCCAGAAAATCATTCTTTCATCCAGCCACACAGCAAAACGAAAGGCCAGAAAATCATTCTTTCACCCAGGCACACAGCAAAACGAAAGGCCAGAAAATCATTCTTTCACCCAGCCACACAGCAAAACGAAAGGCAAGAAAATCATTCTTTCATCATCAAAACAAAGCCACACATCCAGCCACACAGCAAAACGAAAGGCCAGAAAATCATTCTTTCACCCAGGCACACAGCAAAACGAAAGGCCAGAAAATCATTCTTTCACCCAGCCACACAGCAAAACGAAAGGCCAGAAAATCATTCTTTCATCCAGCCACACAGCAAAATGAAAGGCCTGAAAATCATTCTTTCATCCAGCCACACAGCAAAAGACAATTAAACTGTGATCGTGACCAAGACATTATCTAAAATGCAGATGATAAAAAGAATCTATGGAGCGGCTTGCAAGTTCAGAAAAAAAACATTAAACGTTTGGAATCCAGAAGCATCGATATTTGAAATTTCCAGACCAAATCAGTGTGCAGAACGAACAATGAAATGATTTCAAGTGCATTATGACGTCTGTAAAAAGAAGGAGAAAGTTCAGCTTCTATTTATTTTCTCTAACAAAACGCAATAATTTTATATTATTCTATAATTATGCTAAATATTCCATATTCTTATTCTTACTTGTAGATGAAAGTTTGCAATTATTTATTTGTAAATTTCTATGTTATGCTCTAGCAATAAAATGTTAAAATAAATAAGTACTATCCCATTACATCTTTAGCAATACACACACACACACACACATATATATATATATATATATATATATATATATGAATATGGGGAGCATGCATGTGTGTGTATGTATAGGCATTTCAGGAATCATGACCTTTTATTTTTTTCTTAATCCTATATATTTTAGTACATTAAACGTTTTCATTGGATATTTTAGCAGACACTTTATTTATTTAAAACGATATTTAACTTCGCCTACTACCCTGAATGTTTTAAAATTACGATGAGCGAAAATGTCTGGAATCGGTTGGATTCGAACTTGTGTCCACCATTGCAGGAGAAATTGCCGTTTGATTCCACGTGCTTTTGATCATTAAGGTGTTAAGTGCTTTATAGTCAAATAAGCCTTTAAAGCACGCTTTACCCATTCAGATTGCTTTGAAATTCCTAATTTCTCGGTTTAGTTTCCGAAACGTTATTTTTGTGGATATCCATATGTGAGAAGACGCTCCACTTCTATTTTATTTTGTATACAGGCCTGATCATTCGAGAAATTTTCTTAACAAGAAATGTGCCCTCCAACAGTATTCAAACTTGCATCTACCTTTGCTTGATTATGAAGCTCTTCGCAGTCAAGTGGTCAAATGTACATTGGAAAAACAACAACGGTTTCTCTAGCAGGGTGCGACACAAGTTCGCAATCATGAAGAATTGCGCATTTTTCCTTAAGAAGATTGGTCGAATATTCAGACCGGTGTCCAAATAAATGATGTTTAAAATAAGCAGAGCGCCTATTTAATTGTGACTGTCTACTAGAAATAATATTTAAAGTAATACACATTTACGCACGCATAATAAATATGACTGTATATGCGAGTGCAGCAATAATACAAATTTCATTAATTATATTATTTATATTCAAATTAATGCCTTTAATTTTGTTATAATCAAAACGTTTTATACTCAGTCCATGTTTTAGGAAGAAACTAAGCAGTACAAAATAAAAAAAATACGCTTTCTACTTAACGATAGATGAGGAACGAGAAAAATCTATATACGGGGTAAAATAACGGGTCCAGATAAAAATTCCTAGAATGTCAGCTGGACTGGTTTCTTAATCATCTTAAAAGCGGCCTTCGTATCCGATGGTGCCAGTATGGTAGAGGGGATAGCTAATCTCCATTGCCGACACGTGTTCAGGCATATTTGTGTTTGTTCAATACGCACAGAGCCGACCTGCGTTTTATACTGCAGCTATACTGAGCGGACGTTAGTTATAGTTTCTGGGAGAGAGCGCGTTATCTAGCGTGATCAACTATAGGAACAAGGCTACCACGCTCAAACTTTCAGTTACGATGATGTGTGACTTCGTATTTGATCAACCACCGATGGTACCCACGATTTTCACTCACAAGGCTTGGAGCAATCCATGATATTGTTTTCAGGCACTTTCCAAAGGTACCAACACCTGGAATTGCCTCCACCAGACCGATAACATCAAAAAGACTGTTGAAGCTTAAATAAGCATGGAATAATACAACACAAAATGTACGTTAACAAAATGTATTGAAACAAAGAATAGGTACACAATATTTACAGTTAGTTTGGTATATTCTTGGGAAGACTGTTCCTGCATAATGGGTTGACTAAATCGCAGTCGGGCAGAGTCTCTGGATTCAATTTCTTAATCTCTACTATCTTCCCCGTCTTCCGGTACCAACCCATATTTATATGGTCGGTAGTCCGCTTATGTAAATTAGGTGTATCATACACAACAAAGACCCTACCTGAAAAATCGGCCATGGTGAGATTCGAACCCGGGTATCATGGTCAGAAAGCGAACTGGTAGACACATGAGAAAGGCCGTAGGTCATATAGGTTGAAATATTCTGGTAGTATCAAGAAAGATAAGAATTATTGTAAATTTAAATATAAACAGTGCTTATTTCTCATCCTAGAAATCTACAGGGAATATTTGTTAAATTCAACTAATGATTTTTTCCATGTATTTAGTTATTTGGCGGTAAGATGCTAATGTTTACAACATTATAAAAAAGAAAAGTACATACATTTTATTGAGATGTAAGTAAGATATATATTCTCCTTAACAATCGTTCATGGCTATACAATTACATTTTATTACGATTACGATTTAAAAAAAATATTTCTAGCAAACGTACGCCCTCATATAATTGTCAAAATCTACGATGGATATGGCATCCTTCTCTGAACCATGTTGACAATAAAATGCTTACTTAAACATGAATATTTCTCTGAGGACAATCATATTTCCCGGGCATATTTTCTGTGTAATATGTGAATGAGAAAATGAAAAATTATCGTAAACATCCAAGATCAAATATTATACATCTAATCTACTCTCTTCTGCTAATAATAAAGGGTGTTTCATTAAAACGGATCAAAGTCAGCAGTAAATAAATTAGAGTACTTGGTGAAAATATATTTATTTCTCTATTGGATCATGTTATCTAAATCATGACAATTATGTGTGAAAGATAATATCGCCCAAATGTCCACCAAGGCTTCGGCGGCACACTTCCACTTGAGGGTAACATTTTTTGATGACGTCTCTGCATAGTTGCTCCTCGGTCTCACCAATATGACTTACTATCTCATCCTTGATCTCACCAATATGACTTACTATCTCATCCTTGATCTCACCAATATGACTTACTATCTCATCCTTGATCTCACCAATATGACTTATTATCTCATCCTTCAGCTGTTGAAATGGTGTTGGCTTGTTGGCATAAACCTTACTTTTGAGATGACCACAAAGGAAGAAATCTAAAGGCGTCAAGTCGCACAATGGCTATTTGATTTTGCTGTTTCGAGGGATTATGCGACCAGTGAACGTCTCATTGCACATCTGTTTCAACGTCTATTTTCGTAATAGGCTTCGATAATGTTAACATAATTGTTGAATGTTAATCTTTCCATGGTTGAAATTGCTAAAGACTTAATTTGTTAAACCTGAAAGAAAAGGAAAAATCATTAGATGCTTAAACTTAATTCACATTTAAAATCGGTCCAATTTATTGGAACTCCGTTTAGTTATATTAATTCCTGGTCATCGAAAAGCTTATTTTCCTAATATATAAATAATTTACAGATCTATTTTAACAATATACTCAAAACAATTTAAGTTCATAATATCCTGCAGCTAGAATGTTGAATTATATTATTAACAATCAGTTTTTACTTTTTGTTTTATCACGAATTTTCGTTGTCCGATCATATTTAACTATTTCTTGACTTAATTAACCTTCAAAGAATTTCATAATGATTTTTTTTTGTCTACGTAATAAATTCCTCCCATTTCGCTCTCTTTTCTCATTCTTAATTATCACTGCTGAGTTATATTCCCCGTCTTAGGGAGACAGTCATGAATGGTGGGAAGAGGGTTAGAGCAACGCTATAGACAGAAGTAAAAGTACTAGACGGGTTGGAACACGGAAGAGAAAAATCCTCAGTAACTTAGCAATGAAATAAATATCATATGGGAGCCATTAATTAATAAAGAACTGACCATCTGCAGCAACAATATTTTTTTAGAGAAGCGACTGCGAATACACCCAAGCTTGACAGCAGCAGCCGAGTGAGTAACAGGCAGGAGCAAACATGGTTAGAAATAAGTCTACAAGATCTAGCGTCTGGATTATTTCATGAGGGAATAGCCTGGTTGATTAAAGGGTTGATTCTTGGAATTTGACAGTGGTTAATTGTGAGCTCAATCCCAGAACAGCCAAATGCTCAGTGGAAACAAAGTGAGAAATATCCGAGTTGTAATAAATAAAATCTAGACGAGATCTACCATGAAATGCGCAGCAGAAGTAGAACTATATATCGTATTAACTAAGGTCTAAGCTCGACATTAGTAGAAGGTTACTCAGAACGACAGACACGTCACCTAAAGATAGTCGTAGTTCTCAACATTCGAAGTATTACGATAATTACAACAAAAGTGAGAAACGAATGTGAATAATAATAATTAATCAATCCCAGAAATTCAGACAGAAATTAGAAATATTTAATATTTTGTTACTGGGAATACGTGAATACTTCGCATACTGGAAATACGAGAATACTTCGCATACTGGAAATACGAGAATACAGAACATACTGGAAATGCCAGAATACATCACATACTGAGAATATCAGAATCCTTCACATACTCTGATATCTGAAACCGTGTCTCACATAACACCAGTTTAAAAGGAAAGTGTGTTTTTAGTGTTAGAAACCCCTTCCTACATTCAGGGTTGCCTGAAATATTCCTAGGTTGACTATAAAAGAGTGATGATAGAGCCGGAAACTTTGTAAGAAATCATTTCAACTCATCTTCAACTGCATTGATAGATAATAGTCAAATCAGGTGAATAGTGAGGGAGATCAATCATTTCATTTGGTTTTAACAAACTTTCTTAACTGCCTGAGCGAGTTGGCATTTTACACTCCACTGATAACTTGGCCATTTTGAAGATAGTCAATAGAGACATAGATTATGGATCCCGAAAAATGAGATTGTCACATACCCTGAAGATGACCTGGCCTTTTTTTGTAGCATGTGAGGGGGCCGTTTCTACAACACGGATGGTCTCTTTCTATCTGTTTCAACCCCAAATCATATTGGGT